TTCTAGGGGAATAAAAAAATAACTTTAATGTAACGAAGGCAGGGGAAACTAGTATCTTATAAATAAGTCAAGATTTAGCATGAATGGGCCGGCTCGACCAAGTTGCTTTTCACCGAGAGAGTGAGGCTACCGGAGCCCAAAAAAGGGAGGGACACTGACTCTGGGGTGGGGCTAAGGGTGGCAACACACTTATGACACACGAGTGCCAGGAGTCCATGGGTGCTGGTCGGCACTTACAGGTGACCCGTCTGCTTGTTTGTTTTCGTATACCTACCATAATTTCTTTTTTAAATACGATTCAGTATTTACTAATACATCTAATCCATATGTAATTGTCCCTTACCAAGCCGTGGCAACTTTTAAGACAACACTCAGCAAATATTTGTTAAACATGTTTGTAAACTATGTATTAGTGTATGTTTTGTAAGTTGTCCTAAATAAATAAATATGCATAAATTGTGTTTCAAAATATTTTGATAAACAACCAGCTTATTAAGTGTGCGTTTCTTTCCTTAAACGAATAAAAGATCAGTTTAATTAGGTAATCATGAAACATATCAATGTGCTTTGGAATGTAACTTAAAGTAGTCATATTATTATTATTACGACACGCCCTTTAACTTAGCAATCAGGGCCACTAACTACTAGACCAACAGACCAGTTAAAAAATAAACATAATTAGGTTACTGATGTGAAAACTTATTTAGGCGCGTTGGGCATTTTTGAACAACAAACAAAAGAATATAGTTTTTGAGATGCGAAAAAACCATTGAACTGTTACCGTTACCGACACCTCTGTATATAAGTATGTACATAAAGGGTTTTCCAACAAGAGGTGTTATTTTGAATCACCCGGTATTTCGGTAGCTGTCACTTTTGAAGCTTTTATTTTTAGACATTTGACAAGTAGAAACTACGCCATTACTAAAAATGGAACGATACACACTTCAACAACGCATTGAAATTATTAAAATTCACTACAAAAATGGTGAAAATCTTGCAGACACAGTTCGCAAAACTAAAGCATTTTTTGGTCGTCGCGAAGCACCTTGTCGGACCGCAATACAGAAATTGGTGGAAAAATTCGAGCTGTTGGGACAAGTTAGTGATGTGAAGAATAAAACCCGTGACCGTCGCTCAAGAACAACTGAGAATATTGCTGCTGTAGCCCAAAGTGTTGAAGAAAACGCAGGTTTGTCCATTCCTCGTCGTTCTTTGGAATTGGGCATTCCACATACGTCATTACACCGTATTTTGCATAAAGACTCGGGTCTTAAGGCTTATAAAGTTCAGTTAACACAAGAACTCAAGCCGGCCGATCATCAACGACGTCGTGTCTTTGCTGATTGGGTACTTGAAATGCATGAAAATGATCCGGAATTCCATCGAAAAATCATCTTGACTGATGAGGCCCATTTCCACCTAGGAGGCTACGTCAACAAGCAAAATTGTCACATCTAGGGCTCGGAAAACCCAAGAGTTATTGTTGAGAAGCCTCTCCATCCTCAACGTGTGACTGTTTGGTGCGGTTTATGGTCCGGCGGGGTCATTGGACCTTACTTTTTCGAAAATGAGGTTTGATCAACACTTACGGTGAATGGATTGCGCTATCGAGATATGATTAATGATTTTTTATGGCCGGAGTTGGATGGTATTGATCTGGACAACGTTTACTTTCAACAAGACGGAGCTCCGTGCCACACAAGCAACGAAACCATTGCTCTTTTACGGGAAAAGTTTCCTGACCGTGTTATCTCTCGAAGAGGTGATCACAATTGGCCACCGAGATCTTGTGATTTAACACCTTGCGACTTCTTCCTTTGGGGCCACGTGAAAGATAAGGTCTACGCCAACAGCCCAGCGTCGATTCAATACCTCAAAGATGGAATTCGTGAGGCTATCGAGGACATAGGGCAGCTACTTTGCGATTTGGTTATGCAAAATTTCATTAAAAGGACATGGTCCTGTAAGCGTGGTCGTGGTAGCCATTTGGCTGATGTTATCTTCCATTATTAACGGCATACCTTCCTCTTTATTATAAAATAAACAGCCGACTATTTATCTTAAAAAATGCATTTTTCTTTGAATACTAAAATAACACCTCTTATTGGAAAACCCTGTATATTTTCCTCGTTTACACGAGAGTTGAGTTTGGGTTGAAATACATTGATAATATAACTATATAAAATATAAACATATATTGTGTATATACGTACAACATAGATATACATATACATTCATGTCGGAACTTTTCGAATCGAAAAGAACATTAATATTCAAGTTTTCACTTCAGTTGGCACTTCCGGAGTGCCACTGTTTTTTTTTGTCAAATTTAATTAAAATCTGATTCAGCAGATCAATAAGGTTCAGCGGTTATTAATTTCCCATACCAAGGGGGTGGAAGTTTTTTACCCCTCTTTTCACCCCCCTAAAGGGTTCTGGGATAAAAACTATCCTATGTCCTTTCCCGGGACTCAAACTATCGCTATACCAAATTTCATCTAAATCGGTTCAGCGGTTTAACCGTGAAGAGGCAACAGACAGACAGATTGACACACTTTCGCATTTATAATATTAGTATGGATTAGTATGAATAAGCAATGTCTAGTATCGTAATTATTTACATTTCCCATGAAGCCGCAGTTCCTGAGCTTTTAAAAAACCTGTGTTACATACAAGAATACGTAACAGATTGTAAACTAGCTAAATATAACAGTGAGAAAGATACATTTTTGGATACAAAATGATGCGTTAAGCTTTAAAAACGTCGGACACCATTCCAGTAGGACACACAATTAGACGGTCATTCTCCAAATATACGCTAGAGTCATCATCATCATCATAATCAGCCCTTAATAATCCTCTGCTGGACATAGGCTTCTCCTTACAAAAGAGGTTTTGGCCTTCTATACCACGCTGGCCAGACGGTTTGTTATAGGGTTCGTGTAAATTTTTTCTTCTCTTTGCAGTGCTGTGGTCCTGAGTAGTTTGGTCCTTTGTAGGAAGCTTTTATTCTAAGTGGTTATTGTAGCGACCTTGGACCGCTATTACAGTCGAGTCTATCGCTGTCTAGTGGCGGATTTACCAGCAGGCTGAGTAGGCTGGAGCCTAGGGCGGCAAATTTTAGGGGGCGGCAATTTTGGCCTAAAATTATTTTTTTGTTTTAGTTAAATAAATAAAAAAACAATATTAGCAAACTGCCCAGGTGGAACTAAATTCACTCCTAGTGACCGAGTGCAGGGACTATAAATACATATATATGTATGTTTCATATATGTTTGTAGAGTTCTCCGTGACAGAGGATATATTCATAGTGCAGGAGGTGTCTTTTAAAATCATAACGAACGTGACGGTCTGAAGGGGTTTCCACACGTAAAAAAGGGGTATTGAATTTAGAGTACAGATATAATATTTGTTTCGGAGTTTTGGTGTTTTCTATGTATAATATATATATATGTATTTACAAAAGAAAAGTATATACTTAAATATTCAATAGACTGATAAGTCAATCTAGCTTTCATAGAACAAGCTCTTCTTAGTTTGAATCTATATGGCGTTGTGTGTCAGATGTCCGAAAATATTAGTATTAATATACATTATTTACATACATATATATCATACATATCTCATATTTACATACATATTATTAATATACATTATTAATGCTATTACCAGCGGCATCGTCGTTCGGCGTGATTAAGTAAAAAACATCCAAACAGCCCTTCTGGGAAACTTTTGTGTTTATAATATTAATGAAACGGGGAACTTTACAAACATACATTAAACAGATACAAAGGACACCCAGACTCAAAAAAACAATTCGTGGATCACACAAAGTGCTGTACCATGTAGGAATCGAACCAACAACACCCAGCGCAGTAGGAAGCGACGAGGTGACTGAAACCACTACGCCAACCGTGCATTCACCGTACTATATTAGTCACAGTATTAGTTGTTGATTGAATGTTTCGTAAAAATTTCTTGATGCTCCTTACTTTTTGTACATATATAAGTAGGCATTATGTTACAATATAAATGAATGTAAAAGCTGAACGGACTACCAACAATAATAACTTACAACGAACCAAATTAGCTTATGCCTGCGTTAAATTACTTCAAGTAGTCTAGTCTATTATCCAAGCTAGCGTCAATCTTTTTTAAGCACTATTTTTCTACCATAGAGGATTTTTTTCGTAATGAAGGAGATTGCAGTCAAGCGACAGAAAAGATGTTACTCAGCAAATATACAATTTTTGCTTCAATATCTAATTATAGATATAGAAGTACTTAGTAGTAGCTGGCTATTAAACTATTTGAAAAAATCGAGGATAAAAAATAAAAATTGAACAAATAAATAATAAAGTTATTTGAAAGTATTCTATGTACATCAAATTGTTATTATCTTCAATATATGTATATGGTCTCAATATATTTAATTGTCTTTCTAAATTAAAAAAATCTAACTAAAATATTGAACACTGTCTCATTGTTGACATACTTAGCTACCATTTAAAAATTCCTTTTTCTTCTAAAAAGGCTATTTGTGGCCACTGTTAGTAATGAATTATTTTGTAAGGTCCGTGTTGTGGTCTTATATCATTGGTACAGCGCAGGACATTTTTTTTTTCACTAAAACTAGCATTTAAGGTGAATTTCTTGTTGGAGAGCTAAAGAAAATAAAATAAAATATTTCGTTAGCACAAAATTACATAATATAGTGAAAAAAGGGGTAGCAAGTCCTTCATAGAAATATTAACATATTTTTCAACGTTTCACTCTTCAGAGTTTTGCGAAGATAAAAAATTAGTAGCAAATCCTAACTGGATCGTTTTAATAAATAAAAATGCTAAAAATAGCTCATAGCTGAGTATCATAAGAACTAAACGCAAGTTAAAATTGAACGTCAAACTGACAGTTCGTACAATAACATTAAAACCGCACATTGTAAATGCAAATAACCTAATTTTTATTGTTAATTATTTATAGTCTATTAAAGTAAAATGTTTAAGGCACCAGAATGGGAGGACGATGTTCCTAAAACGCTTACAAGTTTTATTAAAAAGAACCAGGTTCATCTAAAGGTACTAACTTATTATTTTCTTATTGAAACTTTATGAAATCCACAATCATTAATACTATAAGAAGTAGGTATAAAAGATATTGATAAACGTGATATATTTCTTATAGTACAGAGTCAGAAGCATATCACTTTACATACTTAATAAACTTGCTAACCTCGGATAATGTAGTAAAATAAATTGAATTTTCAGAAAAAAGAGAAGAAATCACCGGCATCTAAGATTAAGCAAGCGTCAAAAGTTAATAAACTAAAAGAAAAGAAGAAAAATAAGCTTAAAATAAATGTGTTACCAAAAGTTGCTAAAATTAAAGAACTCAAACCTGTTCAAGTTAAGACAAAAGTATCTGAGAATAGTTTCAGACAAAACAAACCTACGTTAACTAACGGCATTAAAAATAAATCACGGAAACGAAAGCTAGATGCTAAACCTGCAAATACAGTGAAGAAAACATATATACAATCAGAGGAATCACCAATCCCCGAGACACAAAATTTTGACGAAGTTTTATTGAATGCAAAAAAGAAAAAGTTCAATGAGGTTATAGAAAATGAGGATAAAGAAGACTTATTGTTCACAGAGAAGAAACCTACGAAGAAAAGGAAGAAGGAAGAAAATCAAGATAATGAAAAGAATGATATAAATGATAGCAAAAATCTTGTCAGTAATGGACCTATGAATTCTAAAAAGAATAGATTAAGAGCTTTGTTGGCTAATCAGAGTAACAGAAGACCTATAAATGTAGAAAATAAGGGTAACAAGCTAAGAGAGAGAATGTTGGAGAGACTCAAAGGTAAGTGCCTAGAATCTGTTAATAACTTGTGTTGGTCTAGCAGTTAATTATCCTGTAAGAGAGGTTTTGAACTATATGCAAGTGTTATAAGTACCATACTGATGGCGTAGGGATTTAAGCGGTTGCCACACTGCGTAGAGTGTTGTGGGATCAATGCCCCAATTTGTTCAAAGCCTGAGTGTTCTGTGTCTGTTTGATGTATGTTTGTAAAGTAAGACAGGATATATTCCATGTACAGGTTGTCTTTTAAAAAAAAGAAAAAAAAGAAAATGTTCTGTGTCTAAGTGCAAATATTTATTTATATGTCAAAAAATATATATTATCAGCCGTCTGGTTACCTTAGGCTCTGCTCAGTTTAGGATCAGAGGGTAGGCCCTCCGATCCTAAACTGAGCAGAGCAGTCCAGAGTAAGTTTATTTTACATCAACTCAATCGTAACTTTGACCTCATTCAAGGATTAGCCTGCACTGAACTCTTCACCAGTATTTAGAAAGCTATAAATCTAAATTTTTCAAACTATCAGATTCAAAATACCCTGCCAAATTATCGTCAGGCTTGTATAACAGGAACCGTCTGTATAAAATCTATCACACTCGGGTATTTCGGAATGGCGATTTTTAGAATTTGCAGTTTGCATTTTAGATAATTAGCTACCAGCTTGTGTCACTTTTAAATCGTCAGACCTATCAATAGGAGCATTTTTGGAGTCAAATTCAAATAAAAGACTTACTGTTGTTACAGCGGCACAGTTCAGATACTTAAATGAGAAGCTATACACATCTTCTGGATCGGAAGCACAACAATTGTTCAAAGATGATCCGCTTGCTTTTGAAACATACCATCAAGGGTACCAGCTCCAGGTTAAGAAGTGGCCTGTTAATCCCCTAGATGTTATCATCAAAAAAATTATGAAAATGTAAGTGATATGGGTATTATTAAATTATTATTTTTTGAATAACTGCAATTTGGGGGATTCCTTTTGGAATTGAAGCAGAAGGATACGTAAAAAAACATTACGTACGGGACAGACATTCTACTTTGAGCACCCCTAAGGAATAGGCATATACTTATATGAGTTCACTTTTGCTCTCCTAGCAAAAGAGCAAAGAATCTACCTTTTTTTTAATGAACTTCATAAAAGTAGAGGTTCTCAATTCCTTTTCCTTTTATAGCCTCTAAAACCTATACAAAGTCTGGAGGGGCTTGTGGCTAAATGGTAACTGTGTATACACAACAAACACATTACTTAGTTAAGCAATCCTAGACAGTTGAGTCTATGGATGGGTGACCATTCTTTCAAAGAAAAAGGAAAATAGTAGACTTAAAGCTGACCCCAACCTAATTTGTGCAAAAAGGGTCTGAGGAAGAGTTATATGTATTTCTATTTTTATTCCTTAGGCCAAAATCTCACCTAATAGCAGACATGGGTTGTGGAGAAGCAGCTCTATCCCGCCGGATACCACACACAGTCCGTTCCTTCGACCTGGTAGCCAATGCACCAGGAGTGGAAGCATGCGATATGGCAAGGACACCACTACTGTCAGCTTCTATGGATGTGGCCGTGTATTGTCTAGCTTTGATGGGTACTGATCTCACGCAATATCTGGTGGAAGCCAATAGAGTGTTGAAAACTGGGTAAGTTATGTTTAAAATGTAGACATAAGTTATAAATACAATATCTTATACCCACAAATCATATTTATTTATGTAATTATAAAAATATCCCTGCAATTTGACTTATAATAATGTCACTTCTCTGCTTCGAAGAGTCATACTTCTCTATCTAGTACAAAAATATTGATTCAATCTTGATCTGCTGATCTAGCCTTTATAGTCAAACCGCCGTAAGCTTGGCCCTCCTGATGGTTTGGGGGACGCGGGGCGGGGGTGCATTCAACCAATTAGCTAGTGCGTCGCTGTCCGCCGGCAGTGACTGACGTGAAAGCATGGCTGTACGTGTTATTTTTCTTAAGACTGCTACACACGGTATTATTTTGCAACAGGGATAATCTGCCGACTCTGCGTCACAGAAAGATTTAAAAACTTGAAGTTCGGCTTACAGAGGTTCTACTGTTAAAGTTGTAATAAAGAATATTTATTATTTTACTTAATTTTTAAATTGTATCTGAATATAATTTACATGATGAAGATAAGGTGATTTTATTAAAATTATTTTACAGTATTAAATTTTACAATTAATCATAAAAACTTACAATACACTGACATTATAATACATGGAAATAAATTCGATTTTTATTACATCGTGTGTAGATTAAATCTCAAACAAATAAATGTGAAGATATTGAGTTAGTACATCGTGTCATGTATAGCCGAGCGCATCACCCGCCCCGCGTCTCGCATGCCATCAGGAGGGACAAGCTTACGGCCGTTTAACTATAGTGACCCTGACTGCTAAGATAGCGGTCGCTGGGGCAATTCCCTCTAGGATAAATAACTGTGTGATGAGCACTATAACTTGTTCTGTCCGGGTGTAATTATTTTTAGTAATGTATATATTTAGAAATCTATAAGTATGTTTATAAGTAGTCTGGTTATCATAGCACAGGCTCTGCCTAGTTAGGGATCAGATTGCTGTGTTTGAGTTGTGTTAAGTTATTATTGACTGGTGCAGTGGTAGCGTATGCGACTGCTGTGCTGAGGTCTCGGGATCGATTCCCGGGTCGGACCAAACGTTTGTATAATCTATGTTTCGGAGTTTTCTATGTATAATATGTATGTATGTATGTATGTACAAAAAAATAATAAATCAGTGTTCTATCAGTAAATCTAGCTTTCATAGTACAAGCTTTGCTAGGTTTGAAACTAGATGGCGTTGTGTGTTAGATGTCCGAAATAATACTACAAAGTTTAGTGTTTAAAAAAAAGCCACACAAAAACCTCTTATTATATTAATATACTAGCTTTAGCTTGCGTTAATATCGATTTTGTCAATAATTTCTTTTAGTATAAAACTAGACTGTGGTATTCGAGACTATCTATCAATCTATAACCTATCTCCGTGACAAATTTCATACTGAGCCGTTAAGCCGTTTTGGCGTGAGTAAAAGACATTCATTCAAACTTCCAGGTGTCTTGAAAATAGCTCTACCGATTTGCATGAAATTCAGTATTTAGATAAGATTCTCATTTTGACGTGACAACGTCTTATAAATTGGTTTGCCGGGTGACACTTCAAGAAACTGCGTTACGCTCCGCTCACGTTATGCGCTCACAATGAGAGCGAGTGAGAGGCACGCGTCCCTTCCAATCGGGCATGGTTAGCCCGCCTAAGAGCGAGAGAGACAGACATAGTCGTTGTCACGTAAAACTTTCGCCCGTATACCGACTTTACAGGCAACCAATTTTTTTTTTGAGTTGCAACAATGTCTTTCGTAAGTTAAAACGATTTTAATTAGTCTAAATATTTATTCAATTTTCAGTGGTCATCTTCTAATAGCAGAAGTGGAGAGTCGTTTTGACAACGTGGAGAATTTCACTAAAGAGGTCCAACGTCTCGGCTTCAAGCTCAAACAACTGGACAAGAGCAACAAAGTGTTCTACTTCATGGAGTTCACCAAGGTTCAGGACCCGCCTACCAAGAAAGCCAAACTCCCGGTGCTTACTTTGAAACCTTGTATTTATAAGAGACGGTAAATAAAGACACCAGAAAAAGCTTTTGTTTTGTTTATGAAATCCTCGGAATAGGAGACAGTGGCTTTGATAAAGCAATTCTAGTGTGCTGTTTAACCTGCTGGCGAGGATCTCACTCTCCATTTGAATAACATTCATTTTCACAATCGTGGGAGTCATAGAATAGAATATATTTTATTTGCATTGATTGTAGGTACATTAAATAGTGATGTTAACAAGTTTTCTAATCCTTATACAATCTACCTGGACTAGGCATGAAAACATTAAAAATGCATCAAAAATTAACAATAAATTCAAAACAACAAATACATTTTTGAATGATTACAACTTATAATATTAATATAAATAAAGTGGTCAAAATAATTACGTCAGCAATATTAATTGAAAGTAGGAAAATAAATTCAATGTCAAATAAACATAGGTAATGTCAAAAAAACTAACATCTAAAGTTTATCATTTAAAAAATCATTAATTGAATAATAACACTTATTTAGCAGATATACATACATACTTAGGCCCAGTATCCACCAAAGCAGAGAGGATACGACTGGCAGTTGGCAGGATATTTCCACCAAAGCAGAGAGATGTGAGCTGTGTGTAACAGAGATGTAAGCTATGAGAGCTGGAAACCAGTAAAGTACTGTACTGGCAAGTTCAGTTAGTCAAATTACTGTAGCTACGAAAGGACGACGTCCTGTCGTTGCGATAGTTATATCTTAATTTGCTTGAGGAAGAGGAATTACAGGGTGGACGAATTACAAATCAAATCAAATCAAATTGTTTATTTGCGTATTACAGGTTATACAAAGATCTTATATACTAGTTTTGGCTTCTGTATACTACCCTTTCAGGTGTGCAAATATTTCATACAAATTAATAAACTAAACTTAACACAACAAATATGTATTGAATTGTCATATATTAATAAATAAAAAATAAAAAACTCTTAATCCTAAATTACATCAGTACCTGAGCAAAATCGCAGAATTTTTAAATTATGTCAGATCAATAATCCAGTATTATCTAAATGTACATATATATATATATATATAAATTTTCAGTGAATCAGTAACAAATACTAGTCACAATCATTGAAACAAACAATTGCAAATGTCATTAAATAATGTCTAAGAGGAAGTCATTTATCCTGTAGTACGTTTTTTCAATCAGAAACGCTTTTAGATCACGTTTTAAGATTAATTCGATTACGATTAATTCTTCAATATTTAAATTATCGATGGCAACATAGATTCTGGATAAATAAAACGTATAAAATGTCACAGTCATGGCGAATATGCCACACTATTTCAAGAGTTTGTTGGGAGAAGCAGCGGGGAACAAGGCGCGTCGCTTGCTCGCTCGAGGCACAAAATTCTATAGAAAAATGAGATCTCGCCTCTCCGCTTAATCCATTTCCACCGGAGATGAGATATGGAAATAACGAAATCTGATTGGTTATTCAAAGCGCATCTCTCGTCTCCTCTCTTTTCTGCTTTGGTGCATACAAGGCCTTAGGCCGTTGAATGAGATAAATCTGTGTATGCTGAGTTTCATCCAAATTTCTGAAACACGACGCATCTATCTCTAGCAACATTGATTAATTGTACCAAAAGTATTAATAATAATAATAATAATTTACAAAAATAATAATAATTTATTAAAAAAGAAAAAAGAACAAGAACAGTATTCTGTGAATGCTACCCTCTAACAATATAAATAAAAAAGATAAACATTAGCTGTTCCCACGTCATACATATATCACGTGAGTCGTGAGTGGTGAATGCCAGTGTTGCCACATTGTGTGTGACATGTGACACTGCACATTTGAAACTATACTGGCACAGGGTTGCCACTTGTATCTTAATTTATATTGCATGAATGCACATGAACAAACCCATGCCCACAAGCTCACGCATCCACATACTCACGCCTACTCACACACACACACACACACACACACACACACACGCACATTCACATAAACACACACACACACACACGCACACTCACATAAACACACACACACAATTAATCACTCACACACATACACATACACACATAATCATTCACACGCAACACACAACAATAATTTATGTACCTCACTTAATATGCTATGCTACTAGAAATAAACTATTAAATATAGTAAAACATGCAACTTTGTAGTGCCGACTTGTGTAAAATTAATAAAAAAATATTAAAATGTAAATCCTCTTCCCTTTGGACCGCGTAAGCGAACAGACGTCACCCACCGTGCGTGTTTATTTAAAAATTTAAATAAAGTTGATTTCGCTGCAAATATTAATACAAAAAATATACAAAGTACCAGGCGAACATAACGCAGTGTATGTCCGCGGAGTGCGTGAGAAAACAGGACAACAACAACGGCGACACAGGTAGTAAGTCGGCCCTGCTGTGTGTGCGCATCTCACGTCATCGTGTGACGACGAACCATTTGCCGCTTGCCACAACTTACAAGCGACAGCGATTAACGGGTAACTTTTTTTTTGTGTAACCCAAGCTCAATCCCAACTTTGTTCAATTAACTTCTAATTATTTATTAATAATTATTCAAGTTGATTAAATAATTAATAATTATTTTATATTGATTTAAACCGTCACCGGAATATGTCAAAGTCACTACATAGAACTCCACCGAAACAAAATATACCATCAAGATCGGAATCTGATATCCAAAAATTGTGCACAAATGAAACCATTGGATCGAACCTCACCCAACGAGCCAAACGCAAATGTTTATCAACCGAAATCACTGGTGACGAGAGCGATAGCTTTAAAACCGAGATCAAACAGATGATACATGATCTAATGACCGCACAAAACTCACGACTCGATAAATTGGAAAACCATATTCTGGATATAAAAAACCAATATCTTGAGATTAGAACAACTAATACCGAGTTCGAAAAATCTATGACATTCATATCCGATCAACTATCATCTCTAGAGAGCAATATCTCAAGTTTAGAAATGGAACGGCACGAGACGGCAAGAAAAGTCACATCACTGGAAGAAAGGCTAGAAACTCTTGACCGCAACCTTGTGAAGACTTCTGTTGAGCTTCGAAATGTACCTAAAAGAGTGGCAGAAACTAAGTCAATGTTATATGATTCGATCACTTACCTGTCAAAACAACTAAATATAGGAATAGAACCCACACATATTCGGGATATAACCAGACAACCTTCTAAAAAGGAAAATCAAACCTCAAATATAACGTTAGAGTTCTCCAACACATTACTCAAGGCGAGCTTCTTAAATGCTATTCGACAATACAATAAACAGAACCCTAAAAATAAGGTAAGCTCATCTCACTTGGATATTAAAACTACTGAGCAGCTACCAATATATATTACTGAACAATTAACATCCCAAGCCAAAAAAACATTCTACTCTGCCAGATCCTTTGCCAAAGCAAACCAATATAGTTTCTGTTGGACTTCAAACGGCAAGATTATGCTAAAAAAGGATACAAACAGCCAGGCAATCATTATTAAAAATGAAGAACATCTGAAACAACTTTCCCATCAAAATAGTCTATGACTAGCTGTTAATCCACGATTACATTACATTTCCTATTGTATTACCTATAATATTGTAACTTTAAATAAGTCAGTTACAAATCTTGGCACTCTCATTAGTATAAGTACACACATATTTTATAAAATATTACACAACCCTCAAAAACCCACACAACTATTCATAGATATGAGTAGACAAAACACTAAAACTAATATACACATTTATCCCCATTACTATTTATTAAGATATATTATATTAAGATATATTATATTAATTATCCGCTATAAATACTTAATTCCCTCTATTAATATTTTAGTAACCATTGCGAACCGAATGTCCCATATGCCGAGACCTTATAATACTGAACTTCTCCAATTTGCTCTAAAATCTGTTATAAATGATTCATCCCACTTCATTAATCCTTTTGACTATAACTTGCTACAAAAATGACTGGTGTTATTAATGATCTTATTGATAGTATTGATCAACTCTCCGTATCAGAAGTTCACACATGCTCCCCCGAAGAAACAGCAACTTATTTAAAGCAACCAAATGGATTTCTTAAAATATTTTCTCAGAACATTCGCTCAATAAACTGCAATTTTTTAAATTTACAAACATTCATGCACCGTTTTCATTTTGACTGCGACGTGATAGTCCTCACAGAGTGTTGGCTGCCATGCTCAAGCAATGCCACCATACCGCTTCTTCAAAACTATACTATGGTCAAAACTACTAAACACATTAATCAAAGTGACGGTGTGGTGGTTTATATCAAATCTGGGTTATCGGTTTTATATGAAGAATTAGACTTTAATCAAACAGCTTCTGGAATCATTATCAAAATTAATAAGACTATTGCAATAATCTGTATCTACCGTACACCTTCATGTGATAGCATAAATACCTTACTTTTAACCCTTAATAATTTACTTTCATCGCTTACTAATTTTAAAACTGTGGTCATAACTGGTGACTTAAACATAGACATCAAACCTAATACTTTAGACGCACGCTCACACGAATATTTAAATTGCCTCGCTTCAAACGGTTTACTACCAGCTCATACATGTCCAACTCGAGGTAAAAATTGTTTAGATCATATTATTCTAAAAACAAAGTCCCCATCTTTCTCATTCATATATGAATCAACAGTCACAGACCACTACTCAACCTTGCTCTGTCTAAGTAACCAAAGTGTTCGAAACTTTGTGGCTTTCACCGCTGCTAAAATCGATTACAATGCACTTGATGAAACAATATCCAGCATGGATTTCAATTCCGTTTTCTCAATAACAAACCCTAACACAGCGACAGATACAGTTATAAAATTATTGTCGTCAGCCATATCAAAACATACAGTTTATAAAAAAGTCCCAGCAATGAAAAAAATACTAAAACCCTGGATTACTCCCGGCCTACTGCGGTGCATAAAACATAGAGACGCGCTGCATAAAAAATTTAAGAAATCACCAACAAATGAAGTTTTACATCTAACATACAAAAGATACAGAAAGTTTTGCACAAGTACTTTAAAAAAAGCTAAGAGGTTTTATGATGCAGACCAAATAAACAAAGCCAGTCGCAATCCTAAATTACTATGGGATACTATCAAACAAATAACGAATACAACAAAAGTGAAAAATTCTTCAATTCAGTTACTGGACACCTCTACTTCACCCATTCAGTCATGTAACGACGTAAACTATTTCTTTGTCAACATCGGTAAAACACTTGCGGACAATATAACGAACCATCAACATCAACACCTAATCACCAAATCTCAAATCATTGCAAAACCGTTAGCATGTTCGTCCTTCGCTTTAAGCTATACTGACATTGCCGAGGTCATTTCAACGATAGACTCACTGCGTGCAAACGCCTCTACGGGTTGGGATGGCATCCCATCTTATATTTTGAAGAGATACTCTAACCTTCTGGCACCCATATTAAGCCACATATTTAATCTTTGTTGTGACACAGCTGTCTTTCCAAATGCTCTTAAAAAGGCGATAATCCATCCTATCTTCAAGGGTGGTGACGGAACCCTACCGAACAACTATCGCCCCATTGCAGTATTGAGTGCATTATCAAAAATTTTCGAACGCTTAATAAATAAAAGACTAGTAGGCTACCTAGATCGGTATAATCTAATTTCATCCAACCAATTTGGTTTTCGCCAGAAGAAATCAACTTCTGACGCTATTCATGAGCTCACAAACTTTATCGTTCAAAGTATCAATCAAAACAAAAAGGTTCTAAGTATATTCTTAGACCTCGCAAAAGCGTTCGATACGGTTCCCATTGTCACACTCTTATCCAAACTTGAACAGATGGGTGTCAGAGGTGCACAACTACAGCTATTTGAGAGTTATCTAACAAATCGTTCGCAGATAGTGAAAATTGATGGCTATTATAGTGAGGAACTACCCATCTACTATGGAGTACCACAAGGTAGCATACTTGGCCCTACATTATTCCTCGTATTTATAAACGACCTCTGTAAGCTGAAAATTCCTAATGCAGGGACCGTGTGCTACGCAGATGACACGGCAATAACCTTTGTCGGTGATACATGGTCAGACCTGATGCACATGGCACAGTTTGGCTTTGATCTTGCATCGAAATGGCTATATTCACATACCTTAACATTGAACACAGCCAAAACGAAATATATTACTTTCTCAAAAAGCTCAATATCACAACCAATAACACCACTAATTTTAAAAGCGCACTCTTGTCCCACCTCAGATCAACTCTCATGCGACTGTCCTACTTTATCCCCAGTTGATCACGTTAAATACCTAGGCGTAACACTAGACAAATGCTTAAACTTTAAGATTCATATAAGTGATCTCGTAGGTCGAGTCCGTAAATTGATTTACGTCTTTAAAACTCTTCGCCATATCGCAAACCAAACTATTATACGTAATGTGTATTACGCCGTCTGTTTATCAATTGTTACATACTGTATTTCCTGTTGGGGTGGCGCAGCGAAAACGTTCCTGAAGCCACTAGAAGTAGCCCATAGGGCCATATTGAAAGTTGCCACTTTTAGGCCCATAATGTTCGCGTCCACCTTACTGTACAATAAGTGTGATGTACTTAATGTTAGACAATTATACATACTACATGCAGTACTCACGCAACACAAAAATACTCCATTCATAAAAATGTCCAAACGTCGTACAGATAAAATATGTAACGTTCCAAAACCACGTGCTTCATTTACTAAAAGGTTTTTCTTTTACTTAGGTCCATACCTATACAATAAAATAAACTTAAGTTGCCCCATATACGGTTTGTCTCACTTTAAATGCAAAAATACACTCAGGTCATTTCTCCAAAACAAATCTTATGATGAAACCGAGGAATTCTTGCCATAAAATCTTAACATATTATTTTAATTAATTAATTTAAATCTAATTGAATTAATTTAAATCTATGTACATGCAATGTCTGCCAATATTTATTCAACTATATATATTTAAAATACACACTTACAATCACACCAACCACATTAAATTTAAATATAATATACAAGTACCTGTTCAATCTCAAAAAACAAATCCAAACAGACTATACAAACACACACATACACGCACGCACGCACGCGCCCACCCTCGTATGTAATATATTATATTATTATATATACACACTCACTAACACATACATTCACACTTACACTCATATCCTGCATGAAATTCTTATGTAAATTAATACTAAGCTCAAATTGTAGTCTTTAAATGTTCTCAACTTTTGTTTCATCACTTGTTTTAAATAAATAATTGTATTTACCGATTGCATATTCCAAAGGGGACAGGACTGTTATTCCTTACTACAGGTTACTGCGTAACCTATCAAGGGTAACAGAACTCCACCCACAAGATTGTATCTATATATATGTAATTGAAATTAGAACTAAGTCACAAGCCTTTGTACTACAATCACCTTTTTACCAATAAATCATTATTATTATTATTATTATTATTAAATATACACGGGGTGGAGACCTGGTGTCCTGAAACACAGGCCTCGAGCCTAGCTTAGGCACCAGTCTCCCACAATATTCTGGCAATGATAATTTGTATTTTTTTGTATTTTTTTGTTTTATTCAAATGTAATGTATGCTATATTGTGGTGAGAAATTAAATTATTATTATTATTATTATTATTATATTATATATTTTATGTAATTAGTGTTGTCCATTTTATGTTGTAGTGGTTTTATGTCTAAATGCTAAAGCTGACGTGTTTTAGAAATAAAAATATGTTTTCTTTCTATGTTAAGCAATCCATTTGTTGCTTTTCACAGTGAGGATAGCTATAAAATAGGATAAATAAAACCCTTTAAATTTAACTAATAAAATATTTTACTTATAATACATAATCATAACCACCCGCCCGCCGCATATCTTATTATTTCATTAACTAATGAGGTAGGTACATTTCATTTATTACAAAAATATTCCATTTCTAATGTTACCCAATACTATTACAACATTTAGTATTTCTTGATAAAAAAAAATGCTAGTTTATAAAAATTTACCCTCACTTCTATAAAAAAAAGAACAAAATCCTATAATTTAAGTGAGATGGAATTTCCACACTATTTCGTGTCAGGATTAAGAAGCATTTTATATCAAAAATTATTATTCCTCTTATATAACGCATTTTTGACAATTATCACAGACTAACAAGTATGTACGTACTAAAAACATACCAGACTCCAAGGGCAGCAACGCACTTGTGACTTTCGAGTTGCAGGTGTCCATGGGCGGCGGTAGTTGCTTGCCATCAGGTGACCCGTCTGCTCGTTTGCCCCCTTATACCATAAAAAAAACAATTAATAAAGCTAATTATTGTGATAGGTACTATTGGCCGGGCCTGTTGGTCTTGTGGTTAGTGACCGTGACTGCTAAGCCGGAGATCGTGGGTTCGATTCCCACCCAGGACAAATATTGTGTGATGAGCACGATCGTTACCGAGCGAGATTAGTTACCGCAGACCAAACTAATGACATGCCCCCCTCTCATTGCCCTCCCCCCAATCTAGAGTCTCTTGAGATTCAGGTGTTCATGGGCAGTGATAATCACTTTCCATCATGTTATCCGATAATATAATACTACATAGTTCTCCAGTCCGTTAAATATGAGTCGGTAAATAATACTAAGACTTGGGTGACCCTGTACTGACATTGACCAAAATTTTACGCATTAAGTTCTTCCATTACATCTTCGGCTTCAGCGCGAAGGTTCTCCACTTTCTCTATCAGCATCATCTGCAAAATATTGTATATTAATTTGGAAAATTTATCTGAACGATTCATTACCAAAAGGTTTTTTTTTGGAACGGGTTATCGTCTGCGGTATTTCCGGACCGATACGACCTTCAAACCTTCAAGAAAAGAGCGTACTTCTTCCTAAAAGGCCGGCAACGCGTTTGTGACTCCTGAGTTGCAGACTTCATGGGCGGCGATGGTCACTTTCCATCAGGTGAACCTTTTGCTCGTCTGCCCCCTCTAACAAAAAAAAACCAGTGCCAAATAACTCATGAGTGCACGTACCCTGGCCGCGCTGATGAGCTGGTTGGCGCTGGTCCTGGAGAGGTGCGACACTCCCGACATGAGCTCGTCCACGGAAGCCTTCGCCAGGTCTTCTATTCGCTTGTACCCTGCGCGAGACAGTTGCAGGGCACGGGCCTGGTAATACAGAGGGCAAGGTTGTTGCTCGACGTGTACCAAGTCTGACTCCAGTAGTAATTAATTACAGTAGAACCAAATACTGTCAAATTCGGTCAGTCATAGAAACTCCTCGGTCTCACTTCATCTTTCTTAATTTTTAAAGTGGTAGGATATTAGTATCAAAGAAAAAAATATTTATAGTAAGGGAATGTTTCAACACGTCCTTGAAGTTACTAGGGAGTGTCAAGTCAGGTAGGACGTTATGAGATTGTACGGGTGCATTAACCTTCTAGAATTTTCTGTGAGATAGTTTCCACTATACCTATTTACTAGCCGTGATTTCTAGTTCTGTAATAAGGGGAGTCTTCAGATACACTGGGTCCTGGCAATATGATTAGTATTAAGTATGGATGCGTGCGATCAGCGGTGGGTAGATCGGATACCTTCTTGACGGCGGGCAGCTCCATGAGCGGCGCCAGGCCCGGGTCGGCGCAGTGCTGCAGGCGCGGGGCCAGCTCCGCCAGCAGCGCGCCGAAGGCCCACAGCCGCTCCAGCTCCGAGCAGAACCGCACGCCACACGACGCGAAGGCCGAGGACGACGCCATCACCGACTGGACCGTGCCGCGAGGGATGCAGTACCTAACACATCATCATATTTCACAACACTGATTAAACAGTTATTTGTTAACAATAACAAATTAACATGAATAAAAAGTGACCTGTACGGCAGTCACTGTGATGACTAAAAAAAGCGTCCACCCCCTCCTAAAAGAATCTATCTCCCCTCCTAAATAGACTCTACCCCCCACTTAAAAAGCGTCCACGCCCTTCCTAAAAGAATCTCTCCCCCCTCTTCCCTCTCCCCCCCCCATTGCGGGAGGAGGGGCACTCAAAGAGCAAAAACGCACTTGCATATGTTTAAAAATTTTTTTTTATAAATTCACACAGAAATAGGCTGAATAAACCTTTGAGCAGTTCTATAAACGGACAGATCAAAAACAAAGAACATCAAAGAGTACAAACTTGTTCGCAACGGTCACAAACGGAACTTGTTTCCACAAGTCGTGCAACATCAGCGCCAAGTAGAACCGACACAACACTTTCTCAGGAACATTCTGGTAATTAAATATATACAGTTACAATAAGCAGATTAAGTTTTACCTTTTACAATTTTAGATGAACGGTTTTAAAATACCAGATTTCATATAATTTAAGATACTGGTATTTAAAAACAGGTATTCTGAGAAATAAAGCGTTTTAAGTTCGACCTAATCGGTTCCTCGGTAAATAAGAGATTATAGGTTAAACACTACTTTTTTAGAACGCAAATAACAGAATCATCATCATCAATAGCCTTTAATAGTCCACTGCTGGACATAAGCCTCTCCTTAGAAAGGAGGTTTTGGCCTATTATACCACGCTGGCCAGACGGGTTGGTATAGGGCTTGTTTCAAGTTTTCTTTCTCTTTGCAGTGCTGTTGTCCTGCCTAGTTTGCTCCCTTAGTCGGCTCATACGACACCCACGGGATGAATAGGGGTATGGACATTCCGTATTCGTAATCCGTCACCACACGGACTTGTTACCCACAGTAATAGCTTTTCCAGTCATCATTCTGACAGCATTCATTTCAGTGATGCCAAGGACTCTTGCTGTTTGAACGCCTTCCTCGTCAAGGTTACAATACTGAAAAAAAGAATTATCATATGAAGCAAGTTTAAAAGGAATTTTAACTAATTAATGCATTGTAGAAAAAATGGGTTACACAAATTACGAAGTCTGAGGGTAATGTATTTTTCGACCCCTTCCCCTTCGATACCCTCACAGAAGCAGGCCTGAAATTATGTCATGAAGTGTTCCGCGATCCTCTGCTTAAAGGAGTCAGGACTCTTGCAAGCATTGGTGTAGCTGCCTTTTAGTTCAGAGGCGGCCAAGCTCTGCCAGGGTTTTAGGACCTGGTTTGACTACCTGTATGGTATAAAATGACCTTTCCCTAACCTTAATAAAGTGTTAAGAACTCACCAGAGAATAATAATGTCTGTAGTCAGGTCTGACCAAGGAGGCCGCGTCATGAGGAGTCACTAGGTACAGCAGGTGCAGACTGCCCATCAACACGAGGCCTCTGGCGGCAACCTCTAGGTCTTCAAGTAGCTGGCGAGCCACTGACAAATCCATGCAACCTTCGAGGAACAATAAGAAAGTGTTGTGATAAATACGCAGAGAACTTTGGAATGACATTAAGGTATGTTTTTGCATCTATATAATTGACTAGTAGAACTTGGTCCATGATTATATAGACTTCACGTACCATGACAGATCAACATATACTGGGCCTATATGGCTTCATATAAACGTTTTCAAATAGTGTTTGATCTAACATGTAACTTATGCATTTCCTCTTCAAATAAAATACTGTGTGTCCGCATTTCTTCATTTCACATCAACAGCCTTTAATAGTCCACTGCTGGACATAGGCCTCTCTTTAGACAGGAGGTTTTGGCCTACTATGCTACGCTGGGTTAGTATAGGGTTTGTTTCAAGTATTCCTTCTCTTTGTAGTGCTGTTGTCCTGCGTAGTTTGCTCCCTTAGTCGGCTCTTACGACACCCAAGGGATAAATAGGGGTGGTGACACTCCGTATTCTTAATCCATCACCACACGGAAAGTGTTCTTCATTTAAGAATTTATTAATAGACTCTGTGTTTTAAATTGTGCTATATATATTATACTAATTATTTCTATAAAGTAGATGCAATGATGATGTAGTCCTACTGCGATGAGTGTTGTGGGTTCGATGCCCACACGGGACGACACTTTATGTCCACAAATTGTTGTTCTGAGTCTGGGTGTACTTTGTGTCCGTTTCATATATGTTTGTAAAGTCCCCCGCGACACAGGATATATTCCTAGTGCGGGAGTTGTCTGTTTCGCATCTGCCGGGCTATAGCACAGAATTTAGTAGTTCTTTGATATCAGAATGTAATTCACCATCATTGGACCGATGATGTCTTAGTTTCATTTTAATTTCCTCAGAATAACATTCAAATGAGTTCTTTATCACACATTAAAAAATCAGATGTATAGTTTTTGGTTGCTGTCTTTGTTTTTTTTTTTTTTTACTTCTTGCACATTCAAAAATTAGAACTAAATAAATATATTTTTTGTAAATAGTACGGGCGCCATTTTTACCTTTTATCGCCGCCTTGCCCAGCTTGCTCACAGTGAGTTGGCTATTGTCATTCAGATAACTGTGTACATGGGCCGAGTCGGAGGGGGGTGAGCTGTCAAAAGTACGGCACCTGGTCACTTCCAAGGCACCACACTTGACCAGAGACTGAACGACATCGTCACATATTGAGTCAAGGGACCTGAAAGTTGTAAGAGTAAATTTGTAACATTGTAAGGGAGATAATACAAAAAAAACATTATTTAAATTTAACATTAAATATTATTTTCTGTATTTCAGAAATTTTAAATGTAAAAATATGTTAGAAATAAGGGGTCATCCATAAATTATGTCACATGTTAAGGGAGGAAAGGGAGTAACAAAGGGATAGAGCGGCTTCGTAAGGTACGTAACGTCATATATTTCAAAATATTAAAAAGAAAGAAAAAAAAATATTTTTTATTTATTTTTATATTTTTGTTTATTTATATTATTTTCTTATCGAGTTAGTGCTAGCTCGTTGGGAAGATTTTCTCAATTACAATTTGTTAATTTTCTAGAATGTAAATAAATATCATAAATGTATTTCGAAACTGCTGTTTTCATTCATTCTAGTAAGATAAGATTAACCGCGTACTTTAATAAAGTGAACACACTAAACCGGTCTGGCGGCTTCAATTGTTTTAGAAATTAAAGTATACATTTCAATAGTATGTATTAAAGTTATAAATGTATAATAGACTAGCTGAGACCCGCGGTGTTACCCGCGTTTCTTGCTATAACCGCGGGCAACGCCGTGTGGCGAAGCTAGTCTAAAAAAGTAGCCTAAGTTACTCCTTATGTCATCAGCTATCTGCCAGTGAAAGTCCCGTCGAAATCGGTCCAGCCGTTCCAGAGATATATCTATAAGACGAGAAGTATGCTTCTAAACAAATAGCAAATGTAATATAAAATCAAACTGACCAATTTTCGTCATTCTCCGTGATAGCCAAGAGCGTGCACTGCAACAGCTCCCGTAGCTTCTGCACGCTCGTGGCGAGCCCGAGTGCTACGGCGCTCAGGAGCAAGCTGTGTAGCCCGCCGCGTAGCACGCTACGGGCAGGCGCGAGCCCGCCGCGTAGCACGTCGCTTAATTGCAACCACGAGCGAGCGTCGCATATTATTATGCTCTCACCTAGATCAAAAAATTGGTTTTGTAAACAATCATTAAATAAAAGTTTTATTTTTTTCCTGTCCATATCTATACTATTTATTTTAGTGTTGGACCAATAGGAGCCGAGTATTTATGAGAAATGGTGCAAAAAGGGGGATTAATTTTTCTTTTTCAGAGACGCAGACGAGGTTGCGTGGGTCAGCTAGGTTTAAATATATGTGTATTTTAACTCCAAAGTTGCCTGTAAGAAATTATTTTAAGCAATACGGCAGGATATTATATTTTATAATAAATTTTATGTATATATTTAAATCTAATTAGTAACGAAAACTATGCAAGACAACACTGCAAAGAGAAGGAAAACTTGTGACAAACTCTATACCAACCCGTCTGGCCAGCGTGGAATAGTAGGCCAAAACCTCCTTTCTAAGGAGAGGCTTATGTCCAGCAGTGGACTATTATATTTATATTTAATTTTTAGACTCCGCACTAGGTAACAAAACTGAACGTCAACTTGTAATAGACAGTGTTCTATTTGCAATTAATGTTTTAGATTCGCAAGTTTCATCGTTAATCGCAATAATGTCAAAAAAGTCAACAGAGATTGAGATTTCATAAAGTGGTGCTCGATTGTTTATCAGTGAACCTAAGTCAGTTAGTCCCGAGTGAGAGCAAATCAGTGCCTACGAAGAGCACGCGCACAATTGGGTCTTTCCTATTATATGTACATAAACTACACATAAGTTACAAACCGGTGCTACAGACCCCGGCGCGTCCGGCCCGGCCCGCCATCTGTCGGTAGGCGCCGAGCGACAGCAGCGCCGTGCCCACGAAGGGCGCGCGCACGATGACGCGGCGCGCGGGCAGGTTCACTCCCGCCGCCAGGGTCGACGTGCAGCACAGCACCGATATCACGCCCGACCTGACGACGAGCCTTGCGGTAATCGCATGTAATGTGTAACATCACCTACTACCTGACTTATAATGTGTCAAACGCGATTCCCCGGCTTCATGTGAGACACTTGGAAAGGGTTTCACGAATTCACTCCTACAGACTGTAGAAAAGCGAGAGGAAAGATGTTACACATAAAACATATAGATTATAAATCATTGGGATCAAACGACCATGATTGAAGATTTCGGTTTATTTATATTTGTGATGTTTAGGCCTTGAATTCTTCAGAGGTAATGGTGAGGGATCAGAGTAATTATTGTTATGCATCCTTTTTTTTCCTTTATAAAAAGACAACTTCCGCACTAGAAATATATATATCCTGTGTCGCGGGGGACTTTACAAAAATACATTAAACGGACACAAAGAACACCCAGACTCAGAACAACAGTTTGTGGATCACACAGTGTTGTCTCATGTGGGAATCGGACCCACAACACTCAGCGCAGTAAGAAGCGTGACCGCTTAAACCACGACACCATCCGTGTAGTCAGTGTCGCCACCATGTCTGCATTGTATGCACCTATATTGTTATTTTGTGTGAGTAAAATACTTTTTAAGAGGTATAGATAAAACTTATAAAATAATAGCTGTACCCTGCCACCTTTCCCTGTGGTACATTGTGGTTGCACTGATGAAAAATGAGGAACAAAACTAACGCAAAAAAATAGATAAAAAGAATCTTTAGAGCGGTTCGTATATAGTGTCAAAATTTGAACTCAATTGGTGGAGAACTTCTTGAGTTTTTTGAAACGTACACAAACTAATATTATTTAACGGGAATTAACGCGATCTCTTATTTAGGGTATTACATACCTCTGGTTTGCCTGACGTTTCGACCAGGTTGCACCGGCCGTGATTCATGACCAGGTTCTATATTTTCTATACATTCGTGACCAGGTTGCACCGGCCGGCCACGGCCGGTTGCACCGGCCGTGGTCACAGGCTGACTCAGTCAGCCTGTGACTACGGCCGGTGCAACCTGGTCGAAACGTCAGGCAAACCAGAGGTATGTAATACCCTAAATAAGAGATCGCGTTAATTCCCGTTAAATAATATTAATTATCATGGAACGCGAAAGTTTAAAAGTTAGTACACAAACTAACTTAACATTTTTATATATTTAAAAAAATGTATCAGTAAATATTAAAACTACCCACCTAAAGGCATGCTCAAGTAGCACTCGCTCGTCCGAAGACAGTCCCGCGTGGTGGTACGCGACCCCGTATCGCACCGCGCGGGACAACTCCGCGCTCGCCCCTTCGGCCCTCAAACCGCGCTCTAAAGCTTCACGCTCTGATGTACGGTGTGACGTCATCTCCCTGAAAAAATCTACCGATTATTAATATTCGGGTTACAAATGAATTAATTTACGAAACGGGTGACAGAAGTTTTAATACAAACACCATAAGTAGGTCTAAATTTCACTCACCGTCTCTGCAACTTGCAGAGTAGCGCGGCAACATTCTCGCAGTTTCGTTTTGTGGGGCAGAACACGAGACAACTGCCATCTGGAACCACCTCCGACACCAGACCACCGAGGAGATCTGGATCCAAGTTTACGGCAGCAGCAGAATACTAGTGTACATTGTATGGATTTAGCTTGCTTATTTTTTGTACAACAAAATACAACATAAGGTTTTTTATTACTCGTATTAAGCATTCACACACAGAAATAGTTTGGTGAGCTATCAAACCATCAATATCATTTGACATGAATTCTACTTACGTCATAAACAAGTTCTCTATCCGGTATAACTTCGACTCCAGCCTCCCCCCACTGTATTCTGTGCAACATGTTGCCTAATTTCACGTACTCCACCAATTCCACTGGACGAAACTGTCTCTGGAAGACATCCGCTCGAAGGAACTTCGCAATCTCGTGCAGGTTTCCTATCGTAGCGCTCATGCCTACTATCTGAATGTCCTCTAATAATCAAATAATAAAAAACAAAAAGATAATAATTAAAAAAAACAAGTTCACTACCAAAAAACATTTTAAAACCGATACAGCCACCATCCATGTGATGACGCATTAAGAATAAGGTGTCACCACCCCTATTTATCTCGTGGTTTAGATAAAAGTCGACTAAGAGAAAAAAACTCTGCAGGACAACAGCACTGCAAAGAGAAGGAAAACTTGAATCAAACTCTATACCGACTCGTCTGGCCAGCGTGGTATAGTAGACCAAAACCTGCTTTCTAAGAAGAGGCGAACAGAGCAGTGGAGTATAAAAGCTTTTGATGATAATGACAGCCATATTGCTTTTGCTTTTGTTAGTCAGTAGGACGATGTATGGATTATTTTGATACAATAGCATCACCATCTGTTTAGGTATATAGAGGTTAAATAAAGAAACACACACATATATACATGAGCCCTTCCTTTTTTGGCAGGCCTTAGGTTTTTATCACATAGTCAAGTTTCCCGAGAATCCGTTATGGCAAACGAGTATAGCAAACGCTGTATTAATAAAGGCAGTCTTGGCATATACTACACCTGGTCATTGGAATGGAAGAGGGGGCACAAATTGTAAAAATGGGTCACGTAGTTTGGGTACGTTCCCTTAACGCGCACATGAAACACTTATAGGTTGTAGGGGACCTCTGGAGTCGATGTACTTTGGATATCATTTCGTAATGTATTCACTGAGTAATTGCTGATGTAACTTGTACTGCCATGAAAGACATTCAAAGATCTCTCCTTAAAGATTTAAACATAAATTAAAAATGGCTGACAATAAAGTACTTACGATTGGTGAATATTACAGTTGAAAGTAACATTTCTAGTGTCCCACCTCTACCCTTTTCGCCTATTAAATGTAGTTCATCGACCTGAAGCAAGACCAATGGTGTGATATGTGGGCGCTCCTGTGGCTCCCGTATTAGTCTATACAATCACCAGAAAAAGTGGCGAAACACCCAAGAAGCTGCTTAAATCATCTGATCAAGTTGTTTATATGCCATTGATGATGATGAGGGGACAAACGAGCAAACGAGTCACTTGATGGAAAGTGACTACCGCCGCCCATGAACGCTTGCATGTTGTGTTTAAGAACTTCTTTGCATGTTTGCATAATTAATTCAATTATTTAGAATATAAAGCATGTACACGTATTAAATAGGTAAATATGATATGATATAAGCAGTGACGTAACTAGAGGAGGGCAGCAGTGCCTCGGCACAGGACGCGGACCCTTGGGGGCTCAGAGATGGTCAAACCAAACAATATAGACGCATCTTACTATTTTAGATGGGCGCAATTGCGAAAGCTTACACTGTAAAGCTGTAATGCTCCAGAAAGTGACCGCTGAACGGGATCGAGATAGGGCCGATCCCGAGCGTAGAGGACGTCGGTGATATTAGCCGTCGACAGGCCGCAGGCTGCCAGAGAAATAATTGCTGCGATAGGCGATAGGATGGCGGCCTGGTCGCATGATGCAATCTGGCCACAACACATGTTGATTGGGCCGATACGCGGGGGAAAGCCTGCTTCGGCCGGAATAGGGCCTGGCTTGGAATATGATTCGGTCCTTCCCCAGAGAAGGGCGCCTGAGACCGGCTGTCAGGATGGTTTTTATTGGAAACTTTATGGAATTTCACTTGAACAGTTTAAAAACTTATTAAGAGCCTCCATTTTTCGTAGCCCCTCCCCCTGGTTGTCCCTATTTTGGAGGGGGAAGGCACATTTAAGACAACAATAGACTTATATTTCAATATAGTATTACATAGCACTACCACAGTAGTCACTTTCCATTATTTGACGCGGCTGTTGGTTTACGCCATATTCCAAAAAAAAATGGTTTTTAGTTACAGTCGCTTTTTCAGTAAGTGCCCTCTGCTAGGTTTTGAAACGCTGCAGTAACTTCAAGCTTAATAGGTAATAACTTCATATTCTTACCACAATAAGACCAATCTCATTTAGTCTATTTAGCTCTATCAAACTCCTGACTAGAGCTAGTCCCTTCTCAATAGTGGCTACATAGATACTGTTCTTCTTTCGTCTCTTTTTAGGTGGTATATGACCCTTGCCAGCAGCATATTCTTCTACCAAAAACTCTAATTGTACTGCGAAGGGTGATAGTGACCATATCTAAAATAAAACATATGACATTGGCCTGAGCAGAGAGAGGCTTCCAAACAGTTTTTTTTTCATGTAAGTCCTTTTTTAAATGTATGTATTGTGTCCGCAACTCGTAGGGGTGTGGTCCGTGTGGTAATGAATTAAGAATATGGTGTGACACCACCCCTGTTCCTCCCGGGGTCGTAAGAGCCGACTAAGGGAGCAAACTACACAATACCTATACCAACCCGTTTTTGGTGCTCGTTTGCCCTTCTATACAAAAAGAAATTACTAAAACCAGTTAAAATATCAATTTTATATTAATGGAGTATATTAATATAAAATTGATATTTTAACTGGTTTTAGTAATTTCTTTTCATCATAAGAAAGAAACGTGTGGTGACGGATTAAGAATTCAGAATGTCACCACCCCTATTCATTCCGTGGGTGTCGTAAAAGCCGACTAAGGGAGTAAACTACGCAAGACAATAGCACTGCAAAGAGAAGGAAAACTTAAAACAAACCCTATACCAACCCGTCTAGCCAGCGTGGTATAGTAGGCCAAAACCCCTTTCTAAGGAGAGGCTTATGTCCACCACGGGACTATTCAAGGCTGTTGGTGTGATGTGTCCGCATCTCTAAATCTTATTTTTTGATTAATTGTACTTAACTTAATTTTATGTAATTATGCTCAAGACCTTGGCCAATTTAAATACTACCTACACATTATATTATCAAAAGCTATTCCACACTTAGAGATCATCCATAAGTTACGTAACACCAGTCGGACATAGTCTCGCTAACAAAAAACTGTGTCCCTCATAGTCGGCCAGCTTGCTGTACTTACAGGGGGGGCACGCACACATACACACATTAGTCAGCCAGAAAAAATATAAACATACAAGATGTTTCGCGTGGTGAAATGCTGTAAAAACCGTAGTAGTGACCGAAAGAAAATTAATCCAGGAATCACATGTAGTGGAAAAATATTGAACGATTCGTTTTTACCACATCTCGGAATTAGACGAAATTTGAAAAACCTCTCAAAGAGATTATTATATAAAAAATACTCCGCACTTAGGATATTAAGCAGTAGAATTTAGAAGAAAAAAAACAATTTCTTTATTGACTATGTTTTTAGGGCATAAATTAGGGTAAATTGGCAGCCCAAAATCAATTACACATAGAGAGCTGTCGCCATTACGGTGCTTCAGTTTTATTCAGCGCGAGTTCCGTCTGACTTTTTTTTACGTCCATATGCGTAACACATAAAATTCAATGAAGTGTGACATTGCATAAAACGTCGTGATTTCACATTTGAAACCCTAATTTCTTTGTATTAAAACGCTAAATTAAAATGATTAACAGTAATACATCACTTTATGTTTTTTAAATGTTTGATTTCGATATCGATTTTACTGAAAAATATTTTAAACATAAATAAATCTAATTTCATAACTTCTGTTCTATTTCTAGATGTAAAATTTCAATATATGTAACTTGACACACACACACACACACACACACTTTACACTAGGGAGGTGTATCACAAATGTGACCAGCTGTGACACAGACACAAATATATACCACAATTTATAATACTGACCTTTTCCTGCACGATAGCTACAAACGGTAATATAAACAATGCATTTTTTTTTCTATTCAGTACTTCCCTTAGCATCAACACCTCAGCAACAAGAGTCTTGCCTCCACTTGTAGGCAAAGCATAGATAAGATTTTGTCTTTTCTTTATTGCATTTAAGTTTAAGCACTCTTCTTGCCAGTCTGTGCAAACCAATACAAATAAATAATTTTCTCTATACAAATAAATAAAATTAAAGTGTCTGTTTGTAATGTCAAAATAATAGGTTTTTTTTTTGCTCACATGTTTATTTGCACGATACCTATTACCCAAAAACCAGTTTAAATATATTTTGTCAGTCTGTCTGTTTGTTTTGGGTAATCTTCAAAACGGCAAGTAGCTATTTATTTAAGGAGTAACTTAAGCTATATATTCCTCTCAAGAAAACCAAAAAAAAACTGATCAGTCCGGGTATCAAACCCAATGCCTCATGGACTTCACCACTAAGTCAGCGGTTTTCAAATTCCACGCGAAAGTAATCGTGGCTACCAGCTAGTATTATATTATGCTTAAAAACAGAATAACAGTGACCAGAGCAGCATTCTAAAATTGCTGCTATAGTTACTATTACTAACCTAAACCCATTAACACTTAAGCCTAAATCAACTAAGGGATAGACAGACCTGCTGTTGGCTAGTGGTTAGGGACTATGACTGGTAAGCCAGAGATCTTGCATTCTATTCCCACTCAGGACAAATATTGTGTTGCTAGCTGGGGCCTGCACTTAATTTGTGTGTAATTCGAAAAGTACTGCCTTAGTGGGTTTGATTCCCAGACTGGACAAAATTTTATAGGGTTTTACTGAGAGAAAAAAATACCCTCAATTTTTTCTTATATAGACAAAATTATGGTAGTAAAATATTATCAATCGAAGATTACTCAGAACAAACAGACAGACAAAAAATATTTAAACTGGTTTTTAGGCTTAGGTATCAGGTAGAATTCACCATGTCGGTGCCAGGTCTATCACATGAAAGATGGGGCAACACATGCAACAGCACCTGGGACTTGCGACCCAGGAGTAGGTTTACGGAGTAGTTTTACCTCTAACTTATAAACCGAAGGTTGTAATAAAAAAACTCACCATAAAACTTTTCTATATTTCTGTAAGTCTTAAATAAGCCTTTGGTTATCAATGGAAGACCATAAAAACTAGTACTAGAAAATGATTCTTGTTTTCCTATAACTTTTCCTTGATCTACATTTGGAGTATGTCTTTCAACACAACTTTCCTTAATATCTAATAGGAAGGAGTCCCTAGTTTCAAATAAATCACTTTTATTCTTCATTGCATCATGAAGGTTTGTTATCGATTCATTAATTAAGTCAAAACTTTCCTCTATCTCATCTATGAACTTCTTTTCTTCATGGTTATGCACAGATTGTTCCAACTTAGAATCAAACATATCATCTGAAATATCCTCAATTTCTTTTAATATACCTGTATTTTGATTAATTACACTAGTTTGTTTATTGTTTTCACTTAATTTCTCTGATTGCACACTTAAAGATTGACATTGACTTAATTGATTCGTTAAATTGGCGGGTGAACATCGAATATCACTATAAGAACCATTATTATTTGATTCATACAAGAATTCAACTTGATTACACGGCAAATGTGGAGAATCACATCTTTCTACAACACCAACCTCATCTTCATTGATTACAGATCTAATTGGGCTACAATTTACTAATGAGTTTGATTCTTGACTAAATTTAGTTAATCGCACAATTTCCGTTTTACTTAATCGCCGACGTTTAGGTGTTGAGGTATCTTTGATGTTATTAGCTGAATCCATTATAGAATTTATATTGCAGTTTATTTATTCTCTACGAAACTAGGTTATTTATTATTAATCTAAGAGGTAAACAAATTCCCCCGCGTGACATCATTTCAAAATAAATCTGACATTTGGCAAAATTGGCAATAGTGATAACAGATGACATCTAAAATCAGAGTTACCAGATCATGATGACAAACTCACCCAAACGAGTACACAATAATAAAAATATTCAATGCGGCAATTCGCACAGCATGTTTAAAAATTACTACATAATGAAATCGTATTTCATTCACTTAATGTACTTAACGAATGTAAATGGAGCTAAGAGAAAAAATCTTTAAGTTATTTAAAGAATAATCATCAGTATTTCACATTTAATACAGATAAAATTACAGCAATGTGAAATCCTCCGATATTAATTAGTTATGCTTTATACGACCTGAATTACGGAACTTGCGATGTTAAATAGCTGACCTGAACTTAACATTTATTATTACAGATATACACGTTATAATTGATTCTAGAAAATAAAGCTACACATTACACTTTTTAGTTTTTACACATTTTATTATTACATGGTGTTTATTTATTTACCACGTAGTATTAACTCTTAAGTATACATTAATAGCAGTAATGAAAGACACAACTCCATTAAAATCTGACTCCGTATATTATAGGAGATCCTCGAACTTAGCAACACTGATAACCGTGATGACATTAGAAGGTCAATTCTCGTAACTAAAGTTTGGTCTCAGTTCCGATCACCTTTCAATCTCACAACTGTGATAAAAGGTATTTTCGCAATAAAATAGTAGGACTAGGAGATAACCGAATCAATTTTTATTTGCAATACGATATAATCACATGACATTCAACGTTGGATGTTTAAAACTTTACTACGAAAATGTCTTTAATGACAGTTGTGAGATCGAAAGTTGATCGAAACTGAATTGAGACCGAACTTTTATTTCGAGAATTGGCCTTCTGAGCTAAATTGGCAACATTCAAGAATGTTTAACCGCATTCTGTACTACATGCAGGCATACCGGTGGCAAACAAGTGTGCAGTGACCTGTTGAAGCAAAAACAATGCATTATTTTGTCAGATCTGTAATAAGGAGTTACAAATGTCACTGCCAACCCAAGGCAGGCTTTTCAGGCTCGGTACACAGCTATGCAATCGTATGCAGACTGTCCATCAAATCGATGTCATAGCATTTATTTTTGAGAGTAATACTCTCATAACATAAAATTTAACTAATTTTTTTTTTTTAAAGACAACTCCATTAGCATTAGGAATATACCCTGTGTCGCGGGGGACTGTACAAACATACATGAAACGGACACAAAGAACACCCAGACTCAGAACAACTATTTGTGGATCACATAGTGTCGTCCCATGTGGGGTTTGAACCCACAACACTCAGCACAGTAGGAAGCGGCGTGGCGACCGCTTAAACCACTACGCCATCATTGAATCCGTGGCGGTTATTTCTGCAGTGTCGGCTGCCGCCGTGGTCCCGGTTCGAGCCAAACGCGCATACGCTGCCTGTTGAGCTACCTCCAACGCCTTGGCGAATGATAGTTTGCCGGCATCCTCTTCGAATAACCGGTCACGTTCCCGACACGCTGCGAGCCCGAGTATAAAACGGTCACGCTGTAGCATATCCAATGCCGTACCAAACTCACAATGAACGGCTAAACCTCTTACGCGAGCCGCCTATTCCTCAACGCTCTCGCCATCAGATCTCCTCGCCTTATAAAACTTCTGTCTATCAGCAAAAGTGCAACGTTTTGGTGTGAAATGCTTGTCTAATTTTTCAATTAATTCCTCCAACTTGACTTCTTCGAGTACTTCAGGATGAAGTAAGTTCCGTGCAAGGCGGTAGCTGTCGTCCGAAAAATGAGTCAGCAACAAAGCGCTCCTATTTTCGGTTTTCACACTATTTAATTTTATATACTGTAATAGCCGACCTTTAAATATAGGCCATTCTTGATTGTTATGATCAAAACTTGTAATATTACCGATAATATTAGACATTTTAACGAAACTAAGTCACTTTTTATTTTTTTAAACGCAGGTACCTCGTCGCCAGTGCTATGTCGGCTACTATACTACTAGTGAAACTACCGTTGCGATTGGATGCTCGTTTATTACCCATGACACAAGTTAACAGCAAAACTTATTTGCAGGCACGCACACATACACATCATATTGTCTTGCGTAGTTTACTCCCTTAGTCGGCTTTTACGACACCCACGGAATGAATAGGAGTGGTGACATTCTGAATTCTTAATCCTTCATCACACGGATAATGCAATGCAAAAGGTGAATTCGGATAGGGAAAATTAACCGTGGGATGTCATGTTTCGGCACATATAGCGTAGCTCAGCCGGAGCGATAGCACGGCCTCACAGAAAACTAGTGTTAAGTAATTATTTCGTCGCCTTTCACCGAGTGGGTGAAGATCCAGGAGCCCCTCCTCGACCATGGTTCTTGGGCGGAACTCAATAGCTGGCATCGCACTTGTAACTCTAGAGTTGCAAGTATCCATGGGTGGCGGTAATCACTTACCATCAGGACCCACCTGCTCGTTTGGCACTTTAAACCATAAAAAAGAAATAAATGTTGAGATATCAACTGATAGAAATAAAGGTCTCTAGACCTAGATAAGAAAACTATCTCTGTTTACTATCTCTATTAAAATATTTCTTTTTTCGCGTAGCTTTCCACTCAATAGAAACTTCCCTGGTCAATTTGTTACTGTAACAATAACGATTAAACTTATTCTTCGACCGGCAGCACAGCGACGTTGGAATGTGGAATCAGCGGCGTTTACCAACATCACATCACATCAACAGCCTTTAATAGTCCACTGCTGGACATAGGCCTCTCCTTACAAAGGAGGTTTTGGCCTACTATACCACGCTGGCCAGACGGGTTGGTATAGGGTTTGTGTCAAGTTTGCCTTCTTTTTGCAGTGCTGCGTTGTTTTGCGCCCTTAGTCGGCTCTTACGACACCCACGGGATGAATTGGGGTAGTGACATTCCGTATACTTAATCCGTCACTACACGGACGTTTACCAAGATTTACCAAGATTTAATAACAATTAAAGTAAAAATACTTTTTTTAAAGTTCAACTAATTCATAGAAGTCTGCATTTAAAAGAATTTGGCAAATGGTGACGATGCATGCTGCGATTTAGACAGACCAATGTCAACACAAAAAGTGAACCCCACGAGCGCAATGCCACTTGCTTTCTTTTGTTTACCACCGAAAATGTGAAGGACTTCCGAGTTAGATAAACTTAGTGATGAGGGCCGGTGATTTTGGGATGAAAAAAAAACTATCATTCAGATGAGTTTATGCGATACACAAAAAACTAGTCGGTAGTAACCAGCATTCTCCACTTGACAAGATATTTTTACTTCACAAGTCTGCTTCTCGTTGGCTGGTGAGATGCAATAGTAAATTTTATGTAATAATTAGAGATAGCATTATTGGTTTGGTATGTATGTTTTTGTGTTAGAGTGTGGGCAGACGAGCAGTCGGGTCACCTGATGGAAACTAACCATCGCCGCCCATGAACGTATGCAACTCAGGAGTCACAAAGGCGTTGCCAGCCTTTTCGGAAGGAGTATGCTCTTTTCTTGAAGGACCATCGGTCGTATCGGTCCGGAAATACCGCAGACTGGTTGCGCGGGGCAAAAAGTGTCTCGAAAAGCGCACAGTAGTGAATAAATAATTATTATTGAAAGCAACACATTAGATAATTAAAGTGGCCGCTTGCCTCGTTATTAGTTAAATTCCGTAAAATTAAATAATACCTCAGGGAATAGTAAATAAATAACATATAACGGATGGTCCGTTACTTGGAGCCCTGAAATATGTTCATTTCTCTGATTCAAAGGCTTTAGTCCCAATTCAGAATGAATACTGAAACTTAAAGATGTTTCATTTGTTGCCCTGGCAATAAGTTATTGTAGGCCCGCTGCAAGAGCGCCCAGCAACCGAAGACTTAATTCCTTCTACGTTTAGCCGTTGCACCTGCAAGCGTAGAGGCGAGCCGGGCTGGGCTGTATAGTTTCCCCATAGAAATCGGAGCTGGCTTGTAATCGTCGGCTCAAAAATGACCGGCGCTAAATATAGTAGCGGGGTGCGGGGGGCGAGCCCGCGCGGCCGCACTAGCACCCGCCGCCGGTCAGAGCCGCCCCGGTCGCCGCGGACTCCACATTCCAACGTCGCTGTGCTGCCGGTCGAAGAACCAGTGCCGAGTGACTGAGTGACCGTCTTCTTCCCGTGCGACGTAAGTGCCGTGCGTGAGAGTGCCAGTGTCGGAGCCAGCGGCCGTATAGTGTGTAGGATAATGTGTCCTTGTGGATTGAAAGTTCGGAAACGTTGAAGATAAGAGAGATGGCTCGTAAGAAGGCTGGTCTAAAAATACGCGCGCGGTATGTGCCAAATGCGGACGGGCGCGAGCGCCGCCGCGCTCAGCTCGAAGCAAACTCCTTGTATAGTGCGCCGGATTACGTTACCGCCCGCCACTTGCAAGCGCTGAACCCCAAGGTTTTAGCGGCAATCTCCACATGCATGAAACGAGTGAAAAAAAAAATATTTCCTAAAAAAAGAAGTATATTTCTCGATCTCCACACAATACACTACACACTATACCTGCCCGAAATTAAATAAGAAACTTAACACCAAAACTATTATTTTTTTAAATTTGCTATAGTGACACAATACGTTTTTTTTTTTTGTATTTTTATGGCTTGGTAACAAGACCTTTAAGCCAAGTCTTAATTTTTGAAGTGACACAATACGCTACTATTACTAGTGTTACTATTATTTAAAATTAAATTTTAAAATAAAAATTGAAATCTGTCAACCCGTGGCATGACCAATTGAAAGTAGAACAAACCTAAACAAAAATTGATCTGTTTTATACAATACAACATTAATTTTAATAAAGAAATAACAATAATGTTACTATGGCATACTTATTTATTAATTTTTTTATTATTTAGTACAACTCAAAAGCGATCGATCAATGTCTAAGAGGTACCTTACTATAAAAACGTATAACAAAGTCTATTTATTAAAATAAAGCTCACGTTTGAATGAAAGTGAAAGAAAAATTTATAACAAGGTAGTAAGGTAGTGATAGTACGAGACTACATTTTTAGAAAAAGCTAATTTCAGAAACAAGACTTATAAACTTAAAACTAAAAAAAAACTAAGCGATAAACTAAGTTTTTTTATAAGTCATAGTCTCCGGATCGAACTAGAACTGAAAATACTAAGCTAAAACTAAATATTAAATCAATAGTTTGCATAAGTTAATACTTAAAAGATAAACAATCTACTATTTCTAATATATTATGTTCGTAAGTTACTATTATTTTTCGTAACATAAAAAAGTATAGTTTTATTTTTAACGTTGAACTCATACTAAGCATTTAAAATAGTGGAATATAAGTTACTTATAACTTATTTTATTTTAATGTATGACACATTATCTTAATTTATAAAAGTTATTTATTTAGTAGTTAACATTTCGTAAATTGACAAACCCATATGGGTTGGCTTTTCTTTCGTTACTTTCCAAAAAATCGTCTCCTAGAAGTCAAATTGAAATAGAATTAAAAAAATATAGTTAGGCTATTAATCAAAACCGTATAAGAATAAGAAGAAGAATTCTATTACGTTTTTTAACGTTATTTTAATTGGTTCTTACTTTCATATTTCACCAACCGTGTATTTCGAACACTTTATTTTTGGAAGGACTTAAGTTACGTAGATATTTACTGTCAGCCAATTACAAGTCTTTAACGAAGTAAAAAAAAAAACGATAACTTTGTAATGTCAAATTATGTAAAACATTACTTCACATCGAGCACATTCCGCGATAACATAAAACTAAAATCTCACAGAAATCCGAATCCAGGCAATATTGAGTACGAACGCGAATCCAATTTTATACTTTCTTTGAATCGTTGCCAGGTCGTAGGTGTGCTCGATGGTACGAAAGATAAAACCGCTAAAAATAAAACAGACTTCATAAACAAAACGCATGCTTCCCGCGTTCACGTTCCCGCCTACCACAATTTTTTATTAGCGTTGGCACAAAAGAAACTATTTGGCGCGATTGACAAGTATATTCTATTTCCAATTTAACGTATTTGTAACGTAAGTATGGCGGGCTAATTTCAGTAACTAAGGATAACGTATTATTTTAGAACATTCCGTGGTTCAACGTTCCCTTTCTAAAAGTGTTCTTTACAATTCTTCGAAAAAACTTGTTAATTCTTCAAATTATTAGTTCGCACGCAATCTACATTTTACAAAGCTTTTTTAATTTAACTCGATGCTTGTCGGTATTGAGTTGAGGTAGCCCCAAGTAACAGATTCGCTACTGAAAGCTTAGAGTACGATATTTGTTAACCTCCAATATTACATCTGTATCAATTGTAATATTCGTTTCGTAACCGTCCGCAACTACTTGAAAAAATAAATTTTATTTTGGTATCAGAATGTAAACATAAGCGCATTCTAATTAATAATAAATCGATCAACGAATAAATCGTCAATAGAGCATCAATTGAAGAGTTGCCAATATTTCCTACGTCTGATTTAAATTACTCGTTTGTAAACAATACTGATTGTAATTTACTGATGCTAAAACTAACTGAATATATTTCTAGGCGTGAGAGTTGATCAAGCAACTGATATGCTGTTATGTCCAGTCTATAATAGTGTATCACACCACTCTCGAAACGCCTTGTTACCATAAAATAACACTGTTCAAATCTTGAGCCAAGAAAAATTAAAAAAAAAATTAAAAGAGGAATGCCTTGAACAAATATTTTTTCTTTTACAGATTAAATAAACTACCACCATGTCTGACGAGGAGGAATATTCGTAAGTATTTCGTAAGAAAAAAGTATCAAGGTCTTCGTATGTAAGCTCTTCCATTTTTTCAGAATACATACAAACATTTTACACATTTCGTAGATTTGAATGCCAGTGATTCCCCTTTCGTAACTAAATATCAAATGTAAAAATATCAAATGTACTTAAATGTGATGTGTTAACTGCACACAAATAGTGTCTCCATGATTCCTCATGTGTATGATAATATCCCTACTATCTATTCCACAGTGGCTCCGAGGAGGAGGAAGTAGAAGAAGAAGTCCCGGAGACGTAAGTATGATAAAAGTACAACGAGTCCCTCTCATACCCCCAAAATTTAGTTCTTTTAGAAATTGTTTGGTTTTGAAACACTTCAGCTTCTCTCAGCCTGATCTCTTTGCCTTTGCGATTCTATCATATTTTCCAAAACTATTAGAATAAGAAGTACACACAGTTGTACATGAATAGTAAACTTTTTTGGATAAGCGTGAAGTTTTCGAGGCATGATCGCAAGTTGTGATTCCCAGTTTCTTCGAACTCCCAAATCTCGGGCTTTTTGCACGCCCTCACCAAAACCCTATTCTCTCTTTTGTTGCAGGAAGTAAGTGGCGTGCCTTTTGGTTGATCCGGCACTCTCATACGCTTCGCTCGTTTTTTAGGCTAAGTTCAGTTAGCGATCCTAATGCTTCTAGTGCTTACTTCATCGCTTTTATTGCTTCCAGAGATACTACCTACGATAGGTGCTCCGATGCAGCTAGCCGTGCTTACTAACATCGAATATCTCGCATATAACAAACAAATTCATCAATTTCATGCTATTGGAAAGATCAGTGCATAGCAAACAACGTAAGTAACTGGTCTTTCCATTCATATGGTCATACACTTTGACATATGATATTTTTGAGTGTCTAAGAGTTTCGCTCTAACCCCTTAAGCTTCATGATTTCAAATGAAATATTACTTGTTGATGATTTGCACAGTTTTAATTGTGTTATTTATTTTCTTTTCCCGTCGCTGTCCTCATCGTGGCAAAACTGAAGACCCGCTCCTAAACCAGAGTAAGTAAACTCTAAGTACGCAATGATCCATCGCTTTGCTTCGAGCCACTGAACATGTTATGGCACCACGAACTATTGGCGCATAATGTTAACGTACCTATGTATCTTTTTCATACCTGATGGTTTTGTGCTTGAGTAAAATCTACACTGTTTCTTCGAAATTCTGAAATTGAAGGGCTAATGGCTGTAACGCAGTGTTTGTATCGTGTTTTACGCAAAATAATTGTCACCGCTTACTTGGTTATGTACAATCAATTTTGCAATAAAGACGTAGTTATATTGTACAAGAAGTAGAAGGCTGATTGTTGTTTTCTGTTTCTAGGAGTAGACCATCGATCGCGTAAGTTGCACCGCTCTCTGTGGTGTCACTAACTATAATCCAAACATTAACTCGATAAGGCGCGGGCGTAAGATTTTACGAATGTTTCCCAAATTTATCGTAACCGACCAGATGATCATTCGGCGTACGGAACAACCGCACGCCGTCCTCGGTCGCTATTTATACATCGGTCGGTAGGAGTTCTATTTTAGAAAAGCGTACTGTGCTGCGCCCGCGCCGATCTGCAAAGAAACGAGATGTCGGTCATCAGGCGACCGCTCGAGTCGACCCGACTTACATTTGATTTATTGCATGGAATAAATAACACAACATCAAAGCATGCACCACCTTGTACTACATTTAATATTGCCATAATATGTGTATTTATTTGTCCGTATACCATTGTCAAATTCAAAACTGCACAAAATATTTACTCAAAATGAATAATTTAGTAAAACTATGAGTAAGTATACGATATTTTTTACAGATATTATAAGATAAAACAGCGTATAACAGTATTAATGATAACAGTGGTCACACAATAATATATGACGCCGCCATAAGCTAAAACTTTAACAAAATGTACAGTACCCAATGTCCCTGCCTATACGTCAAAATAAAAGTGTAAACAAATTAAAATATTCTAACGAATGATCGTAAAAAGTATATCACCGTAACCGTAAATTATATGTATTGTGAACCGTTGTAGCAACGGTTGCCTAACATTAACACAAACTTGGTCTCAGACTCGACTATTCATGCATTCTGTTTATATTTACAGGGGTGAGGGAGACCCAGAATTCATCAAGGTAATTACATAACTCTTCATAAGCATATTTACCATTTTAACCTCAAATTTAAACAAAGTGTCTCAGAGACGACTTTAAACAGTGTTCTTATCTGTATTGTGTTGGACCCGTTATACTTTTTCTTACTTAAATTTTTCAAATATTTTTAACAGCGTCAAGATCAGAAGCGGTCGGACTTGGATGAGCAGTTGAAGGAATACATCAACGAATGGCGTAAACAACGGGCTAAGGAAGAAGATGAGCTCAAACGCCTTAAGGAGAAGCAGGCTAAGCGCAAGGTAAAAACTACCACTGTGTACATCACGATACACATTATACTCTAAGATTCTTAAGTTCCATTGTTGTTCAAAATTATATTCGTAATCTCAGGTATCGCGCGCTGAGGAAGAGAAGCGCCTCGCCCAGAAGAAGAAGGAAGAAGAAGAGAGGAGAGTTCGCGAAATTGAGGAGAAGAAACAGCGTGACATCGAAGAGAAGAGGCAGCGACTCGAGGAGGCCGAGAAGAAACGCCAGGCTATGCTCCAGGCTATGAAAGAATCCAGCAAGGTCGGACCTAACTTCACCATCCAGAAGAAGAGCGAAAACGTCAGTATAAACATAATTTTAGTTACAATAAAAGTATTGCATTTATTTAATCTATTAAACTAAGTAAAACTCCATCACCTGTAACGTTAAAATGCTTGTAAAGATTTGATACAATACTCAAACTAATTGATTCCTCTTAATTATAGTTCGGCCTCAGTAATGCGCAATTGGAACGCAACAAGACCAAAGAACAGTTGGAAGAGGAGAAGAAGATTTCCCTGTCCATCCGCATCAAGCCTTTGAACATTGAGGGTCTCTCCACAGACAAGCTCCGAGCGAAAGCTACGGAGCTCTGGGATTGCATCATCAAACTCGAGACCGAAAAATACGATCTCGAGGAGAGGCAAAAGAGGCAGGACTACGACTTAAAAGAGCTCAAAGAAAGACAGAAGCAACAGTTGAGACACAAGGCCCTCAAGAAAGGTCTTGACCCCGAAGCACTCACAGGCAAGCACCCGGTAGGTATCTGTACTAATTAGACTTACATAATATACCATACAAGACAGTAAATCAGAATCTACATACAGGTTGATGCCAAGATTACATAATAAGGAATTTAAAATTAGAATAAAAATTGATTTATTAAAAAAATGGTTTAAGGGACGAATAAGACGTTAATTCAATTCACGACCTCTTATTAACCGAACAAAGAATAATATTAAACACCTGTACTAAACATATATATTAATAAAAACCTTTGACATTTCCAGCCCAAAATCCAAGTAGCGTCCAAATACGAGCGTCGTGTCGACACAAGGTCCTACGACGACAAGAAGAAGTTGTTCGAGGGTGTAAGTATTAGGCATACCATGTATATGAGACTTTACAATTTATTTTCTATTACCAGGTCAGCAACTGAAGTGATGGAAGTTGAATTGCAAATGCACACAAAACGACTGTAAATTAAATTGGCGTGTAGCCAAAATCTAATTCCAGGTCACTTTCTCTACCTGCTCAATTCCACTTATAGCACACGATTAATTTTACATGTTCTTAGAAAAAAAAACTTAGCCATTACAACTGACTAAATAGTGTCTATCACTTAAAAATCAAAGAGCATAGATCGTGGGTGTAAAAATTAAGGCAATAGCCAATAGAAGTAGTAAATACAATTTAAAACTTAATATTGATGATGATATTTAAACGCAGGGTTACGATACTCAAGTTGCTGAATATCTGAATAAAACATGGAACGATAGGATGAAAGACTTCATGAACCGCACCAAAAGTAAGACAGACCTCGCGTCCGGTCCTGTGTGCGATATTGTCCCTTAGACGCATGTCTTCATGGCATGACACACTCCATATGTTTACCTAGATGAACCTCCATGTTGACCTGGTGAATTTTTCTACACCATTGAAAAAAGCACTCAAATCCAAAAAAAAAAAAGGATTTTCCGCTAACATTTTAAAAGTTTCAAACAAATTTGTAGAAAAATTCACTCTTCTTTTATTGAAAACGTTCTGAGCTCTATGTGTCCCGGTTATGTGCACCTCATCATATTTACCCTGTGTTAACGATTCCTATAGGACCTTGAGAAACTGAACAAGGACTTCCTCGAGAAGGTGTGGCAAGAGAGGACCGAACAATTCGGCGGCAGGCAAAAGAGTGAGTTAAAACTACTCAAGTTTATACATACTATTCGGTGGAAATAGTTTAAAAACTATGATTTAAATTTTAACAATGCAACGTCAAAGTTCATAACTAAGATATATATTTTACAGTAAAAAAAAAATTTATTCCGCAGAAGAAATTTTTTAGGTATAATATTTTACTAGCTGGAATAAAAAAAAATATGAAAAAAAATTGAGACAGGTCAAAACGCCTTTACAGTAAGTAATATGGACCTTCTATCAGAATAGTTTTTGCTAACTTTATTGTCCTTACCATACTTATTTTACTGCATGGCGATTGTTTTTATAAATCAATTGTGATCAGTGTAACAATTAGTCAGACATTTTTGAAAAAAATTGTAACCATCAGTAAACTAATCTGACCCATTAAACAGACCACAAGGAAAGCTACATTTTTTTGTAGCGATTTTTATATACTTTTTACAACTTGCAACTCTGACTCTGCCCCAAACATGGAATGCCCCTCACAAATTAAAATTGATTGATAGGATTGTACACTAGTAGAACAATTTAGGGCTGTCGAAGCAGGCATGATTTTCATTAGATTTTTTCCCTGGAATCTATTGGCCAATTATCGTGATAAAAGGACAATCACAATTGAGTTCTGATTAATTCTCGATCATGTGTGATCGAGAATTAATCAGAACTCAATTGTGACTGTAATAAAAGGTACATTAGTATTAAATATTCAACGTTGATTGTAATGTTTCGTTAATTATGTAGTATTGTAATCGAAAAAAAAATCGGTAATCTGTTAGTCTTAGTAATACTTTACAATTTTACTACGAAACGAAAGATAGAGAGTTGATCGGAACTAAATCTTGACCAAACTTATTACGAGAATTGGCCTTCTGATAAAATCGTTGATAGTGGTAAATTGCTTTTAAAAATAAACTTATTTGTCACTGACTGAAACTTCCACACGCACAAGTTATATCGTGTCGCATGGTCCTGCCTATAGATGTAAGACCGGTTTAAAACCAATCCGTTTAAAACAAAAAAAAACCGTTAAAACCGAAATAAACCATTTTTTTCGATTTAAAACGGTTGGTGTTGAGGTACAATGTTTTTTTAATTATAACTACATTTTCTTGATTTTACTGTGTGATATACTGATATTTATGTTGATATACTTAGCGGGTTTAGTTCTAGTTGGTCCGACCAACCAAGCGTAGGTATTACCTACATAAGTTATAGAAGCTCTATTGATAAGTTAAAAACTCTGTGTTGGTAAATAAACATTTAAACATGGGGGTTTAAAACGGCCACATCTTATTTAAAACGTTTTAAATCGGTTGTTTTACATCTATAGACCACAAAACTTGTGTATTGTGAATATTTGTAATATAACGTATATAGTTGACTAATATTACCGTAAATATGAAGATATTTTTTAAGGCTTAAAAGTCTGTTCTCTGTGTCTGTATATTTTATTCATTTAAAATTTATAATATAACAAGACTTGGGCATCCTTCTCAGGGTACAGCCAGGTCCCAATCGCAATAGGTCACTCTTGACGGAATGTATTATAGTTTAGTTTTAGTCGATTTGATTCTGAGATTCCACTTCACCGTTAGCTCCGATGATGCGAAGAGGCGTGGATTGCCACACAAGAATTTCTTTTATAAAAGAAGTGAATAAATGTTGGCATTTAGACTGATATTAAAACACGACCAAGCTTATTGTAATATATTTTACAAAGATTCTAGAATACAACTTAAACGAATCTTAAACGACGTCCTTGATATTTTGTTATCTGATAAGCAGTTCAGAAACGATTTGAATAAGTTCATTAGCAAGGCCATATAAAATGTATATCAATTAGCAATTATTTGCATGCATTTTAATTGCATGTATTGATATTTGATTTTGAACAACAGCGAGACTGCCCAAGTGGTTCGGTGAGAGGCCCGGCAAAAAGAAGGGCGACACCGATTCGCCCGAGGGCGAAGAGGACGTGAAGGCTGAACCTGAAGAGGAGGAACCTCTGTACGAGCCTGAACCTGAAGAGGAAGAAGAGGAAGTCGTTGAAGAAGTCGAAGAGGAGGAAGAAGAGGAGGAAGAGGAAGAGGAGGAAGAAGAGGAGGAAGAGGAATAAGTAAGTTGTTGAACTTTGTTTTTGGGTTGATAGTGGCCTGTTGGTCTACTGGTTAGCGATCCTAACCGCTTAACCAAATGTCATGAGTTCGTCTCCCATCTAGGACAAATATTGTGTAATGAACGCAAACATTTGTGTCGGGTGTAATTTTTCTATTGCTAGCTTTTAGCCACGCGTGTATGTCGATTATCGCTGTGAGAGTAGCGTATGTTACTCTTGGTTTATATCGCTTTCCATTGGTGAAAGAATTTTTAAAATCGGTTTAGAGGTAAAAAACAAATAGTCGTAGGTATAGATATGGGTTAATTCCAGAAATATCTGAGTATGTTTATTTAGAAATATGTGTCCGGTTGACGGCAATGGGAGATTACGTAACTGGGACTGAAATTACAGTAGGCAAAATGTCGGCGTTTAATCTACCCCTAAGTATCCCTGGGGGATGTCAGTACTATTATTTTGCAACATATACAACACCAAACCTATGTAATTATGTCAATTAGTCGATAAACTAGTTACGATACATATTAGTAATTTTTTTTAGTTAAGAAGACGGCACCTGGCAATTTAAGTTTTTTAAAATAACTTCAAGAAAAGGGCGTTAGTTCTTAAGTTAGTTTAGTTGTATTTTTTATATTTGTTACCTCAGAACTCCGTCATTTGTAAACCGATTTGGATAATTCTTTTTTATTCGGAAGGATATTCTTGCCGTTCAGACTTGTTGTGTAAAATATACCACCTTACAGGTAAAAAATGAAGAATACAGGTTGACTGCACGGATGGCGTAGTATTTTAAGCGGTCGCCACGCCGCTTCCTGCTACGCTGAGTATTGTGGGTTCGATCCCCACATGGGACGATACTTTGTCTGGGTGTTTTTTGTCTCTGTGTCATTAATGTTTGTATATATTCTAAGTTTGTTTGTAGATATTATATTTCTAATGCCGGAGATGTCTTTTAAAAAAAAGAAAGAAAAGTTTATTCCTATTTATTATGGTTTAGAAGCATAGTCGGTTCTACGGTTTTCACAAGTTAACTATTATAATTTGTCGTTGGCTTCAAATCTATGCTAGTATTATAAAGGTGAGTTTGTATGTTTTAACGCGCTAATCAGGAACTACTGGTTCGAATTGAAAAATCATATTAGAATTGGATAGCCCATTAAGGAAGGCGTAAAATCTCACTACAACCAATAGGAGTCGATGAAAAATGATTGTAAAAATGGGCCATTTTTGATTTTTTTCAGCTAGTTTTATTACATACATATGTTTGATGACTGCACGGATGGCGTAGTGGTTTAAGCGGTCGCCACGCCGCTTCCTATTACGCCGAGTGTTGTGGGTTCAAACCCCACATGGGACAACACTTTGTGTGATTCACAAATTGTTGTTCTGAGTCTGGGTGTTCTTTGTGTCCGTTTCATGTATGTTTGTTGAGTCCCCCGCGACACAGGATTTATTCCTAGTGCGGGAGTGGTCTTTTTTAAAAAAAAAAAAAAATGTTTGTTTGTTACAGGCGTTACTTACGGACTTGATCAGGGAAGCTAGATCGCCGACACGGACCGGACGCGTCGGATGAACTGTTTTGTAACCAATCCATTAACTTATTACTATTATAAATTATTTTTATTATTTATACTGTTGAATCATTCGTTACGGAACATGGACTTTTTGCACTTACGTCGTTACATCTATGGCGATACAATAAACTAATTTATTTCATAAGGCTGTCTAGTTTTTTTATTTTCGCCTTTTGAGTCAAAATTGGTGTCGTGGAGGAACAGGTTTTATGTACCCCCAACACAAGAGGATCCTCCGACCAGGCAAGGTCCAACAGTTGATGTAAGGCAGTTGAATGCTAATTTACTCGGGGTAAGAACTTTTCATATCGCGATTCAGGATTAGTAGTTACTCCGTAGTTCGGTGTGTCTTCGTCAGATGGCTCTGTAGTATGTTTTTGTTTTATTATTTGTGAAAGTCTACAGTGCTAAATCTATAGTCTTCTCTAACCTAACTTGCTGCAGTACCAACATGTATATTAAAGTGTCAAATAGACAATAGAGCTGCAATTTTTAGGAGGTGGATATCGTTAATTCAGGTAATTCAAACGACAAAATTAAAAAAAAATAGAGACTTGATTCCTATTCCTAGACGGGCGTGTTGGTCTAGTGGTTAGTGACCCTGACTGCTAAGCCGGAGGTCGTGGGTTCGATTCCCACCCAGGACAAATATTTGTGCGATGAGCACGATCATTTGTTCTGTGTCTAGGTTTAATTTAACTATAATATGTATGTATTAAGAAATATATAAGTATGTTTATCAGCAGTCTGGTTACCATAGTACAGGCTCTGTCTAGTTTGGGATCAGACATTATTATTATTTATTGCGTGCTTATCATATCGAGTCAATTTCTTCTTCATGTGCCCCTATTATAATAGTGGCTGTTAACAGAAAGTAAAAAGGTAAGTAAAAATATGGATAATTGATAAAATGTAGTTAATTATGTGGGTTACTTTTCATCTGGCGTTAGCCCGCGGCCACGCCCTTGTAAATGTCCCTCCTGAACACCAAATTTCATTTAAATCGGTTGACTCCTGAGTGGCAAGCGTTCAGGGGTAGTCGCTTTCCATCAGGTGACCTGTCTGCTCGTTTGCTCCCTATTCAATAAAAAAAAAGTGGTTCTGACGGCATTTTATAAAAAATAAAAACGATAATATACACTTATTTTAAAATATTTAATTACATAATAAATTTATAATAATAAGTAAAACTATATAATATACCGCAATATATAACAACCACACTAGATATATGACACACAAACGAGTTTTAAAATAGTCGCATCTGATCTGTAACATTTTCCTGTTACACATTTCCGTCCCCTTGCAGGAAAGCATTCATCACACTTGTTGCTATTATTATAAGAAAATAAACTGAAATAATAATTATTACGTCTGCGATTAACTGGTGGCAGAACACGAAGGTTTTTATATCCCAGTAAATGTATTGCAAGTAGTTTAAAGAGTGTCACTACGCTATAAAGATAGGTTTTACAGAAGTCAATTAACAAATCATTAATAAAATTGCAATTAGTGGAAGAAAATTAGATGAAATGGCAAGTTTACAATTAGCAATCTCTGATAGAGACACTCAAGAATAACGTAGATGACTATCGTTCATTCGCGTTAAGAAAATAGTGACACTGCCTGACAAATCAAGTTCTAGGAACAAGGTTTGAAATACATGATTTAGCCTCAATCATTAAATTTTACATCTTAAAGTACTGAATTGTCCTCCATTATCAATTTAATATTCTTATCGTTTTGATATCTTCAAATCAACAACAAACGTAAATGATTTGACATTAGCTAGGTATGACGTCACACCTTAGTATTTTATACAAAAGCGTGACGTTTAATAAAAGATACTGTATTTGCTTGACAGTCATATAGGGGTATATGTGACTTTCAAGGCAATACGGTGCGTCATCACTGATAGTAAAAAAAACACTTTAAATAAAGAAAAGAAACCTGAATCTCAAGTAATATATTTCAATTAATTACACATACACTACAATTTTTGCTAATGCTATTCTAAAATAGTCCTTATTACTTCTCTTTAAGGCTTCCCTGTTATAATACTTTTTGGAAATTAAATATAAGTGTCATATAAGTGCAGTTGTTACCTAGTCTAATTCACTCACGCGGCGGGTGTGGGGTTCGATGGCGGTGTGGAGGGCTTCTGGGGCGGTGTCTTGTGCATCATGTTGATCTTATCTCCGAGGGATAGCGCCATACCCTGAAAATATACCATATATTCAGTCAAAACCTCGGATGTGGTGTTTTAACTATTCAGATCACACATCAACAGCCTTTAATAGTCCACTGCTGGATCTAGGCCTCTTCTTAGAAAGGAGATTTTGGCCTACTATACCACGCTGGCCAGACGGGCTGGTATAGGGTTTGTATCAAGTTTTCTTTCTCTTTACAGTGCTGTTGTCCTGCGTAGTTTACTCCCTTAGTCGGCTATTACGTCACCCAAGGGATGAATAGGGATAGTGACAGTCTTCGTAGTCTTCTTGACAGTGACGTATTCTTAATCCGTCAGCACACGTAAATATTAAATGAGGACATACTGGGGAATGCGACGGGCCTGTTGGTCTAATGGTTAGTGGCTCTGACTGCTAAGCCGGGAGGTCGTGGGTTCGATTCCCACCCAGGACAAATATTGTGTAATGAGCACGGTCATTTGTTCTGTGTCTGGGTGTAATTTATCTATAATATGTATGTATTTGAAACTATATAAGTATGTTTATCAGCAGTCTGCTTACCAGGCTCTGCCTAGTTTGGGATCAGACGGCCGTGTGTGAGATGTGTGAGGTTATAATCAACAGAATAATAGGTATTACATGTGCCTTTGAATTTTGGAAACAACTGAACATGTCAGCCTGTGAACACGACTAGTGCAACATGAAATGAAATGAAGTCGTTTTATTTCTTGTACGTTTAGATCTTTCAAACTACGCAATGGATTTTAATGCGGTTTTCGCCTATAGAGTGATTCGAGAGGTGGGTTTATATGTAAAAAAGCAGTAGAGCAAATGGTGTTATGTCCTCGTCTCACACAAAAGGAGACCGAATAGGAACGAAAGAGGACCGAGCGAGGAGATCGTGAATTTTTCAGGGACACGGGTGTGTGTATGGTGGTACCTGGCTTTTGGCGCGGATCCTGACGTGTCCGACGACGGGCGAGTTGGGCTTGTGCAGCGGCGTCTCGATGCTGAGGTTGGCGAGCGCGTCCTCGCCGAAGATGGAGCGCGCGTACAGGTTCGCGGCCATGAACCCGCACTGGCCCGACAGAGCCTATACACACAACCATTCTCATTAACCAGCTGTTTAAAAGGTCAAATTCACTCAATTTTATGACAATTTATTACAATATTACTAGTAGTTTAGAAGATTTGTGAATTCAAATAAACATACAATTATTAACTACATCAAATCGATAAGGCAAAAATATTTTGACTGCACGGATGGCGTAGTGGTTTAAGCGGTCGCCACGCTACTTCCTACTGCGCCGAGTGTTGTGGGTTCAAAATCCCACATGGGACGACACTTTGTGTGATCGACAAATTGTTGTTCTGAGTCTGGGTGTTCTTTGTGTCCGTTTCATGTATGTTTGTAAAGTCCCCCGCGACACAGGATATAATCCTAATGCGAGAGTTGTCTTATATATTAAAAAAAAATTACGTCTCTCTTCAAATTATTTTCATCCATACTAAGGTTGCCTGAAAGAGATTGCACTTAGCTATTTGTCCTTCGTACATTGTGTCGTATGTACACTTCTAATGTAATAACAATGTAGATGTATGTTTTGCCAATATTATTGTTTTTCATTTTTAATCATTTTTCATATTTTTTTTATCCCTTTTTTTTTTGCCAACTCGTTTGGGACGGCAATTGTTTTCTTCCAAACGCATACTCGGAGGAAATAGATTGCTGTCTCAAATATAAGCAAGTAACACTGTATACCTTAAATTGAAAACGACGATGTAATGTATACCGAACAACAATGTATAGCGATATGTGTAATCGCAACTGGCACCCACAGGACTGGCTTGCCTAGTGTGGGGCCACCGGCAATGTATCACATATTTTGTACTTTTCTTTTTGGTAATAAATGAATTTTGAATATTTTTTTTTTTAAAGAAACAAAATGTTTTCAATCTATGGATACAACATGAATTAAAAATTACCTGACAGCTGTCAGCTTATTTATAGGTTATTGACATAATAGATTTAGTGTTTGTAGTCACAGGATTATTTATTTTATTAGTTACTTAAACCTTTTTGAATACAATTAAGTTTTAATAATTTAGTGACAATGTAACATCACAGACATCAACAGCCTTTACTAGTCCACTGCTGGACATAGGCCTCTCATTAGAAAGGAGGTTTTGGCCTACTATACCACGCTGGCCAGACGGGTTGGTTTAGAGTTTGTTTCAAGTTTTCCTTCTCTCTGCAGTGCTGTTGTCCTGCGCAGTTTGCTCCCTTAGTCGGCTCTTACGACACCCACGGGATGAATAGGGGTGGTGACACTCTGTATTCTTAATCCGTCACGACACGGTAACATAGATTGCTAATAAGTGTCAAAAGCCTTATTAATAACAATAAAATGTGTTACCTTTTCTGGTGTGAGACACTTCATGTTGGTTGAGGCCAGCAGGTGTTGCAAGTACTCCCGTAGGTCTGTGATGTTAGTGTTCACAGACACCTACGAATAACAACCAAAATTATTAGTTATGATGTCTTAACAAACTCTTAAGAGCACTCAGAGGTTTTAGGAGAATTAGGTTAACTGAGCTGTGTTATATATCGGCTAAAAAAATTAAAATATTAAAAATTAAAAAAAAATAATGAAAATTGGAATGTTGTTTGATGTAAGGATGATTAATAAAATGTAGTTGACCATGTGGTTTTATATTCAACTAGCTGAGACCCGCGGTGTTACCCGCGTTTGTTGTTATAACCGCGGGCAACGCCGCGGGGCGAAGCTAGTCTAAAAAATATTGGTTGCCTGTAAAGTCGGTATACGGGCGAAAGTTTTACGTGACAACGACTTTGAGTGGTAAAATAATGGAAGGGACGCGTGCCTCTCACTCGCTCTCATTGTGAGCGCATAACGTGAGCGGAGCGTAACGCAGTTTCTTGAAGTGTCACCCGGCAAACCAATTTATAAGACGTTGTCACGTCAAAAGTAGCCCAAGTTACTCTTTATGTCATCAGCTATCTGCCAGTGAAAGTCCCGTCGAAATCGGTCCAGCCGTTCCAGAGATTACCCGGAACAAACAGACAGACAGACAAAAATTGTAATTTTGGCATATGTGCCGTGTAAACATACATAATATGCATTTACTAAAAAGCGGTTATTTTAATATTACAAACAGACACTCCAATTTTATTTATTTGTATTGATATTCCTAACTTATTTATTGAAATTCATTATAAATATTGTGTTTTTCGAAATTAAAAATGTACATTTTTAATCTGTGATATACACGGTGATTTTGAAAGCGTTTTGGAAACGAAATATTTGAATTTGGAATCATCTATAGTACCAATAAAAATGATTAAATCAATTGTAATGTTGTCTAAAAAAAAGTTTCAGTTTTAATATTCATTTTTACTCGATCGACTTGGAAAGTAGTAATGGACTGATCGTTCATTCATTATCTTATATGAATGAAACACGTCCGTGGGCGTTTCGGCGGCCGCTGCGCACCGCCGACGCTAACAGCAGCTGATAAAACTATACCTATAGGCGCGAGCTAGCGAGTACTTACGTAGATAGACTCCAATTTGTCCTTCATACTTTACACGGGCTTAGGACCGTCAGAAATACCTATTTTATTTAAACTTCTTTTCGATTATTAACCACGATTGTTCTTTTCACAACAAATCAATTTATCAACGGACTGTAGGTATAAATATTTCAGGCGTATTTAAAAAATCGGAGCTATCTACAGAATAATTAACTTACATACCTATTTACACTATTTACAGTTCTCTGTATCGAAGGAACTGCTCAAAATGGAGTCCGCTGCATTCAATACACAAACGTCCACGTTTAATGCAATTGTTTTTTAATTTTCTTAATGTGTCTCTATCACTTTTCACTTTAAAGCGTCCACTATCGCAATGCGTAAATTATCACGGCTTTCATATTCCCGTGTATTAACAAGTCTTTTTATTTCCGACCATAAGAAAAAATCCAGGGGCGTTAAGTCCGATCACTAAGCTCATTGTCCAGGTATGCACGCACTACACTCCGGCGAATAATAATTAAAACGTCCTTGACCTTGCGCATGAGTAGGCGCACGAAATTGTCCGTGGTAGAGAAGACGTTGGGTTGCAGCCAAGATGGTAGGTGTGGAGGGAATTTGAGGGCTTTCAATTCCACGTAGCCGTAGTGCATTTAAATGCTCCGGCTTGGGAATACAAACGCCGAGCCTCTTCCAAGTTGTAGTTGGCAGTAGCGTACAGCTGTACCATTGCCAAGAAGTATTCCACGTTTGAAAATTCGTACTGTCGACTCATTTTAGCGCTAATCAATGCAGCGTGCCGTCACGATGTTATGGTATTACTGACCGACTGACGATGACAGGTGAGCCCCGCGCATGCGCCTACGGGGCAGACGTCATTGGTTGGACGACTCCGGCGCAACTCGGTAGCTTTGTTTTTATTGGCGAATACGATTTGATGTGACTCGATATTAAAACGCATAGTATTTCTATTCGTAGTATTTACCTACGTGTGATTGAATAGCCTACTACTACTGGTTCTGACTTTTTCTCTGTAAACGATATGAATATCGACTTTGATGATAAAAAAAAATATATTTTATTAAATTAACGTTATATATAGCTTCTGTTACTGATAAATAACTCAAAATTTTCTTTTCCAAAACGCTTTCAAAATCACCGTGTATATACTAACTGTGTAATGTTATAACTGTATGTTGAGTTGTATTGTGGTGTCAATTTCTTTAATAACAAGACGATTAATACAATGTGTAACATCTCACTTTTCACAGTAGGAGTGAAGTCACAATCTCCCCTCCTTATTTCGTACCCCCCTACCCCGAAAGTCAGTCTAAAGACAGCAACGTCTTCCTATTTCAATATGGGTGACGGTAGTCTCTTGACCCGTCCACCATGATAATAATATAAGGCAGGAGTGACGCGGCTCGTACCTTGTTCTCCCACTCGAACTCGGCCCACATCTGTCGGAAGTCCGCGTCGCTGCAGGCGGCGGGCTGGATGTAGTCCACGATGTCGATGTGGATGTCGTTGAGCACCACCACGCCGCGGTCCATGGACGCGCCCGACACCTCGTACACTGCGCACACGCACTCGCCTTACTCACAAATCTACTACAACTTTTGTTTGGTACGTTGGCTGTATTCATAAATAAAAAAGCCATGCATCGATCCCTATCAACGACAGCCAAAAGAATAAAACTTCCTATAGTAAAAATGTTTTTTTGATAATCATTTTTAAAATACTTCATGACGGAAAGTCAAACAAAAATAGTAACGTAGTTCCAATCATTTATTTCACATCACCCATCAACAGCCTTCATAGTCCACTGCTGGACTCGGATCTCTTCTTAGAAAGGAGGTTTTGGCCTACTATACCACGCTGGCCAGACGGGTTGGTATAGGGTTTGTGTTAAGTTTTCCTTCTCTCTGCAATGTTGTTGTTCTGTTAGTTTCTTCCCTTAGTCGGCTCGTACGACACCCACGGGATGATTAGGGGTGGTGACACTGTATTCTTAATCCGTCACCACACGGACCTAATTTATTTAAATCATAGGAAATTGAACAATAATGATGAAGTAGTTGATACTATAACTATAAAGCTACAAGTACATGGCACCATCGGGTCGCTCTGGGTCAGTGGGGTGAAAAAAATAAGTGTAGTAACGCAATAAAAATAAGTGCTGTGAGATCTGTATTACCCTTTATTTTGTTGGAGCCAGGATCCTTATTTATTTAAAAGGATTTTACTCAAGGACTCTTCGGTTTCAGTACTATCGTGTTTTTTGTTACAAATAAATGAAAAATTAATGATAAAGAGTTATTTAAACTTACCAATGTTACCAAATATAATGCCGTTCTCAGTGGAAGCGACTTTGACGTGTGCCTTGATGGTGGCATAGTCCCGCGGGGCCAACACAACCCCGCTGGGCCTCTCCACCAGCCGTAAGTCTCCGAGGGTTGCCAGCTCCACTGTGCAGTTCTGCAGTGTGTCATCTATGACCAACACAATATATTAAGGATTTCAAATTTATCGGCCCCAAATTAAAACCCTGTGGAACTCCTAATATCAATCACGAACCATTATATTTCTTGAAAAAAATCATATAAGTATTTGTGATTACTAGAAGTTTAAGAAAATAAAAGGTAAACGTAGAGTAGCTTATTATTAGTTATTATATCTTTATAATAATAAATTCATCACTATGGTCGGCAAAATTTACAGCTGCTGAAGACATAGTGTATCTGTTTTATGTGAAATAAAATGTTTAAGCTAATAATATTGTTTTAGAATATTCTGTAAAGATATTATAAGTGAGTTCAAATAAATAAGTAAAATGAAACATTAGTGCCGACGTTTGTTAGGTTAGTGGAGTAGTTTATTATCAACTTAGTCAAACGCTTCATGTAAGATTTTTGCATTGACAACTAGAACTTTAAAAATTGAAATTCTAGAATATATGTGATCCTATTAAACATTACATTATTATTATTATACAAACGACAGAGACACCAAAATTACTTCTAGTGGCAACTTGAAGTTCTACTTAAAACTAAAAATAAGTAAAGACAAGGTAACTAATGCGTAAACGCACCTGTTTGGTTGACGACCAACACGTCCAGTACAATATCGTACTGATTGACGGACACTATGGCCTCAGCGTACACGGGGTCGGAGAAGCCCGTCAGTTGCGTCACCTTGGACAACTTGCCGCGCTCCTCTGATATTCCAGTGGTACGACCTGGAATGTTATCTGGAGATTAGTTTTCTGGGAAGTTATTTTATGTTAAATGTATGTATGTATGCTGTTAAGGTGTATAGTTATTGATGATATCCTATTAAAATATAATTGACTAACTAATTTTAAAGAGAACATAAAAAATATAAAAATAAAAAATTAAAGTAGTGTTTGAAGCCAAGTCCATTTAATGATGCTCTGTTATTGAAGCTCCCTGCTTCAGTAACGGAGCATCGGCTGGGTTCTTCACTATGAGAGCCGATGCCAGCTCTCCTTTGGAATGTAATCGTTCATAAACGAGACAAAAGAAGAGTTAAAGAAAACTAAGTGGGCGAAGGAGCCGGGGTGAGGGAGACCAAAATTTCGGATGGGAAACGGAACTGCGACCGTATAAGTTGCGGTCGCGCGTTCGTATATCTGTTTGTTGCGTATGCGACGCGAGAGGGACATCTGAAAATATTAATAATGCAGCGTCCGCGTTTTACCTTGAAGCGCCTTGCTGAGCGCCAGTTCGAACATGTCGTGATGTTGAGCGGCTCCTCCGGCGCCCGCGAGCTGAGCGAACACGATGCCCGACTCCACCTCCACGGCCGGCTCCAGGCGCTTGGGCTCCCGCTCCTGCACAGTGCACGGTCGGTGTAGCGAGCGGTCGGCGAGGGGAGAGCGGTCGGAGAGCAGGGACCTACCTTGTCGGAGTCGTCGAGCAGGTCGGCGGCGCGGTCGGGCAGCGCCAGCAGGTTGGCGAGCGCGCGACTGGCGCCGCCCAGCAGCGCGCCGCGCACCACGGCGGGGCGCGCGCTGGCGGCCAGCACGCACAGCGCGCCGTGCTCCAGGTCGTCCGCCGTCAGCCCGCTCTGCGCGCTCGCCGACCCTGCCGCCCGTTATATTACTAATTATCTATCGATTCGCAAAGGCTTCTGAGAGCGTCTGCCGAGTGCGCTTGACTTATTTATTGTTTGGGAAATGTTTATTTATTATATATAACACCGACGCGAAGGCGATATGGCTGCAAATGACGGCATCGACGAGTCGGATTAATTGAATGATGAACCGCGCACCGGTTTATGACAAGATTTTACACGCACCGAAAGTCCAAACGAATCCAAAAATGTCGTAACAAAAACATTAGAAAGAAAGACATTTGTGAGTGAATATAACCGTAAATGTTTGGTGCTGTGATAACTGAATGCACTTTATTGTGTCGAAGCGAGAGTCAATATTCATTTTAATAATTTTAGACACGGAGAATTTCGTACTAATATTTTGATTCTTATAATAAATATGATTTCTCATTTACATACTTATGTAAATATATTTGGCTAAATTACCAGAGTGCTGCTTATGATGAGCTAGCAATTTAGCGGCGAGATGTATGGCCTGCGTGGCCAGCTTGCTGTCGGACAGCTTGAGCGACAGCTTGCAGAGCGCCGAGCACGCGCACGCCGCAGTGAAGGGCTCGCCCTCGCCCAGCACCGCCCACAGCCCCGGCCCCGCCGCTACGGGGCTACTGTTATTTCTGCCCATAAACAAACAGATTATAATCACTCGAACCTTTGTCGATATACTACTTAACTCCATTTAGTTGTGGCCAACAAAGTCCAACATTTTCAAATTTAATTATTTTTTACTTGGATTAATTCGCTGCAACAGAATAGGTACTAACAACTGAACAGGTTTAATTATTACTTTTTTTTGTTTTATATGAATGTGACCAAAGCGTTTGAATTAATTGATTATCGTGTAAATCATTCAATAGACCGAGTGTACATAAGGTAAAAGAGACGAAAAACTTAACCTGATATTTAGAAACAAACATTTTCGCATAAAATTCCAATAAGGATAAAAATATCCTAATTATGTAAGTAAAAAGAAAAATAATCTCATGGTGTTTCACAAATTAGTGTTTTAGGACCAAAATTTCTGTAAGTACTTGTTTATTTTATAAACACATCCAAAAACAATTTTAATACTGTTAAAACGTACGTGGGTAAGTTAAAGGCGGATTGGGATGCGTAGGTTCCGTCACTCGTCACCAGCTGTCTTGGCGCTGACGTGTCTTGTTGGGGCTTGGCGGTCGCTCCCTCGGACTCTTCCTACAAATTATGGCTTCTATTTTTATACTAGTTTCACACACTTTATATTAACTTCATTTTTATCATCTTATTAAATACAAAATAAAGAATTTAGTTATTTTAAATGATTACCTTTTCTTCCCCTGTGGTCAGAGAGGGAATGACTTCAGTGAGCATGTTGAGTGCAGCCTCAGCTCTAGCGGGCGAGTCCGCGAACTGAGCCAGGAGCCACAGCGCCGACCGCGCGATCTTGCCCACGCGGATTGCAGGCGCGCATTCGAGGAGTTTCTGGGAAGTGAGTATCGTTTAGAGAACGAACGTACGAGCCTCGCGTTAGGTTCGGCAGGCGGCGGTACCTGGTAGACGAGGTCCCGGAGGTCGGTGAAGTTGTGGAGCGCGGCGCGCAGGAACAGCATGACGTCGTGCGCGGCCGCCTCGCTGCCGTCGCCCAGCAGCTCCAGCAGCGCCGGGGCCACGCTGCCCGCCACCTCCGGGAACTGCGCGCACACGCACTTATTACTTATGCGCTACCGATAACTTAAATACGAGCATCGAGGGGAATATTTTATTGCAAATAGTAGAGAGAAAATAGGAGGAGGATAGGAATTGCAAATAGACGAAATGTTGGAGCCGGAGGGAATACGTAGAAAGAACGTGGTGGACCTTGAGCGTGGCCTTGTGCAGGGCGCGCACGAGCAGCTGTCGGTACTTGGGCCCGTCGTCGTGGTCGGCGCTCTGCGCGCGCGCCGCCTCCTTGCGCAGCACGCCCACCAGCTCCTCCGCGTGCCGGGAGCTCACCAGGTCCAGCGCTGCACATTCACACCACATATCACTTTACTAACAGTAATTGTGTTTTGAACCGAATATTTAATCAACTATATTATTGATCAGTAACATCTTTCCTGCATCTATGGAAATGATTTTAAAAAAAGGCACAGATTGTTTAACAAGAAGTCGAGAAAAGCGTATTATTTAATATGACCTCATTGCCATTTCGCTAAAGCTGGCCATTAGATCGTAGATGACATGTCAAATGTTCCATATCATTTGTGACTACTCACTCATAGGGCTCACTGTTTTTTTTATTATTATTATTATTGTCACCGGTGCTTACAATGTCTCTGTATGTGCAAAATTTTCAAGTTATTTTGACATTTGGAAGTTGTTAAAATAATATAATATATCTCACACACTCACACACGGCCGTCTGATCCCAAACTAAGCAGAGTCTGTACTATGGTAACCAGACTGCTGATAAACATACTTATATATTTCTAAATACATACATATTATAGATAAATTACACCCAGACACAGAACAAATGACCGTGCTCATCACACAATATTTGTCCTGGGTGGGAATCGAACCCACGACCTGCGGTTTAGCAGTCAGGGTCACTAACCACTAGACCAATAGGCCCGTCAAAATACTATTTTAAAAGATTCAGATAGCTGAACATACCTAGCTGCAAAGTATGCTTCCTAACGTCCAAATCCGACGACTGTAGGACTCTTAGAACATCCATAGCCAGGTCGGGCAGAGCTCTGGCAGCCGCTTCGCCTCCCTCCTCTCTGAGAGCGGACAGACGCCCCACTACTATCAGCTTGACGTTGTTGTCGCTCTCTTTAACTATAAGGTCGATATAACATGCTGCCGCTGCCTGTAAATACCCAACAACACCTTTAAATATAAAAAATAATATCGTGTTAATCTATGGTAGGGTCAGGGATGTACTATTAGCTTTATGGCATTAGATGTCTTCTTCAGAATAACATAAAAGAAAAATGTTTAGCCATGTTTATATTTTATTTACAAAGTATGGGACGACAAGCATTTGATATGAGAAATTACCGCGAGAGACATTTTTAATCAAGGAGTCAAATTGTAACAATACTTTAACGAATTTTTGCTATATTTAAAACAACTGTAATAGGATTTTTTTTAAAACAGGATTTATATTTTATTAGTAGTATAGCAGATTATATTAATATATCGAACCGACGAAATAAAAACATAGGTTCAAATTTATTTAAAAAACAATCGTAATGATATATATTTAATATATAATTTTTTTAAAGGTTTTTTTTTAAATTACATTAAAAAGTTAAGGTCTCGGTATACCCCCCTGTGGCACACCCCATTAAGAAATACCGAACACATACTAACAGAGCTAAAGGAAGAATTAAGTTAAATAAACGTTATGCAAGCAAAAAGAAACCTTTTGGCCTAGATAATATAGTTGAAGTGTTGAATACTAACTTTGATAGCAGCAGGCGCGTTGGAGAGCGTGACGAGCGTGCCCGCCGCCTCGTAGCGCACGGCCGCGCTCGGCGCGTTCAGCAGCCCGTACACCGTACGGATGAACCGGGACCGCTCCAGCGGGTTGGCGTGGCACACCTGCACACCACACCCACCAACGTATCTTATAGTCAAATCAATCAAATACTCTACAAGCTTGAATCGATTTATCGTAAGTATCGTTCACCGAGTCTTATGGTAAATCACTAGTTACGCCACCATGACAAATGTCAAAACGGGCTTCTTATTTTGTGACGACTGTACATAGCGTTTGAAATAGTGAAAATCTATACATTTAAATTACTTGGCCTTACTGACTAATTCATCAACACAAACTTAAAATTTTGGCAGCTGATTGATATATTGGAAGCACCCACTAAGAAAGGATCGTTGGAAATTTTATCCCTTAAAAATAAGGGTAAATTAAGGGATGAAAGGTTTTATAAAAGTTTGTCATTTTCAAAGTTAGAAATAAGAAATAATCACACGAGGGAAGCCGCTACTACTAATATATGCAACACAATGATCATCTATACTAATATTATAAAGCTGAAGAGTTTGTTTGTTTGTTTGAACGCGCTAATCTCAGGAACTACTGGTCCGATTTGAAAAATTCTTTCAGTGTTAGATAGCCCATTTATCGAGGAAGGCTATAGGCTATATATCATCACGCTAAGACCAATAGGAGCGGAGCACCAATGAAGAATGTTTCAAAAACGGAGAAAATTTATTACTATTGAGAGACGCAGACGAAGTTGCGCGGGTCAGCTAGTGTTAAATATAACTAACCTTGTAAATGAGTTCAACGATAACGAGCTGCAAAATATCTCCGAACCCATGTACACTGTCGAGCCTCGAGGATAGATAGGTCAACGCGCGCTCTTGATCTGCGTGCAATAACATAAGGAATGCATTTCTCTTGCAAGACATATCTTGTTCAGTTTCCAAGAAATTGGCTATCAGCTCTGGCGCATCAGGAATTAGGAACTCGAAGTTTCTACAATAGAAAATTATTAAACATTAAGTAATGGTGCCAAACCTCCTTGAAAGGAAGAACGTAATTAAGATTAACAAAAACAGATGAGGCAAAGAAGCCCTATAAAAGATACTGCATGCCTGGGATGAATAAATAGAACTTAAACTGCAGGGGCTTGAAGACGCCGAATATCCCGATGTCCGTCTTGTGATTGACGAGACAAGTGTTAAAATAATTATAACTTTCAGCTCAAACAGAATGAACTTAATATAAATATAAAATATTTTATTCTTTATATATAATTTAATTAAATATAACTTACCTATAAATAGTAAAAATGGCTAGTACAGCATTTCTCCTTACATAGGAGTGTCTGTGTTCCAAACAAGCCCTGATCGCAGGCATCAGAGGTTCCAAGAGCTCTGGCTCCTTTAATTTGCATAAGAATCTGAGAGTTGACCCACGGATGAACTCATTAGGGTGTTGGAGATCCTAAAAACATGAAGTGTTACAGTGCAATACAATAAAGACTATTTATTGATTGATTAAACACCAAAATAAAGCTCTAATAATGGACTATTAGACAGAACACAATGGAACAGTAGTTTTCCTATATTAGCTTTTTCAAAGAAAGAAACCAATAGGATTTAAATTGTCTGTTGGTCTAGTGGTTGGCGAGCCTGACTGTTAAGCCAGAGGCATTTGATTCCCACCCGCAACAAATATTGTGTGATGGGCATGATCGTTTGTTATGTTTGGATAAAATTTACCTATGATGTGTGTATTTAATAATAAGTATATGTATTAGTATGTTTTTTAGAAATATACATTGGAGGCAATAGGCTGGCCCCCTATTACATAAGTGGAGCTAAAAGTATATTAAGTGAAATGTAGGTGTTTTAATCCGCCTCAACCTCTACAAGAAGTAAGAAGAAGACATAAGTGTTAGTAAATATGTATTTAATCAGAGAAGGGTGAACCTGTGCTTCACCTAGATTCTCCGCCCGGGTGAAGCACGGGAATAGTACAGTCAAGAAATGAAGACAAATACATTATTTAAGGATTTATTTTAACGTATTTTTTTTTATAAAAAAAATTGTGAGTCTAAAATAAAATGGTTTTTTCACAGTGTTCTTTGAGGCGGCGTTTAGTTGCCTTAGTCTAAAGAATCGGTATTTTTCGATAACACTGTTAGCAATTTATTTAAGGTAACATAATTATATGGTTTTTTGAAGTCTTCATTGTGTTTTGAATTCTAACTTTCAGTTACGTTATATTGGTACTGTGCCTCTCGTTAAAAAATAAAAAATAAATTGAATAATAAATAAATAATATAAATTCACTCCTAGTTAATAATTGTTTCAATTTTTTGAATCAATTTTTTTTTTCGGTTCTGTTTATTTGAATCATATGGGGATAATAAGTTACTGCATCACTAACTGCCATCATCATGCAATAACATCATCAGTCGGAGCACAGTTCTATATAGTCCCCGCACTACACCTAGGTTCTCCACCTCAATCAGAGGGGTATCATAATCTAAAGGTACAAGCATTTACGTGCCATAGCACTCATAGCTGTATGAGTTAGATGTGTATTAATTTAAGTGCATATTATTATATTAGTAGTACAGGTAATAAGAAAAATATATTCTATATTGAGAATGCATATTATTTATTAACAATTACTATCATTATAAAGACAAGGCAGATTCACTTTCTTGTAAGTATTGAATGAATGTGAAACCACTATTCCTTAAAGTATTTGAACTTTAATTAAAAACTTGTTTGACTTAAGTAGATAATCTAAATTTTGGGTATAGCCATCTATTAGTAACTGTTTAGATAAATATTATATAAGCAATGGGCGAGATTACCTTTCTGTAAGCATCACAGACAAGAATCATCTCCTGTCTCAGTTTGCCATCAGGAGTAGTCTTTGGCACAATCTCCCAAAAGATTAGCAACAGTTTCTTGATGGTATGATCCTGAAGTGGCAACACAAACCTAATAATGATCATTAGAAGCCCAGGGATCTTCTCACCAGAGAGAATGATGCCGATAACTTTCTTTAACGCTTCTATTTTCTTTTTTGTGTCACCTTTCTCTGTGGAAGTTGAATAATAATGTAAAAATAATAAAAAAAAACAATTTTTAAAATAAATTGTTGAATAGTCCTTAAGAATAAGGTAGATATTAAATATCACATAAGGCTGTAAAATTATATTTGTTTCTGTTTTACATTAAGTTGCTTTAATTTTGTATAGTAGTTTAAAATTTGGTGTGTTTTACATAATTCACATAATTCACTTGTCTAATATATGTTGTTTTAATTACGTATTTTGAGTAAGTTAGTTCTATAACTTATCGATAGATGGTGTTGATCTTGTGTTCTGAATCACACTCTTAAGATATACGAACGGGTGTTCTTAAAGGTAGAATATTAATATAATGTGTCTCTGTTCTGAGTGTAGTGTTTTATTGTGTGATACTTTTGGGAAGTGTACACAACTTCATACAAAGTTTTTCAGTAAATACTGTCTGATGTTTAATAAAGAGAAACAGTACAGAGTTACAGTCTCAGATTAAATAAAAAAGTTAAGAAAAGAGAAGGTACTCTGTGAACAAAGAAGTGAGGATAGAACAAAGAGTTAAAACTATGCCCTCATGTAAACATACACAATTACATGCACACACATACCATGAAACTATGCTTTGTCAGTCAAAACCTCATCAAAACTGTCCACAATATTTACAAGTAAAAATGCCGAATTGCATTATGAAAGGGTGTAAAAATCCTATCCTACTAGATGGAATTGCATTTCACACATAAGTAAGCATGGAAACCCATGGCCCACACACACATGTTTATAAAACCGGCCTCATTTCATTCTTCGTTAAGTTCCATCTCAATTTTTTATTTCATCTAAAGTTACAGTATAACAATTTCTAGACAAAAAACCCTACTTTCTAAGGAGGGGCCTATGCCCAGCAGTGGAGTATTAAAGGCTCTTGATGTGAATAGCTCAATGATTTTGAGTCTACTCTTGAGTCTAAAAGCAGGTAAGGAGCTTGAGAAAAGTTTATTTGCTCACATTTTAGAAAATATAATTATTTTAATTTATTTACATGTCAATAAGTCAAAATAAATTTCCTGATAAAAGATTCTAATAAGATCAATAAGTATATTATTTTTTAACACAAGTTGTTCAATTATTTAGCTTTTTAACACAATTTTTTATAGAAGACAATAACTTATTTTTTACTTACCAAGGTCCAACTTGAGTTGCATTTCATTGTAAGGCTCGGAGTCAGTCGGGAAGTTGATGAGAGTATAGCATGGCTGCTCTACACCTGCCATGCTGGAATAACACCATTAACTCTTCACATGGAACCCCTCTGATATGCCACTACACTGTTAAGTGCTTTCAATGGGCGGCACTGTACAGTGTAGCAGCATATGAAAGGTTAAACCACATTTGTTATAGTTACATCATTAAATTACACATACACAATTGTGCTTTACATCATGCTTTTAATACAAACTAAGAGTAAAAAGGGCACATCTCAATAAGATTCGTATGGGGGCACGACAAAACTATAGTCAATGGTTCTGACTTCAATCTGAACAATCTAAAGCTGACATATGAATATTTACTGTTTAGTCAGCGGTCATAATACTCATGCTGCTTACTAAATATTAGTTACTCGTCTTTAAAACGCGAAATATTGTAAGCGGTTCGATTTACAAGTTTCCGGTGTTTGATTCTACATCAACTGTAACTAACCTGAATTCTGTTGGGATAGTGGTCTATAAGAATTTAAAAACAATATATGTTATCACTATTTTATAATCTGAATTTCACTAAAAAAAGCAATAACAGTGACGACTAAAATAAATTACAGTCCAAACTAAAACTAAATAATACGTGTCCACTTCCACAACGCAAAACGTCAGATTTGACAATGACAGTTACAACTTACCATAAATGCTTTTTTTTTGGAATTTAATAACCTGGTAACTAAGACCTTTAAGTATTTTATCTTGCCATAAATGCTGTGGTGCTGTTTAAAAGTTGGTTTCGCTTGGTTTCAAATCACACAAAATTATTTATCAGAAAATTCCAATTCCAATTCTTTTTTTTCTCTGCGGAAATTCCCTCGAATACCACCCACCAGTGGCTATGTCGGACTCAAACCAACTGAAAAACACTTCGGGTACCAGTGTTTTTCAGGCCAGGGCCAGGGCCAGGGAACCAGGTGTACCCTAGAATTCCTTTCTAGGGTACACCTGATTCCCTGGTACCCCGACGTACCTGGGGCCATGATAGTAGATAGATGAGAGGGTAGATGACCCCCTCCTGTGTGGGAACACCCATGTTCTCTTTGTGCTGACGATAGGGCGCGCGCTCGGCAGCGTGTCTAGCCGCCACCCCGGCCTGCTTCTGCTAGGGTGATAGATGGCTTCACCTGTCACCCACAGGCCTCATTCTGTGACTTCCGCCACCTGAGTTGTCTGTGGTACCGGGCCCGTGCCGCACCAGGGCCGCAATCATGTTACCGAACGAGAGAACTCCCGCCCTGATTGCCGCCACGAGGCCAAGCCTCTGCTCTACCTACGCCGAACAATCTGCCAGCGTGTTGAGCGCCGTATCCACAGTCCGGCTATCGTGGTGGTGGCACTCAGGCGTTGGCTCCTTGCGGATCGAACACAGGTGATCCTCGAGGCATTATTTCCCAGTGATCACCTACGTCAGCCGGTATGAGAAGGTCCCGTGATGCCTCTCGAGCCAATCCTCCAAAATGGGTCTTACCGCCGCATCCAATTACTACCCCGTCAGTCAGTACTGAATGTACTGTACTGACATACAGTTTCATCTCGGGCAAAGAAAATGATAATAACTTAACACCTCACAGAAGACCTTACATATTTAACTGGTCAGGACCAGACTGCCAATAAACATATTTATCGCTCTCTTAATTTAAGCTTTTGTCCTATTTCCTGCGATCTGTTTGAGATCCTGATAGGCTACGACTCCTACTTTCGCCTTCACTTCTTGTAGGTATGTTAATCTAGGTCGTCATTTTCTTTTGCCTTATATTATATATATTAATTAATTATTTATGTTTTTACATTTTTAATAAATACATTTAAAAACGTTACCCAGATTATTTTGTAGGTGAGCATCAACCCTACGATATTTGACTTAGCAGTTAGAATGTACTACAATTGCTACATCATCATCAATCTAATATAGTAATGTATTATGAAAACAAAAATGTATTTTTTATTTTTCAGTTACTATTATATTATACTATTTATGTTATTACAGATGATTTTATTAATTAAATGAATGATTTAATTATTATTTAAGACCATTATACCATTTTACTCCGTGGTTAAGACAGACATGGCAAGCACTTACCTAAGGATTAATAAGTTAAATATTGGTCAGTTACCACAACAAATATTATTAAATCTGTAAGGCTAAGCTCAACCAATTCCAAAAAATATTAGATTTCGATAAAAAGTGGACAACAAAAGTAGTTGATTATAATGCAGTAATTCCAGGCAATACTTATATAAATGCACATTAATACAGATAAATAACGTGTAAAACATTGAATTTGAATTGTATTATAATGATGTAAAGGTCTAGGTCCACAGTAGGTACTAAGTTAGATGTGCGCATGACGGTAGAAATAAAATCAATACTAAAGTCAAATCAACAAAAGTTACAAAGGAGTGCTTTTTTTATCTGTATTGAAGTGATACTGTGCTGGAATTGCGATTGTTCGTGTTTTGAAAATATTAAGATTGCTTAGATAAAGTTTTTTACTTATGTGTTGAACCATTCGATTGAAAATGGATGTGCTAGTAACTCTGTTTTATATATTATTCTCGATATGTGTGGTATATCCGCCCACCGAGTTTGTGGCAGCCGGCTTTACTATTGCTCAGCTGTTCGAAAAATTTTTGGGGTCTGAGAATATGAATTTTGTTACATATCATATGAAAAGGACAACGATTACGGCACTGATTCATTCTTCCTTGCCGTTGGGATACGTTTTATGTCTCTTGTGCTGCGGGGACCGTAATCCATGGCTACCAGCGGGGGCGGCTGCAACAGCGATAATCCCCTTGCTGATGTGTTATAGGCTATTATGTTGGTGGGAGAACGAGCAGGCTAAGCACCCTGTGGTGAAGGCGCTTTTGCCGTATGTGACTCCTGGGATCGACTGGCGGGTTATAGCTGGCAATCTCAATAGTCAATTTAGAAAGTAGGTGCAAATTGATTATTACAAATTTGCATATATATGTAGTAGACAGCTAGATATAACTGCTTTTTAGACTAGCTACTTAAGTTATTTTCAGCTCATCATGTTAAAATAAGTTACTGGGACCCGGGGGTAAAATTTTGTCTATTTTGGAATGCCTGGTTTTATTTCATTAATTTGAAATGTCATTGTTTAGACTTTGAACCATCATCATAGATCAAAATATATACTGGACAACATAGTTTTATGAAGAAACATATTTATTAATAACTTAGCTTATATTGTTCAAAAATTTTAGCTTCAAATATTTTTTTGTAGATATAAACATTATTTATATATATTTCTCATGCTTTTGACACTCATATAATGTCAATTATCTTCACACAATTTTCTCTAGCATCAATCATCAATCAAGAATAACTCTCATTCTCTTGTGAGGCGAGGGACGGATGGGACAGAGCTGTGATCGGAGTCGCTCTGCTCCATCCGTTCCTTACCTTTTCAAGAGAACTACTGCTAACATCGGATATGGAAAAATATATTTGTTTTCTTTTCTATGTTAAAAATGATAATCTGTTGTTATATTCAATTATTGTAGAATGTTGACAACTAAAGAAATGAATAGATCCACTTATACAAACGATCCCTTCATACATTTAAACTCAGTTGTGTTTTTAGTTTTTATCAATAATAGGGTATTACAATCATTTTTTTAAATGTCTCAATCAACTACCAAAAAAATAATATTTTATTCAGCCCATAAGTATTTCTTATCATGTCATAAAAATAAAATTTAGCCGGGTTGTATGTTAGGGGTTTTTCACCAGACTTTGGATGGAACTTGACGAAATTTGGCTCAAATGTCCAGAGTCACTGGATGACACTGGATGTCCAGAATGATCTTTAGAAAATGCTTTTTTATTGCAAAATACCTATGAAGAACCGTTTTTTTCTTTTCAGTTATTTAGCAATATCTCAAAAACTGCATCAAAATTGTATATCAGATGTTTGTACGTAGAAATAAGTGTTTTTAATAAGTCGATTGTTAATAAAATTCGCCCGGTCCGATTGCCCGAAAACGCAATGGAACAATTTTGCAAAATTGTTAAGTTGAATGGATTCAGATGAAACCAATTGGAATCAATTGGTATTAACAATACCTTTCAAGTGGCGCTCTGTGGTCATGACGTCAGTTGGCTGAATAAACAAATGCTCTTATATTCTGTATGATATCGTATTTAATTTAAATATTAGTTATTATTGTACTTAATTAATTTTGTTGGTGTGTTGTTCCTGAATCTAAGAATACACACCGGACAAATTGGGAATTCAACTGACACATTTAAGTTTATGTGGCCGTATGACGTAATAACATGACGGCTAACCATAAAAAAAAAGCTGGTCAGGTACGAGTCGAACTCGTTCGGAGCCGAGGGTTCCGTACCTACCCAGATTTCACGTAGATACCGTACCAAAATTTTTCAACTTTTTTTATTTTTTGGAATTATGCCTTTATTTGTGCTGTAAGATGTTTCTTTTTGCCAAATTTCGTGATTCTAGGTCAACGGGAACTAATAAAAAAAGTTAAAAATTAAGGTAAATTTTGGTACTTATAAGTTTTCGCGAAAATCGAAATTTGCCTATATCTTTTTATGGTCTTGACTTAGGACCTTGCTTTTTATACACCTAATAGGGACCATAGACCTCAGTATCTGGTATAAATTTCAACTTGCTAGGTCTACCCGTACCCGAAAATCCCACCGATTTTCAGACACACACAGACAGATGGACAAGAAAGTGATCTTAAAAGGGTTCCCTTTTTGCCTTTTGAGGTACGGGACCCTAAAAACTAAAAGCATTGAAATTAATTTTAAAATTTATTTTGTTATTTTATGAACTTAAACTAACATTTTCTGGTTGCTTTTTGTTTAGCTGTCTCCATAATAGATTTTCAGATATTTTCTCATATAGAGTAAAATATTAGCTATTAGCTCATCATCATCACATCATCATCAACAGCCTTTACTAGTCCACTGCTGGACATAGGCCTCTCCTTAGGAAGGAGGTTTTGGCCTACTATACCACGCTGGCCAGACGGGTTGGTATAGGGTTTGTTTCAAGTTTTCCTTCTCTCTGCAGAGCTGTTGTCCTGCGTAGTTTGCTCCCTTAGTCGCCTCTTACGACACCCACGGGATGAATAGGGGTGGTGACACTCTGTATTCTTAATCCGTCACCACACGGATTTAGCTATTAGCTCATTAAATGGATTTTTTTGACCACTCCAACTGTGTAATAAAAAGTTACTACTAACTTAATAAAAAAATGTTATTCCCAAAAACTCATTTGTCTTTGTTATTGCATCCTTTATGTGTCTTAATTCTACAGAATTATAACCTTGACGTGATATGTCTTTATATTTGCAAAATGCTTTATATTTTTTATGTGATTGATTAGAACACAGCTTTACAAATGACTGTTGATAGGTACAATGTAAAAAGTAAATCTAAGATGCTGTGACATCTGCGGTAAAGGACCGCAGTGCCTTTCAAATAGTGTCCCATAAACTTGAATGTTTATTTTAAAATAATTTTTCAGCGTGGACAAAGTCTCAATCCAGCTGACAGCGACAAGCAAGTTTGTAGCGACGGAAATATTTCTGATCAAGGTGTCACAGTACTCGCTGAATCTTGTCAAACAGACTGACTGCACACTGGTGGCAACTGCTGTAAGTACACAGTAGTAATATTTAAGACAATGCCAGTATACAGCTAGATAAAAACGTAAGGTCTCTATCATAGCATACAACATGATGTTGTATCTGACACAGTGTTGCGTTCCTATTGATGGGTAGGCTTATTTAAATCCTATAAGGCTCGGATGTATTCTGCATCCTCTCTTCATTAATTCTCCAGTTACATGTTGGTTTAATTTATTGTCATTTCGCTTAACTATATGATTGTGTGTTTACAAAAGCCCTTTTTAATGTTCTTATGACAACAAATGCAAATATTAAAAATTAGGGTAACCATCCTATTTCTATTATATCTGTAAAAATGTTAAGTTTTATGTACGCCGCAAAAAGTCAAAAAGTTCTGCACCGATCGAGGCCAAATTTTGACCCGATATATAAACCGCTTCAAGGTTTGTTTTATCTATTTTTCACGTCAATTTTGTGGCTCAATTTTCATCAATGAAACCACTACGCCACCACTGTGTGCCACAGTGTAGCGTGACAGGGCACAGCTATTAACAAATAAATATGCACCTTTAAAATCGACCGGATGGCGTAGTGGTTTGTGTAACGGACTGCTAATCCAAAGGTCGCGGGTTCAATTCCCGCTCAAGTCAAACATTTGTTTTCATGAACATTTAATGTTTGATTTGGTCTGGGTGTTTCTATGTAAAATATGTATGTATTTACCAAAAAAAAGTATATATGTATTTATATCAGTTGTCTAGTACCCATAGTACAAGCTTTGCTTAGTTTGGGATTAGATGGCGTTGTGTGAATCATGTAGAATATTATTATTATTTATTTATTATTTAAGTTAAATTGGTTATATAGGTTAAATGTATTTGAAAACAGACTGACAGTCACAATTTGTCGCAATCCGGAGAAGACGAAATCCAATTCGTCAACATCGAAGTGATCCCGTCTCGGGATGACATCGAACGCTTCACATTTCGCATATCCACCACCGCTCTGAGGGACTTACAGCCGCGTCTGCTGCACCCCGTGAGGGTGCCCGAACATATCTCGTTGATACCCAGCCTCATCGAGCGTTTCGTGACCGTCTTCAGGCACTATGTCGACAAGAATCCAGTGTATTATGTTGATCAGGTTAGTAATCCTTTTGTTCTAAATTATTTTTATGTTCTCTTTTGTATTATATGTTTTTATGTTTCCTCTGAGTTCCCTGTAATATCCAGCTTAAGTTTCAAGTATGCGACTCTTGAGTTGCTGGAGCTATTGCCTTATCTCTCTTCTATTTTTGTGATATCCTTCTATTCCATCTTCTCTTCCATTCTACAGTTCCCTTCTTACCCACATTTACTTTTCAGTATACACAAACAGCTTTTTGTCTCTTATTCCCAAAGTCCTCGAGACAATACAGTAAGCAAGTAGTGGTTGTCTTTAATATGTCCATGGCCTTGCCTACCTCCCTTCGGGGATACAGGCATGTGTGAGAAATAATAACAATTTACATAGTACATTTGAAAACGACGATATCCGCAGTAATAATAAAACTGTGTCGCAGATATCAATGCCCTCTCCCAAAAAATACAAGAAATCCAAATATATAGAAGAAATATACATTAATAAAGCCACGCAAAGCCAAATACTTACAAAAAATCGGTTGTCTGTAAAGTCGGTTTACTGACGATAGTTAAACGTGACAACGTCATAAGAAAATACTGATGGAATGGTTGCATTTTTCAAAAGAAACTTTAATTTTATTTGTTTGACAGATATTTTGTATGGATATAGAGAAGGAGGTAAATGGAAATCACAATTGAATTGATCGATATATAGCTGTATATAGAATAGAGATGAATATTCTATATACAGCGATATTGTATAGCAGCTGTCCACGCGGAGGCATCGCTCGCTCAAATAAGAGAGAGACAGATGTCGAACGCTGCCGAACGCGGAGGCCGATTGTGCCTCTTTGTCGCTCGTTCCGCGCTCTCGCTTGCACTTCAAGCCTTAAATGGAACGCCTCAGAGCGAGGTAACACCGCATGAGTCATGTTTTTTCGTGCGTGCAGACGGCTCCATCGAATTATAATAAGACGTTGTCACGTCAAAAATATATACTCGTAGAATGTGTATGGTGTGCGGGTAGTGTGAATGTAATTGTAGTAAACTATACTAAAATTACATTCACACTACCCGCACACCATACACATTCACACCACCTTCTGTACACCATACAGCAACCTCCGATATTGACCGCAAATAATTTTGGTCCTCAGGAGCCAGAGTTGTGTATCGGTTGCATGCAGTTCCCGGCTGATGTAAAGATCAACCGTCGTTGTCATCCGCCGCCTCCCCACATCGAGGGCGGACCGGTACAGTGTCAACAGTGCAACTGTCGGTATGTGGCGACTTTTCTACGTTTAGGATTTTATGTTTTTAGGATTTTATGATTTTTATGATTTTTTGATTTTATGGTTTTATGATTTTGTGACTTTATGATTTTGTGTTTTTGCCTATGGGTTTATACCTGAAATAAATAATTATTATTATTATAAGATTCTTTAATTCGTTCATTATATGACGCCATTTAATAATTGGCGTGAGGCAACATCATGGATTTATATAACACATAAATAAAGTTTAGGAGAGTGTCAGAGTGCCATTTTGAATAAAACACCGGTGTTAAAGACGGTCGGAGGCCTAACTACCAGCAAATTCAGGCGTCAATCACCGCTCGTTCGCCCACGATAATATAAAAAGCAAAGGTAACGATAGTGGTGTGGTGTTATGCAGCGTGCTGTGGTGCGGCGGGTGCATGGCGCGCTGGTGGGCGGCGCGCGCGCGGGGCCCCCCGGCGCAGTGGCTGGGGGGCCGCGCCACGTGCCCCGTGTGCCGCGCCGCCTTCTGCCTGCTCGACGTGTGCCCGGCGCAGCTGTCCGCCTCCTGAGTGCGGCCCCCCCGCGTCTTCGTCACCTACTCCGCCGTCTCCTACGTGCGCTAGGCGACGTCGCGGTCATCGGCAGAAGCGTGGATTTATCGGACTCTCGGTTCCGATCTTAAAAAAAAACTGTTGGTTTAATAAGTTAATATTTTTCTGTGAGCTACTCACAGTTGCTCACAGTGTGTTGATACCATTTTTTTTAAACTCGAGCAAGATCTCACTCGAGTAAAATCTTACTCGAGTAACTAAAGTTACCGTATGCAATAGTACTACATATATTGATTAACTTTATAGAGGACTAAAGAATCTTGTGTCTTCTTCCTGCGTTGTCTTCTTCTGTCTTCTATTTATCTAAAGTACCCTACTTTAACTATTTAAATTATTTATAGTAAAAAAAGGTGTAACTAAACGTTTTTCAATCTTGATGGTCGCAAACAATTCTTGATTATGAATTGTGAGTATTCCTTCTTATTTAACAATCCTTAAACGTTTTATTATTATGTATGTAATACCATACTATTAAAGAACAATGGCAGGTCCCCATACATAATTTTATTTGAAGTGAAATGACAGCGTTTAAATATCAAAAATGCCTAAAACCCTTGAGAATTTATTCTTAAACATTCTCATAAAAAAATTACTAGCGAAAGAAGTCTAGGAAAAAAGATATTGGCTTTTGAATGTTTCGAGGTTAAGTACTAAAATATTGTCAATGTTTTGTTTGAAACTAGATGGCGTTATGTGTCATATATTCGAAAATATTATTCATCATTATTATTACTTATAAGCAACCCTATTTTGCTGTAGAAAGTGTTAGCCGACTCTCTAAATGGGTGAAGGAAAGAAGGGTATTTGCTTGGCATCTATTGGTAAACAATAGAAAAAATCTTCGCTTACATAGCAGGTGTAATACTAGCTATAAATAAATAAATTAATAATAATAATTTGAATAAATGTACTTCAATACACATTTAAACAAGGCTGGAGCATTTATTTATTTATTTAGTTATTCAACAGTCAGTAGTTGTGACATTATTTACTAAAAGCATGCATCCATTTTATTGAGATTAATGCACAACATTTTAAGGCATCACATCATGCATATTGGAGTAACACTATATGAAATTAAAATTAAAATAAACATATATGAGAGTTTAATACTAAACAAAAGTGAAACAACCAAACAAACTACAATTGCCTTGTGAGAAATGGAATGTAAGTCATGCGTGTAAGTGTCAAACGACAAGACTAGTAAGTGCGACGACGACGTATCGACATTTTAAAAATATCGATATATGTCTATTTATGTGCCGTTATCAACCTACAATGTCTTTTTCTCATCACACTTAACAGTATATTGTTTTAGTATTTTTCTGTAGGAAAATAACGTAACTATATTCTATTTATTTTGGTGTAGCAAAAATCTTTTAAAAAGAGTCAAAAATATTCTAAATTATTTCTAATTAGGTTGATTTAGTCACTACAGTACTAGTTACGGTAGCGTATGAGTAAACCCGTGGGCAGAAGCAAATTCATAATCATAATAGGTAAACCTTCGATAGATATTTCAAGCCAAAGTTATAACAATCGATTATCGATAAAACGTTCCATAATATAATAATATCATCACGCATCCCTAGTCAGTTCGTGATGGCGATTCTGACATTACGTACTTAGGTCAAATAAAATCTTTAAAAATATCCAATCTCTTATTAGACTTATACAACACATGGCGGTATAATGATAAATCATAGAAAAAATATTTAGTAAGTTTACTATTACTCAATTTTTTAAACGCTTCAGTTTTAGGTAAATATGTTTCTGCCGTTGTTCTTTAACAAGACAACTTAAAAATTACTATTTAAAAAGAAAAATATTGTTGTCCTAATCGTGTATTCGAATAATAATTCTTTATACGCATTTTTAGTTATTACATGATCGCAATAATATTATTTGGAACACTTAAAGTATGTGTAGAAAAACTAAAGTTTTTTTAATGAATATGAGATCAATTTAGGAATTACTTTCAAATAGCGTCAAGTCCTATATATCATGGACTATCTAATTTTTGGTATACAATAAGGTTTATTCTATTGTATTATATTTTCTTCTGATCTATTTTTCGAAATTCGACCACCAGAATACTCCCAGACTTCTTGTTGTACTTTCAAAGGACTTCCACTTTTACTAATGACTTTTAATCTTATGTTAATTAATGGAATCTTTTCTTTCTTTCTAAGAAGAATGAAAGTAGATTCCAACTGACGATACGACCAGTATAACTTGAGCTGTCGCTGTATAGATTATAGAATTTCAAATCAAAATGATTATTATACAGTAACTGTTTTTTTATGTTACTTTTTTGTTATTGTTTTAGCTTTCGGCACTTCTTTAAGTTAAGTATTCCAAATATACAGAGTGTAAGGGACATGGTAACGAATACTGAAATAGTGTATTCAGACCATGATTCTAAGTCGAAAATCCTGCCGGAAAATTCATTTTTAAAATTTAATAAATTAAAATGATAACACAATGTGTAAACAGAACATTTTATATTAATCAATACCGCATACGGTCAAAAACTGCAATGTAATTAATCACATAGCCGAGGCGCATTGGGCCTCTCCTCCGGCCGCCAACTTGTGTTAGTCTGCATAGATTGTTTGCACGGAATACACGTGTAGTTATTACTTTTGTGCGATACCTATGGGAAATGACCTTTACCTTTGACAGTTGATTGTATAAAAAGTTAAATTTTTCGGTAGAAAAATTCCATGATTTTAGACTCAGAATGATGGTCTGAATTCACTATTTAAGTATTCGTTGTCCCTTACGCTATGTTGCTCTATATTTGTTTAAAAAGCGGTACAAATACTATTTTTTCACGTATTTATAGACTTATAAATTATTATTTCTCTTGTAGGGTTTATATTTAACGTCTGTTTTTATGTAGCGTTGTACAATCATTTACTCAAACTAAATGTATTAGAATTTAATGTGATAAAATAGTAAATGTTTATGATAATAAATCGAAATAGGGATGTTATTTAACGTATCGATGTATTCTAATGCTGTATCGATTAGTCGATAAAAAAAAATGTTTTGAAAGCTCAAAGTTTTTAGATGTTTTATGTAAATATATGTGTAGAAATATTATGAATGTAATTTTGATGTTTACTTAAATTAATGATCATTTATGTCAATTTTATATATGACATTGTAGATAGGTTATGAAATTATATTTAAATATTGGTGTATAATTCATACATAAATACATGTCTATTATATCTCAAAAGGGGTAGACAGGGGCATATCAAACGTCCGCTTTTATCATATTTATGTAATTTGGTCCCACTTTTGTAATAGGGCCAAGACTTGCCGTCCACCGGCATTTTATGCATTAATTGAAAAGTTAGGAGTTTAAAGGAAAGGTAAAGTTATTGCTTATACGGATAGATGGGGTTGTGTAAGCAATGGCTCGAGCAGTTCAGGGTATTTTACACCTTCGTGTACAAGGTAAAGGTAAAAATAAAGGAGTTGTATAGTAATCCCCGCATGTTTTAATATCAGTGACGCTGACATCAAACTATGTAATGTTTTTTAAAAGATAATATTCTAATCAATTAAACGCTATTGGTGTATTATTGACTTTTATTTTAATTCCTATAATACTTTTGCAACATGTTTAAAAAAAGTAATAACTTACTTTTAGTCGCGTTTGGCGTATTTTTTTTCTCGTAAATAAATTATTAAAGGTAAAAAAAAGGCTAATTCGTGGTCAAATGTCGAAAAGAAGTATTTTTTATAAATTTTTCTTGAACGCTAAGCGTAACCGCAAAAATAGGTATGTAAAAGTTCTTGAAAATGCTAGTGTACAATAAATATAAATAATGTAACTAAACAAAACACGATAAAGGCGTAAATTGGGGGTTGTCTATGCTTTATTGTTAAAAAAATATAATTTGACATTTACCTGTTGGCGCGAACATGTTAGATTTGTATCTAAGCGTGGCTATCGCATGGAGTATTTGATGCATTAGGGCTGAACGCCATTACTGGCACGACTTGTCAAGGACAAAAGGCGTATGTTAGTGACCCTTGCACTGCAAACAGAAAATGACTGAGAGTATCGCCATTGTACCGTACCTAGATCATTCTAAATCCGTACAGGATAGCAGACTATTTTGCCACCTGTCAGCGCTCACTAGCCCCTTAGATTCTGATGTATTCTGGCGGCCTTCCAAAACCTCCCGTGACGTGAAGTATGCCTCTGCACCACCTGCTGCCTGATACACATTTCAATTATGCAGTCCTATACCCCAAGTCCCCTCCCGTATCCTTCGGCGTCCTTCGGCGCGCGTCCTGCGTAATATACAGGGCCGTCTTTAGCCTATCGGAGCCACATTGGGATAATGGGGCCCCTACAACCTTGACTGATTAGTACTCTGTTAGAATAGCCAAAAAAGGTATTATAATCAGCCATTTTTGCTAAATTTTTCTAAATAAATATGGTTTTCGGTAATAAATATGGATTACGGATTAGGTAGGTACGTAGGAATTAGGGGGCCTCTATCTATCGAGGGGCTTTGGGCACGTGCCCAGAGTGCCCAGTGGGAAAGAGGGGCCTGGTAATAAAATATATATTATGTACTTGGAAATATCAGTATATACTTCTTTTCGACTATCTTGTACTAAGATTTAGAATCGCAAAGCATATATATTTGAAGGAAGCAGCACCTATTTACTAGCTTAGCTCTAACATGTTCCTAAATAATGTCGGAATGTTTGATTACAATCAAACAGTGTTGTATGGAATATTAAATGTACTGATTTCAGATAACCTTTGTCGCGTTCATGGTCTCGGTGTTAGTGATATCGGGTACAATTAAGTTTGGGTACGTTCGTTAGTTTGGACATAGCGAAGGCCTTCGATCGGGTCTGGTCCGGCTTCGGTCCTTTGGGCTTCCCGAGAAATTGTGAAATTGAGTCACCAGTTTCCTTGCGGACAGAATTATTATATACTTTATTATATATTATATACATTACGGTCGTTGTCGACAGTGCATGCTCCGACTTGAAATTCGTAAGGCTGTGTGTGTTTCTTCTGCATGACATGATGCAAACTAGTAGCATCCATTGCTAAGCAAAAGATAGCACTGGAGATGCCCTTTACACTGGCCGCCCCAATATTTCTCGGGAAAAAGTCATCGAGAGTGAAAACAAATTTGTGTCTGAAATTGAAACTTCCTTAGCGGAGGTTTCAGATTGGGGCCGACTAAATCTTGTCCAGTTCAATCCAAAAAAGACAAGTCTGTACGTTCACCGCAAAAAAGATAGGTACCATTTGTCGTATCACCTCAGTTTAAGAGCACCCTCCTAACTGCCTCAGCCAGCATCAGAATCCTAGGCATCGACATATCGAGCGAAGTCCAGTTTCAGGGTCGGTTAGAGGGTAAGGTCAAATTGGCCTCGAAGAAGCTCGGTGCGCTGAACAGATCGAGGCAGTATTTCACTCCGGTCCACCGTCTTCAGCTCTATAAGGCGCAAGTCCGGCCGCATATGGAATTCTGTTCTCATCTCTATATAGGGGCACCTCAGTACCAGCCTCTCCCTCTGGACCGCATCCAACGCAGAGCCACTCGAATCGTCGATAGCCCAAACATCTCCGATCGGCTCGATCCCTTGGTGTTACGTAGTGATGTGGCTTCACTCTGCATTCTCTATCTCTATCGCATATATCATGGAGAGTGCTCCGAGGAATTGCTCGGAATAATAAAAGCCGCAACTTTCCGCCATCGTTCCACACGTCAAAATTTTTATCCTCATCATCTTAATAGTTGGCGCTTCACTACTGTGCGCTTTTCGTGACACTTTTTGCCACGCACAACCAATCGTGGAACGGGTTATCGTCTTCGGTATTTTCGACTACGACCGATACGACCTTCAAACCTTCAAGAAAAGAGTAAAAAGTACACTATTTACTTATTCTCCGTGAGTTACTCAGAGGCTACAATTAAATGTAAAGAGCGTACTCCTTCCTAAAAGGCCGGCAACGTGTTTGGGACTCCTCGAGTTGCAGACGTTCATGGGCGGCGATGGTCACTTTCCATCAAATGACCCGTCTGATTATCTGTCCCCTGTAACATGAAAAAATGACCACGTAACACGCATAAGTAATCCCCTGAACAGTTCGACTATATTTAGACAACTTACAACTACGAAAAGGATTAGTGCACGGAATTGTCTCAGATTCATGATACACAAGTTCGGAATACAGAATTCTCATCATATACAAAGACTCGTAACAAACATTTGAACATGCACATTAAATAATTTAAGAGCATACGTCAATAATGATAAATGAATTATACTAATTCACTAGTTGACAAATACATTAGTTAGTTGTGCCTTTATACAATAATAAGAATAAAATTAAATTAAAATAGTTACTGTGATTAGAAAAATAAATAAAAATGCATGGAGTCTAAAAAGATTATGTTAGGTACATAAACTATTTAACAAAATTTAAATAGGGTAAACTGCCCAAGATAAATCGAAACCATCAAGGAATACGACTGGTCTGTTCTGGTCATAGTGGTCAGTGATCTTGACTGCTCAGACGAGACTAGACGTTGTAGATTCGATTCCCACCCAAGACAAATAACTGCGAATTTAGAAATATATATATGTGTGTTTATCAGCGGTCGTGTTGATAGAGTACTCTCTCTCTCGCTCTGCGTAATTATAAATCAAAAAGCTACGTGTTAGTTGTGTCAAGTAATTAAAATATTGTACCTATTCTTCTTACTAAAAGTACTGAAGGAGTAACCCTGTTCTCCGTGTGGTGACGGATTAAGAATACGGAGTGTCACCACCACTATTTATCCCGTGGGAATCGTAAGAGCTGACTAAGTGAACAAACTATGCAGGGCAATGACACTTTCTCTCGCTCGATAGCCTGATAGCGGCTATCGTGCGGAGCGAGAGTGCGTGGAACTCTGCCGTCTCATTCTGCGAGCAAGTTATGCTCGCGAAGGAGACGGCGGAGCGGGACCGGGAGAGGTTTAGGACTCTCCCGGCCCGCCAGGCCTGGGAACGGGCCAGGTACCGCAGGCGACTCAGGCGCCGGAGGTCGCAGAACGACCTCCGTCCTCCATAAGCGCAGGCCTGGGGGTGTCAGGTGAGGCCATCTCCTATACCAACCCGTCTGGCCAGTGTGGTATAGTAGGCCAAAACCTCCTTTCTTAGAAGAGGCCTATGTCCATCAGTGGTCTATTAAAGACTGTTGATGAAGTCAATTGTGCGTCAGTGAGTAAAGTTTTATTAAAAAGCTTCATCAGAGGAACCCTGTTATTAAAATTTGGGTTAAACCTCCTCGATGACAGGGCCGTGGCTACAATCACCCTAATTTAGGCCATTGACGACGGGTAAATTAACCCATAATTAAAAGGGTATCTAGATGTTTATCAGGTATTAATGCCTGTATTTCTTGTACACACATTAATTGTTTTGTGATTAATCTCTTCAAATCAGGTAGGTAAGTGCTAGAATTAACATTGACGGCCTCTGATCTGATTTTTGTTTTTCTATTTCATCTGTTATTAATGTTCTGTGTTTTCCATTTCAGGATTTAATTTAGCGGTCTGATATTACAAAAATTCTGTTGCTGATTTTCGGTTAAGTTAATCTATAATCTAAATAAAACTGAACATTTTAAGTTGTGTTTATTAGCGAAAAACAAATCTGATATAATATATGTAATTCTTTTAATTGCGGTATGAAGTAATCCGTCCCCCAATAAACGGATCAAACAATCTTGTTTGTACCATTAAATACCTGAATAACTAAATGCAATTTTTCTTCACTATTCTAATTATTTTTGCTTATTAGGGGAGGTCAGCCTTACATAGCTAAGTCTGGAATTGGTTTGAGACTGAAATAATTGTGATCATGATAAAATCTGCAATTTACGAAGTCATCAAGAATTATGTTAAAACGACAACACTGCACGGCTTCAAGTATTTATACTCAGCGTATTACTTAGACCGGTATGTATTTACACCGAATTGGTTATGCCTTTGTTATGCACAGGGAGAATTAAAGTATTTGGAAAAAAAAACCCTAAAATTAAATATTACGTAAAATTCTAATGACGCCCTTTACTGCATGTATTTTTTTTTTTTTTTATCATTTAATAGCCCTAAAAATGTACATTACAGATGCTGACATTCACGAACAGGTTAACATTAACACTACAAAAATCGATGACAATACTCACGCAAATATACTGCAAATGATTATGATGATTAATTGCTTCTGACTTTCAGAAAAAAATAACCGTGGCCTGGTTTTTTAAACACTTATAACGTGATGAAAAACTATTTGATTCAAGTTCATATGCGCATTCATTGTTTGTGATGTCAGTCGTAACCTAAACGAAATGACAATATTTTTTTAAATTGAAATTATTACTTTAATTACTAGTACATCTCAGAACAATAACTTTCGATATTATGTTCCCTGGCAGATGATAAAATGATGGGGCTAAACAAGTCTAAAACTGTTCTAGAGTCGTCTGGATACTCTGCTGTGGAGCAAGCGCTTGCTGTGCAGGTGTACTCTGCGCAGTTCTGTGGTCACGCTTCTTAGAAGTACCAGCATTATTGACGCTTTCGGACAACATCAACGATGGTGAAGTCATGGCGGACAAAATACCAGCCATTATCGTATGTCCAACAACCGAAAATGTGGCTGCCATGTATTTAGAAAAATTGTAAGATAGTTTAACTTTTAAGCTTAATTGACGCACTTTTCTCAAGTAGCTTTAACATGGATTATTTCGAATATTATGTAAAAGCAGTTACATTACTATCAGTGTGTAAATACTGTTCCCAAGAAGAATGTTAAATAATAATATTTTTGTATTCAAGCTCTTTTGAAAATGAAACTGAAAATCAAAGAATACCGAGAATACTAGCTCGTCTTCTCACCGGAAAATTCATAAGTAAAGATCAGCTTCTATTTCTTGATGACTTCCTGGTAAATAGGAATTTAAATTTGGCTGAAATAATGTTGGATTATGAGCCGAGCTGTAGTCAGCATACGAAAAGATGTCGGTATCAAGAGACCATTGTACCTTGTGAGGAACTGTTCCAGTCTGAAATGACTACTTCTGGCACATGTTGTGTTATTGATCCCAAAAAGTAAGTGTTATGATTAGAATGCGAAATAATATTTTTTGTATTGAAAATCATTTGTTTTTTATGTCAGAGGGGGCAGACGAGCAGACGGGTCACCTGATGTAAAGTGACCATCACCGCCCATAAACGTCTGCAACTCAGGAGTCACAAACGCGTTGCCGGCCTTTTAGGAAGGAGTACGCTCTTTTCTTGAAGGTTTGAAGGTCGTAGCGGTCCGGAAATACTGCAGACGATAGCCCGTTTCACAGATTGGAATCATTCAAATCATATAATCAGTCTAATACTTTTTGATAAGAAACTTCTAATTTCATTATTTTTAGGTGGAAAAACTTATCAGAAAGTTTTGAAGCTAGAACCCATACAACTCAGATATTGGATTTTGTGCTACAGTATACTCAAGGATCTAAAGACTACGGTTGTGAGGTAAATTAAATCAATTAAGTACCATTAAGCATATGATATTTTACAGCAGAAAAGAGCGCAGAAAGTTCATGACCTGCCTGTTTGTGGTCATTGCAACCCTTGGACCCCTCAATGAACGAGTTTTTATTTGTGACTTGAATTCCTGGTCATATGGAGCCTTAAGCAAGGAGGAAAGTAAGCACAGGGATCTGACTTAAGAAATGTTTGCCCTCCCTTGTTAATCTAGAGTTGGGCATTCTAAGGGCGGCAATGTCTCTAGAGTCATCACATACCATCAGATAACTGCACTGCTCATTTGCCAACCATTTCATAAAAAGTATTGAGGCCTTGGTATCTCTCGGGTAGAGGTGACCTTTAAGTGCCAAAGCATGGCTATCCCACGAATGATTATATTACAAGATTTCTGCATGAGTATGGCTATGTTTATACCCCTCAAATAACTCCGATCCTCAATATCCGGCAAGAAGTCCTTCAGCCCTTTTTTCTGTTCTCTTATTCTAGCTGATCACTATGTATGACAACGAGGAAGACAATGGATCTGACTTCTTACTGCCCGGGAACCTTTATATGGCTTACCAGAAGTTTATTGTTATTTTCAACAATCCAGGTCCAGATAATTTGATGGAAATCACCTGTGATCGTCGTAAAGGATATTCTATGACTTCATGCATGGTATTAATATCTTTCTTTATATACTTATTACATATTATGTATTAATGTTATGTATTCTTTAACCATTTAATCACATTTTTTGTCGAGTTTCCCAAAAATGTGAACTAAATGGTTAATTCATTAATTGATTGTGCTGTAAGTGGATGTCAAAAAAGTAAGTTGGCCAATCAAAAAAGTGATTTCACTCAACTTTACTTTTACCACTTTCAACACAATCAATTAATTAGTTAACCAATCAATTCTCACTTTTTTTTTAAACTATTAATTCGTAGTCGGAACTCAGCCGTAACGCAAATTTCCATAGTTATAAAATTCACATTTTTTGTCGAATTTTGGGATTATGGTAGAAATGTATCTGTAGGGGGAACCTGTGGTTTATATTAATAATATAATATTATTCTACCACATTCTCGTAACTCCATCATGTCCTAAACTAAGCAGAGCTGGTACTATGGGTACTAGATAACTGATATAAATATATATACTCGTACCTATACTTATTTTTTGTAAATACATACATATTATACATAGAAACACCCAAACCAAATCAAACATTAAATGTTCATGTACACAAATATTTGACTTGAGCAGGACTCGAACCTGTGACCTATGGCGTAGCAGTCCGTTACACAAACCACTACGTGATCTGGCCATCAAACCGTATAATACCGTTGCAAATGTGTTGATTGTATTAAATGCCCTTATACACCTGTACTGAATTAAAAATCTCTTGTTCATTTTTACAGTTAAAATGTGTCGAAATGTTTTGCGGCTGTCGAGATCCTTTTTCTCCAGAGGTCAATGATGAAACGAGTATACTGCCAATATGTCCAGTCACACGACTGCAATGCGTTAGGGGCACTAAATGTAAGCACGTCAGAGGGCGAGAGTCCAAAGATTATTGCTCATCTATGACTTTAGAATCTAAGACGATTTTAAACAATTTTTTTTTATGAAGTAAAGATATATTGTGTTTGAATTGGAGTAAGATTAGTTGTAACGATCTATAGATTAAATACTAGTTATTTTAATTTTAAAAAATAGTTACCATAAATACACTTGTTAAACAGATAGCGTACTTTCAAGGGGCAACCTTATTCCTAAATACAATTTTCTAGGCTTAACGTAGTTTACGTTGTAGTTAAAATTTTCATTAACCTACGAATAAATATTTATATACTTTTAAGCTTAACTTGGTTTTAGATAACAGCTCATGCAATTGTCTGCCACCATGCAGACGGGTCAGCACATCACTAGTTTTAGAACCCACGGATTTAAATGTCCAATACACTATAGATCCTTTTTTGTAAGTACCAACGTATACATAATTTTGCCATCTTTTCCACATTTAGTATATATTTACTTATATTATGTAGTAGTATTGTTTATTTATATTTTACATGACTAAAATTTAAATTTATCTAGATTTCAGTATAGAGTTAACTTTTTTTTTAAATTTTGGACCGAAGTTTCTTATAGTGCGTTACACGCTCTGAGCGGATTGGAGCGAGACTGAAAAATGTGTAACAATACTTTTTTCCGACACTTCTTGCTATACTTCGTCCATAGACCCCTCACGCTGTTTTTTCTTTATTTTTTTTTATCAAATTATATTTTTATATTAATTTTCAGCATGGGATTGAATGCTTCAAGTTCCATAGTAATAAAATTACGAGTCAATTTGGCGCACTCTCGAACTTTTTTACCAATTCCGACTGACACATGGGTCACTTTGCTGTGTGAGTATAAAAACACTATATAATAATATGTTATATATATAAATTAACTTTTTCTTTCTTTATTACATCATATTATATACCAATTTCATTATATATTTCAGCTTCGCTCGGTGGTGTTTTCAATATGTTCCTCGGTGTGGGACTATTCAGCGCCTTGGAGTTTTTGTTTTTAATTTTAGTCAAGCTACCTGCGGCATTAAAAAAGTCATCTGAAATGGATCCTATTGCTAAACATGACTTATCTGTACAGCGTCAGCAGTCCCAATATCCGAAAAACGAAATTTTTCCTTATAGAGATAGGCAGAGGCATAAACAGTTCGCTGGATTTGAGCCTTATTAAGCAGGATCGTATTCACATCACATCATGCAACAGCCTATAACAGTCCACTGCTGGACATAAGCCTCTGCTTATAAATGAGGTTCCAGGATCGTACTGCACGTTATTAAATGTAAAAAATAAATATCGTTTATGATTTTAAAGACACGACCTAATTAATACCATTTTAGGGGCTTACAACTGTCTACTTCATTTTTTAAAATAAAGAGTTGTATACGTGTAGTTGAAATGTGTTTAGGGACCTTTACTTGCTTGCTAATCTACTTAGCTTATAATATGCGCAAAAATTAGAAATATATCTATTATTATTAATAATGATCGCAATGATCACCTAGATACTCGTTATTTTCAATCAAAATATTTTTAGACATTTGACGTATATATTTTATACATCATGGCAGAAGTGGCATTGTTGATTTGGCTATCCTTTTCGATATTAAAGTACTTAGCAATTAATACGTAACGATCTGTATTACTTTTTTTTAAATGTTAATTAAAAAATTTAAAATTAAATTAATGTTAATTCTTGATTATAAAGGTATATCAGTCAGTAGAGTGGACGTGGAAAACCACTAAGCAAGACACTTAGACTTTGGACTCGCGTAAAGAGTACTCATACTAGTTTTATTCAATTCCTTTACTGAAACCATCAATGAGGGTTTCCAACGCAAAAAAAAACCAATGCGTTTTGTTTTTAGCTTAGATTAGTGATGAAAGATTGATACATATCATTTCGCTCTAAAGATATATATCCCTCATCTAGCTCACTAGCTCATTTAGCTCACTAACTCTTTTAGCTCACTAGCTCATTGATCCGATTCAATTGATTGGTCTCACAATTAATTCATTTCTTCATCTAGATCGTTTAGCTCAGTATACTTGTATATCACTCACTTCAAGCCTCTCTCGCCTTACAAATCTTTCTTTATTTTCTTATAAACCTAAATTCAGTTTTTGAAACTACATTTTTAACCTATTTTTTTTTAAATACAAAATTATTCATTTTGATAAGATAACATAATTATTAACAGCCTTTTATATAATAATTAAAAATAAGAAATTATTTCTTGTACTTTTTTTAGGTTGTATTATAGAAATCATACATAATTTGATGTTCCTTGTACTTTGATCCTATAAAAATAATGTACATTTTGCATAAAGAAACTTGCGTGAACTCAACCATCATCTATCTCACTCATTTATCTTTAGTCTCACTCGCTCATGAAACAAAGATCGGCGTCGTTGAGCTAGTGATCTAGTGATCTAGTGAGCTAGTAGTGAGTTACTGATATATTCGGAGCAAGTGTGAGTGAGTGATAGATTTTATCGTCGTGAATGATATAATTATATCTTTTATATCACTCACTCAGGAGCTACACAACTCTAGCTTAGATACATTTGCATGCCTAGTACAGGCAGAATATAGCTTGAACATTATACACCTTTATAAAATCTGGTACCACCTGTATTCTCTGCAAATAAATGTTTCTCTCTTTCTTTCTTTCTTTATTATTTTGAACATTTACTGCTTAAACTCATGGCAACACCACTAAACCGTCATGTAATTCGTTATCGCCGTGAAGTGTCAACGTCAAATACATGTGGTTTTTGTGGATGAATGTGGAGTAAAGATAATACATTTTAGCGTCGTCGTCCGTTTGGTTAGCACGTGCGTCTAGAATTCTTGTGTGATTTTGTGACTATTGGGTCTTTTTTTTTTGTTATTTTGTGCTGTCCTATTGGTTACGGTGTGTTGTTTGTAACTAAACATTACCGGTAAGTGAACATGAACGGAAATAAACCGCCCGACCCTCCCGATATTCCATATCCAGTAACCCCTCCTTTCACCCCTACTCCTTCCCTACCCGATCAACCCTCAACCCCTTCCAACCCCTTGGAACAGTTTGCCAATGTGATCTGCAATGCAGCGGTCCAAGATAATTGCCCTCTCGCTACAAACTCACGTAAACGGCATGTGAACGATGAGGTAAGTACCCCCCCTATTAAACGTAGCCCTAATCAAGTAAGAAGCCCGCTAGGTCGTGACAAGTACACGACAAATGATACTGGTCCCTACATTGTGCATGTTTCCCGCATGGAGACCCAATTGGGTTCTGGCACAACTCTCCACCCTGTCTCTTTTGGTGTTTTCCTTTTTAAAAATAAAATTAACAATGTGGTCAGAGATGGAGTCAAAAAAGTAGGTCGTAATAGGGTGTCAGTACAGTTTGCATCCCCTCAGGATGCCAACTCATTTTTATTAAACCCCTTACTAAATTCACATAAATACACTGCCATCATCCCCACCTTTAACATCACTAGAATGGGTGTAGTATCAGGCATCCCCACCGACATGGATGATGAGGATGTCATTAAATTTGTTACAGTGCCGCAGGGTTGTGGCCCAATAATTAAAGTCAGGCGCCTTAATAGGAAATGTTTTACTGAAGGTCTATTGGAGTGGAAACCTACGGAAACCTGTGTCCTCACTTTTGATGGCCAGGTTCTGCCTAAAAGAGTATACTGTTGTTACAACTCGCTTCCTGTTCAACAATATATTTACCCAACCGTACAGTGTAGGAAATGCTGCAGGTTTGGCCATGTGGAGTCCATCTGCAGGTCCAAACCAAGATGCAGCAAGTGTGGCCACGAACATCCTGGTAATGGTTGTGAGGTATCAGAAAGAGAGGCCTTTTGTGTGCTGTGCTCCGGTGACCACTTTGCTTATAGCAAGGCTTGCCCGGAGTATGGTAGACAGAGAGCTATTAAGACCATGATGGCGGAAAGGAACATATCCTACATGGAAGCAAGCAAGGTTGTTCCCTCTCCAACACGCCGATACGCTGACATCCTAAAAGCTCCACAAATCAACCAACTCCCTCAACCTTCTCAATCCACTCAGCCTACCCAATCCCTCCAGCACACACAGTCCTACAAAAAAACTGTGGTTCGCCAACCTAAACCTCGATCCCCACTCTCACATTCCTACGATAAAGTCGCACACCAATCCATTACTCAATCTCCCCAACCTTCACAACCTAATGGTTGTGCTATGAATAACTCATCCCTTGAATCCTCAACTATTGATCTTCTGTTACAACTCTTAACCTCCCTATTATCCCCCAATTCATCTCTATCCCAGTCTATTATACCGTCCAACGTTGCTGTCCCACTTATCAATATTTTAACAAATTTCAAAAATGGCGTCCCACAAAGTATTCCTACAATGGAATGTGAGGAGTGTATTCCATAAAAAACACGACCTCATATTCCTGTTGAACAAATTCAAGCCTCTGGCTATTTCTCTCGCTGAGACCTGGCTTTTACCAAGTCTCAACTTCCATGTCCCCCATTTCAATATTCTTAGATGTGATAGGCCTGATGGCTATGGAGGTGCTGCCCTCCTTATTAATACTAAAATCCCCTTAGTCCCCCTATCCTTGCCCCCATTCCTTGAGGATATCAGCGTGGTTGCAGCTAAGATCTGTAACATATCCGTGCTCTCTATTTATATAGCTCACCCCCATCTAAGTTTCCTGCCTACATTGAGAACGATTTTACAGGATCTACAGGGCCCAATATTGGTTATGGGAGACTTTAACTGCCATCACTATAGATGGGGATCTGAACACTGCGACTCTTTCGGTTCAGGTTTAGTGGAGATCCTCGATGATCTGAGCCTCTGCGTACTTAACAGTGGCTGCTCCACTCGTAGAGTTCTTCCTGGTCAAAATAGTAGCTGTGTGGATTTGACTATTTGCTCACTCGACATCGCCGCAGCTGCTAGCTGGCAGTGCACCGATCTGTCGCATGGTAGCGATCATTATCCAATTTTAGTAACCCTCCCAACTTCAACCCACTTGGTAAAATCTCCCCCCCCCCTTTTAAAATATATCCTTTCAGAAGCTAACTGGCAAAATTTCTCCCAAACCCTCGAAAACTCTGTAAATGCTCTCCCCAGACTAGACCTTAGACCCTTAACCCAGGATGATCGTTACCTGGTGATGGACTGTTGTGACGCGTTCGTAGAGGCAATCAGATCAAGTGCAGACAGTTCCTTCAAAATTAAAAACTCGAGCAAAGGCAAAATTCCGTCACCTCCTTGGTGGGACAGTGAATGTACTAGGGCAGTCAAGTATAGGAAGGAGTCCGAAAGGAGATACAATGCCGATATGACCACCCATAATTTACTCACCTACCAAAACGTTTTCGCCTCTACCAAAAGACTCCTTCGACGCAAGAAGCGCGCCGGTTGGGTTAAATTTTGTTCCTCCTTGTCCCCATCCACCCCATCCTCAATGGTGTGGAAGAACATAAATCGGTTCCGATCTGGTTGTTCGCCCTCTGTCTCTTCCTCTATCTCCCCCAATACAGCTGAGCTTTTCCTGGACAGAATTGCCCCCCCGTATGTCCCACAACTCGATGAAGCGACCTTACCAGACTTACCGTTTCAGTCAGTGGATACCCATGACGACCCATTTTCTCTGGAAGAACTGAACATGGTCCTCAACAGTGTGCGAGACTCGGCTCCTGGCATAGACGGCATTCCATATTCTTTCATAGTTCAGGCCAAGCCTAGTACAAAAACTTATTTTTTAAACATTTTGAATTTCTGTTATTCTAACGGTTGGATCCCAGATACATGGAAAGTTCAAATTATTATCCCCATTCTAAAACCAGGAAAACATGCTGGTGATCCAAACAGCTTTAGACCAATCGCCCTCTCATCAGTCCTTATTAAATTATTAGAACATCTCATCAAAAACCGTCTCGAATGGATTGTAGAGTCAAGGAATCTACTGCCAAACTATCAGTTCGGCTTTCGCAAAGGGCTCAGTACAATGGACAGTGTTGCAGTTTTAATAACTGATATCCGTCTTTCTCTGTCACAAAATGCATCTGTTCTAACATCTTTTCTCGACATATCTGCTGCATATGACAATGTCTTAATACCCATTCTCAGGCAGAAACTGCATCAGCTGAGAATTCCGGTTAAGATGATCCACTGCATATGCGCAATGCTTGTGTCCAGAACTCTAGTCCTAAGGACCTTAGGTGAAGAGTTTGGCCAAAGAAAGACCTGGAGGGGCTTACCACAGGGCTCTGTACTGAGTCCGTTGTTGTACAATCTATACACTGCCGACATGGGCTCATGCCTAAACAATGATTGTAGCATCCTTCAATATGCCGACGATCTGGCATTATATGTTTCGAACCATTCCATCCAAGAGGCAGCCACATCACTCACTATTTCCCTTAATTCTCTGTGGCAGTGGCTATCAGATCATGGCCTTAGTCTTTCTGCTCAGAAAAGTGCGGTTGTTATTTTTACACGAAAGAAGACTCTGCCACAGATTGATGTCCAAGTACAGCTGCAGGAAATTCCTTTATCCGCTCGTATGCCCCTGTCATGGCGCCCGCGGCGTCCAGAGTGCCCGCGACTCGCGAGCGAGACCGTCTAGATTGCCCCGGCACAAATACCGACCACCCGTAAAGTGCCCCACTGTTTTTTGCGTTATCGACGCGCGCGCCGTGTTCCACTTAATCGGTTCTTGTGACTAAAGTTTGTATTGAAAGGGTGTCAAGTGTTATATTTATTTAGTTGCCTATGAAATTAGCTAAACAATGTTATCTTTCTATTTACAGATTACGGCTCTGGTGTTGAGTTACACTGTGTTGAAATTGAGATAACGTCTTTTTAAGCTCGTGTTGCACTTCGAAGCTCATAGTTCAAAAATGAAAGCGATGACCTATGGTTTTTAATGTTTAATTATGTTGTTTAGATAGTAGTTAATATGTTATGAAATAAAACCATATACTCTCCCATACATATTTATTTATTTACAGGCCTCTAAATCCTTACCATTATCGGCCGCCACGCGGCATAATTTATGTAAGATGAAATGACAGAAGTTTTATGACGTATAATTCTTTTTTTTACTAGTGTTTGCATGCTCGACTGAGATTAATACCATAGATAATATATCAGACTATAGAAAAAATATTACTAAAGAGCATTATGTCAATACAATTACTGTCAAATACTAATTAATCTGTGGCAGGAGCCATGTAGACTACCGGTCTACACGGGCACTTTACGGTTTTATTTTTGTAGACTACTAGTCTACACGGGCACTTTCCGTTTTTATTTTTGTAGACTGCTAGTCTACACGGGCACTTTAGGATTTCGTTTTTGTAGACCACTAGTCTACATGGGCATACTAGCGGTTATTAAACAAATTTAAGTTCCTAGGAGTATATCTTGACTCTAAATTGACTGGCGTTCACCACATGAACCACTTAACCGCAAAATGTGAACGTGTAATCCCAATTTTAAAGGCCCTAGCTGGGGTCTGGTGGGGAGCACACCCATACACCATGAAACTGGTATATAATGCCTTAGTACGCAGTATATTGGACTATGGGCTATTTTTACTGATTCCATGCAATAAAAGCGCTTTGGCAAAGCTGGACAAAGTCCAATCTAGGTGCCTTCGCATTGTTACTGGTTGCATGAAGTCCTCCCCTATAAATGCCTTACAAGTGGAATGTTCAGATCCACCTTTATCAATAAGAAGACAATTTCTCGCTTCACGTTTTATAGTAAAATCTGTTTGTAAATCTTCCCATCCTCTTCTTCCAAAAATCTTAGAATTAGACTCCATTTGTACTACCTCAAATTACTGGACTCATAAGGGAATTCCATTGATTCTACAATCCTTTCGCTCCTACTCTACTTTTTTTAACTCTGCTGTGTCATTTGACAAACTCCCTCTGTTTTCCTTTAATTATAGTGTCCTTTGTTTTAAGCCGAATGTTCTTCTGGATGTTGGAATCCCTAAGAAATCTGCCTCTTCTGTTTCCACCTTTAATACACACTTAGCTGAACACTGGGATGGGTTTGAGAGGTTCTTTACTGATGCATCCAAACTTAATAATGATAGCTACACTGGAGCCGCTGTGTACTTCCAAAACTCCAGAATTCTCTTACAGTATAAGTGTCCAAAAGAGGCTTCAGTTTTTACAGGCGAGTGTGTTGCTATCTTAGAGGCATGCTTGTACATTGACTCGCACAACATCCACAAGGCAGTCATATTCACTGACTCTCTAAGTTGTCTTAAAGCCCTGCTACAAAATCCCTTTCGTAGTAAACTTCACAGTCCGCTGATCCTAGAAATAAAAAAAACCCTTTTGAATTGTTGGACCAACTCAAAAATAGTTCAACTGGTATGGGTTCCCAGCCATAGTGGCATTGTGGGCAATGAGTGTGCAGACTCACTGGCCAAAAGTGCCGCTACTTCTGCAATGTCGGACCTGAAACATCTTACACACCAGCATTACGACCTCTTAAGACTGCCTCAGAGGGAATTGTTAACATCCTGGCAGGAAGAGTGGAATAATTCCTCAAAGCATAAAGGGCGTCACTACTACGCAATCCAACCAAGCATTACCCCAAAACCCTGGTTCTACAAATTTAAGAAGGTATGTAAACCTGTCATCTCCACCATATGTAGGCTCCGCATAGGTCACTGCAGCTCACCTGTGTTCCTGAACAAGATTCGGGTACGGGATTCGTCCTTATGTGAATGTGGCTTAGATGAAGGCAATCTAGATCACATATTCTTCAGTTGTCCTAAAAATATCCCATCCCTAGATCTCTATTCTCACCTTACCGAACTACAAATCCCCATCCCTATCAACTTCTCATCTCTCCTAACATTTTCTTCCCCCCACCTTCTCCAGGTCTTGATGTTGTTCATCCGATCCAATGACATCAGACTTTGACCTTCATTTCTATGAATATTGGATTTTTATTTTTTTGTGATTGTTTCCTTATTAGTTACCTATTTATTTATTTAATACATATCTTATCTATTTGTACTTGTCTGCTTGTTTCAGTGTAAACACTAACCACAACAAAAAGCCCCACATTCAGTCTACAATTAATATCATCAATTCAATTTTTTGTGTAATAAAACCCACGTATTTCCATCGCACTTGACACTGGCAGAATTGTCGACATCGGCACAGTTTGCCATTTATGAAGAAGAAGAAGAAGAATACATTTTAGCGCTCAATATTTGGTTAGAGTGCTTATAGAACAAAAATTATTAGTAACTGTTGTGCTAGCGTTATACTGATAATAAGTAGATATGTCTTCATGGAAAAAGGCCGCAAAGGCCAACCAGAAGACGCACAAAGAGCGTCACCAGCCGGCATCCCGCAAACATTTAGGTCTACTAGAAAAGAAAAAAGATTACAAGAAGCGCGCTGACGTCTATCATGAGAAGGGCGAGACATTAAAGCTTCTACGCAAAAGAACTCTTGACAAGAATCCTGATGAGTTCTACTACCATATGATAAATTCTAGGGTAAAAGATGGGGTGAGTTAAGATTTTCTTTAAAAACGTATGCTAGTTAGATTTAAGTACTGTTGCATAGATTGTTATACTGCAGAGCCTCTCTTTGTTAAAGAAATTAGGGTGTTATCATATGATACACATCTTTAATAACATTCTGTGGAGTTCTAGTTATTCATTATATGGGTGAAAATATTAAAAATAACATTAATACACATGTATATAGGGTTACAAATCAAAGGTAGGGTAACATTTCTTAATCGCAAATGAATTTATTATCTGACACCGAACATCTTAGCCATTAACAGTTTATCATGTTATTTACAGCAAAATGTCATTTTGATTAAATTTTGGAATGGCAGACAAAACCTTGTATGATTTATAAAAAGAACAAATAGTTCATGGGCAACTGACGTTTTAATATAATGCAAATATTCAGATGCATTTAGTTTTGCTTACTGTTTTTAGGGTATTACAGAAAAATAACTCCAATTTTTATTGTTTGTGTACTTTTGTTGACCCATAGTTTATTATTATAATCAATCACATCATCATCAACAGCCTATGACAGTTCACTGCTGGACATAGGCCTCTCCTCTGAAAGGAGGTTTTTGCCTACTATACCAGTCTGGCCAAACGGGTTGGTATAGAGTTTGTTTCAAGTTTTCCTTCTCTTTGCAGTGCTGTTGTCTTGTGTAGTTTTCTCCCTTAGTCGACTTTTACGACACCCATGGGATGAATAGGGGTGGTGACATTACATATTCTTAATCCGTCACTGTATAATCAATCTCAGTAATTAGTTCTTACATATTAATAAGCCATATTGCATTATGTCTAATTCTAGGAGCATCATGAAATGGAGAAAGAAGATGAGCATTCAAAAGAACAGGTGAAGCTGATGCAGACACAAGATATCAAGTACATTAATATGAAAAGAACTATTGAAAGCAGAAGGATCAACAGGCTACAGGTATTTACTAAGCTACAAAATGCAATTTTTTATTTTTTATTAATTATTCTATAGATAGTAAGCCTCAGACTTCTGTTTATTAGTTTTAACGTAACCCGTAACAGTCAAGCTATTAATGAGGTTTTGAAACCAGTTTTAAGACGAACATTCCATTTACTGAATAGGTTTAAAAGCACATTTTTTAACAGAAAAGTGAAAATTGAAAGCTTTAAAATACAAATAATAAATTCGTAAGTAAGTGATTTGAAATTGTAGCAAACTATTCAAGTTCTTTTTTCATTATGTTATAAGAACTAATTTTAAATTTTCATACAAATGTGTGTATTCATACAAATGTGCTCTGTCGAACGATGATGATAAACGTGGTCATGTAACCATAATGTGGCTTGGTCTGTGTCTTTATTAAAATTAAAAGTATACTTTTGTTTGATTTAAGGGTATAATAATAAATTAAATATTACTTTAAGGGTATTCTTTTAAACATGTAAAGTGTTTAAAACTATTTTTGAAAAGTTGTCAACTCCCAGATTCATGAATGAGTAATGTCCTCTTAGATAAATCTCTTTCAAAAATCTACCATAGATTGTGCTTTCATTTAAAATTTTAAGTGTGGTATAGTAGGCCAATACCTCCTTTCTAAGGCGAGGCCTATGTCCAGCAGTGGACTATTATAGGCTGTTGAAGTGATGATGTGATAACTTTTTTCCAGGCACAACTGCATATGACAGATGTAGCTGATGCAACTCCAAACACTCACATATTTTTTGTTGATGAGGGAGAAGAAAAAGACTTTGATTTAGCCAAGAGACTGGATACACACCCTGCACTACTTGGCAGAAAATCAAACAGACCCAGATTGTCAGATTTGGATAAAATTGTACTGCCCGAATTAGACGATGAGGTTAGTATTTTTAAATTTATAATTTAATTTCTTTTTAATAACAGCATTTTTCAAAATCTTAATTTATTTAAATTTAGAATTAATAAGAAATCTAAATTCAATTATTCATTGTAAATTGCGTATTTAAAATAATCCATTTTGTTATTTTCAACCTTAAGAATGAGCTTGAAGCTTACCAGAAGGTCAGATCAGATGTGTAGATGTTTATAACAACTGAAAACTTTCACTGAAAAGTGACTGGTTGAAGCTGACATAAATTATGTCAAATGAGGCTATTACCATCATTGTTTATTAGATTCTTGCAAACTGGCACACTGTCTGTAAGGACGTACATTATAATCCATAATTACGAATATTATAAATGCGAAAGTGTGTCTGTCTGTCTGCTACCTCTTCACGCTTAAACTGCTGAACCGATTTAGATGAATTTTGGTGTGAAATCAGGTCATAGGGTAGTTTTTATCCCAGAAAACATCCTTTAAGGGGGTGAAACGCGGGGAGGAGGTTTGTTTGAAGATTGATTCTTGAAAAAAGATAGATGCTACTTTTTACGGCGATAACAGACATTTACGCGGGCGGAGCCGCTGGCAAAAGCTAGTTTATTATAAATGTATAAAAAAAAAGTGGTTAATAAAAACGCACCTCATAAATATATTGCGTGTATACATTTGAACGAAGCGTCTGAACGAAGTGATATTTACTCTATGCTTAAACTTTCAGACTTTAGAATCTATGAAAAAGCAGAAGGCTAAAGTATACCAGGAACTATCTAAGCGGATAGAGAGAGAGAAAGAGTTAATGGTGATTCAACAGAAGATGGAATTAAAACGTCACCTACAGGATGTTAAGGTTATGAAACCAAAGAGACTGGCACATGGCACTAAAAGTGCAGCTCCGGTTTATAAATTCCAGTATATCAGGAAAAAATAATCAATGTTTTTAAATATAAGCAATTACATTTTTTGTAAGTAAAGTAACCTTCTTTTACTTGTATTTTTTTACTACCACAGCGTAGGTCAGGTCAGGTATCTGCACGGATGGCGTCGTGGTTTAAGCGGTCGCCACGCCGCTTCCTATTACGCCGAGTGTTGTGGGTTCAAATCCCACACAGGATGACACTTTGTGTGGTCCACAAATTGTTGTTCTTTGTGTCCATTTCATGTATGTTTGTAAAGCCCGCCGCGACACAGGATATATTCCTAATGCAAGTCTGAAAATTTTCTCTCCTGGCCCCAGTAAGTATCAGACCTCAGCACAATACAGGATAGCGAATAGGAAGTAGCCTTGCAGCATGGCTGTATGATTGTTTATCCAAAAAAATAACGAAATAGGGTATAATTCCTCCTTTCTAAGGAGAGGACTATGTCCAGCATGGGTGAACTGTTGATGATGATGATAAGGCCATAATTTAAGAACGGCAGGACTGTTTTAACTTATACTTTATTCATTCTTTAATAGTTCAATTAAGTGTTTGAAAAGTTATCAGAGCAACGTCTGTTAGGTTAACTAACAGAAAATAAAAGTCGTTCATAAAAATATTTGACATAGTTTTTATTTTGTAATAAATAATCCTTTTGTTCTTATCTTAAATAAATAGAGATGCATACAAGTTACTCTGTGACAATGATATTAGTCAAAAATTCAGTGGAATGAATCTAGTAATATCAAGTCTTTATTTTATAAATTATACAAAAATTATTATTATTTTTAATTATTTTTTTTTGTCATCATCATCATCATTCATCATTCATTCATGATGAATGATGATGATGATGACAAAAATTACAAGATTGTTTTTTAGTCGTCAGTTTATGTTATGATACATGCCACTGAGGCACAGGTGCGTTGTCAGAATTAGGACGGGAGGGGTCCGGGAACCTCCTCACCCACTAAAAGTGTAAACACCGGTTTCCTGTCCGACCGCAACACACTTGTGTCTCAATTGCATGTGTCCACGGCCAACGTTATTAACTTACAATCAGGTGACCCCTCTGCTTGTTTGCCCCCTTATATTATAAAAACACATTATTAAACAAAAAAAACAGACATTAAAGTACTCATAGATATATGATAACATCTGACATCTCAACTACCATCATCATCGTTTCACGCTTCGCCGGCTTCCTGTTACACATTTCCGTCCCTTTTTACAAAATCGCTCCCACAGATTGCAGTATAACGAGAGGTAAAATCTTATACATCAATATACTTAATTAAAATTAGAAGAATATTTGAATTAGACATTTTTCTAATTTTATTTTATTTTATGTTATGTTACACATTTCCGTCCTTATGTTATGTTCCGTTATGTCATAAAGTAACAGAGTGCATCTCACAATAATGTTGTACGTTTAACCTAAGGCGGTAACTTCGGGTACCTAACCTAATCAAGTCTTTGGTTCACTCCCCGCGCGTCGGGTCACCACAGCACACACTTGTGGGGGGGGTTCATGGGCGAGCCCTGCGGGCAGTTCCACGCCTCCGCGAACTCCTTGGAGTTGCTGAGGGTGCCTATCACACGGATTTTGTTCGGACTGTGGACGCCCTCCACCATTTTGGATTTCAGAGCACCCACCGTTGAGTTTCCGCACCAGATCTGTGAACGGGGAAGAGTTTTAATGAAGGTTGAAGATATAATTTTGAGATACTATTACTGTTATGTCTCTATGTTACTCGTAGGGATTAAATGTAAATCACGAGTCACAAATACGTTTTCTTTTATGTCAGAGGGGGCAGACGAGCAGACGGGTCACCTGATGGAAAGTGACCATCACCGCCCATGAACGTCTGCAACTCAGGAGTCACAAACGTGTTGCCGGCCTTTTAGGAAGGAGTACGCTCTTTTCTTAAAGGTTTGAAGGTCGTATCGGTCTGGACATACCGCAAACGATGTTGTTTTTCGTTGCCGTCCTTTGAGTCCCCTCAGATTTAAGGGGTATGGGCGGGGGGCTAGGCTCCGGTTACCTCACTTACTCGTTGAAATGTAATGAAAAATCCTTTCGGTCGCCTACGAAACTAAGTTTTAAAACCAATTTCGAAATAAGAATAATATATTTTCTTCTTTCGAAACTGGTTTCGATAAAAGAATAATGTACCTTCTTTCGAAACTCGTAAAAATATCTTTTGATGGATAAGAAACATTTTATTGTGAAAACGATATTCAAATTGAATTGAAATGAAAGGCATGTGTAATTTTGTGCGAGCGCTAGTCTAATGTGTCGTTTCGATTTTATTTACGAGTTTCGAAAGAAGGAACATTATTCTTTTATCGAAATGAGTTTCGAAAGAAGAATTGTTAGTCCGTTTTTGAAACTTGGTTTTGTAGGCGGTGTAAGGGGAAAAAAAAGCCTAACACTGGTTTTTTGTGAGGCCGTGGTGTCTCTTCCGTGATGAATAATATTATCTTTATCCATTGTTTTAGTAATTTATTTGTTGTGATGCTGTTGCAAACGTTTTAATATGGAAACCATTGTTTGAGGGCTAGTTCTCATTTCTTATATCAAAAATCATTAGTGTTATATAGGGCTGTTCAGAAGTGTTATGTGTACCTGCGCGAAGCCCAGGAAGAAGAGCTGGTCGGGCGTGTAGGCGGGCAGGCCGGGCAGCGCGTCCCGCCGCGTGATGGGTGTGCGCGTCGAGAATAAGTTGTAGGCGCGGAGGGCCGCTCGCAGCCCGCCGTTGTCCGCGATGTTCTCGCCCTGCGTGTTGAACCCGTGCACCTGGGGGAAAGGGGGGGGGGGTGATACATGAGTTTACGGACGAACGGGCGTTATGTTCTTTCAACATAAAGGATGGATTCTCCAACCCAGTGTAGCCCAAAGGTTGGAAACTTGTATATATGCTAATCGACGCGATAAATTTTCATATCGTGATATGAGAATAACAATTATTCCGTAGTTCGGTATGTTTTTGTTAGATGGCGCTGTAGTATATTTTTGGTTTATTGATATGGTAGTCGCTACAAATTAATCAATAACTTAATTGATACGAGACCAAATCAACCAGTAATGAGTGTACAAGATTTAACTCACGGTATAGTTGGGTAGCTGCGGCATGTGGTACTTGCTGTACTGGTCGATGATGCACTGGACCTTGGAGTGGTAGTGTTCCAGGGTGGCTGCCGACCACCACTGCTTCAGGTTGCCCTCCTCGTCGTACCTCCGACCTGAAATATATCAAGTATCTTTTAAATTGTTTTTCGAATTGACTAATTTGTGAGGTCTTAGTTGGTGATACGGACTGGGTCCTGTTCCCACCCAGGACAAATAAATGTGAGAAAAGGACGATCGTCTGTTCTGTGTCTGAGTGTAATTTTTCTATAAATATATATACTATTTAGTATAATTACTTTATCAGCAGTCTGGTTACCATAATACAGGCAATGCCCAGTTTGGGATCAGATTGCCCAGTGTGAGGTTTACATTATTATAAATTACTTATATACAGGGTGTAAGGGTAACGGGTAACGAATACTGAAATAGTGTATTCAGACCATGATTCTGAGTCGAAAATCATTGGAATTTTCTGCCGGAAAATTCATATTTTTTTTTAATAATTTTGCTTTTTTTTATTTAATTTTTTTATTACAATGTTTAAACATAACATTTTACCGATTTTTTAAAATAAATATAGCATACGGTTAAAAACTGCAATGTAATTAATCAAAAAGTCGAAGCGCGCGGGGCCTCCGGCCGCCTACCTGTGTTAGTGTGCGTAGACTGTTTGCACGAAATACACGTGTAGTTATTACTTTTGTGCAATACCTATAGAAAATGACCTTTACCTTTGACAGCTGATTGCATAAAAAGTTTAATTTTCCAACGATTTCCAGAAAATGCCAATGATTTTCCACTCAGAACGAAGGTCTGAATACACTATTTCAGTATTCGTTAAGATGTCCCTTACACCCTGTATAATTGTAAATATCGGTAGAGTGTATTAATACGTTACCTTGATCATCAAATCCATGTGTGACTTCGTGACCCATTATGGCACCAATAGACCCGTAGTTGATTGCTCTGAAATATATCAATCAGTTAGTTTATACATGTATTACAAATACTACCTTACACGTTCAGTGACGAAAAATGAAATTGAGAATTTAATTATTACAGTTATCTAAGGGCAATGGAAAAATTGGAGATTATTTCTACTACATCATCATCATCACATCAACATCAACAGCCTATACTAGTCCACTGCTGGACATAGGCCTCTCCTTAGAAAGGAGGTTTTGGCCTACTATACCGCGCTGGCCAGGCGGGTTGGTATAGGGTTTGTTTCAAGTTTTCCTTCTCTTTGCAGTGCTGTTGTCCTGTGTAGTTTGCTCCCTTAGTCGGGTCTTACGACACCCACGGGATGAATTGGGGTGGTGACAATTTGTACTCTTAATCCGTCACCACACCACATTTCTACTAAAACTGTTTATTTATAAGGTTTGGTTTCCTAGAATTTCAAACAAGGGATACAAAGCACATAATACAAAAATCTGTCAATTTGATTGGGGGTAGATTCCTAGGTTTAAAATAAATTATTTATTGATACTAACTTCAGCGATCTTGTTCTAGCGCTAGAGAACAGTATTTTTAAATATAAATTTTATGATAATGAGTTGAGCAATTTAGGTGAGATACAAACAAACTCGCGGTGACATAATGTGAAGTAACTGTCTATTGTCCGCGGCTCCTCTCGCCGTGATCATTTGCTACTTCAACTTTCAAAAAGACGAATTTCCATATAACCCTTCATCGTTTATCCCTTTAGATGTGAAATTTCCAAAAACCCTTTCCTCGTGGGTGCTTACAACATAAAAGCCTCAGTGATTTGGGCTCTGGATGAATCAGACGGTCAGGGTATGTTATGTTACGTGCATAGATGATGGTATAAGTTATGGTGTGGGTCGGGTACTGACTCGATGCCGTTCCCGTAGAAGGGCGGCTGCAGGATGCCGGCCGGGAACGTGACGGAGTTGAGCGTGGCCGAGTAGAACGCGTTCACCGTCGTCGCCGTCGCCACCCACCTGTACAACATCACCACCAGTTACAACTTTATTCTACTCTGAATTTTTAAAAGCATAGACCAATGCAATGCAAATTTAGCATTGACTGCACGGATGGCGTAGTGGTTTAAGCGGTCGCCACACCGCTTCCTACTACGCCGAGTGTTGTGGGTCCAATCCCCACATGGGACGACACTTTGTGTGATCCACAATTTGTCGTTCTGAGTCTGGATGTTCTTTGTGTCGGTTTCATGTATGTTTATAAAATCCCCCGCGACACAGGATATATTTCTAGTGCGGGAGTTGTCTTTAAAAAAAAACAAAAAACAGTTACCAAACAAATGTAAAAGAGTAATTTAAATATGAGTTTCCAAACAACTTGGCGTCAGCGGTCAGATAGTTTCCTGTACTGTGATTCTTCTCAGTCCTCAGGAGAATCCTCCTTAAGCAGCAGGTCCTCGTCGCTACATCATCTCGACACACCATTATAACTCCACCCTCATACTTACACTTTATTTCACTACTTTAACTGAAATAAACTTTACCTGTTCCTATCCGGTTTTTCTCTGAGAGACTCCAAAGACTTCTTAACGGCAGCCGACGTCAATATCAAATACGTTTCAAACAAGTTCCCTTCCATGACAGACGCCTGGAATTAAAATGAAATGTGTTTTAAAGGTCCACATCAAACGGCGAAAACTATAATTAAGTAACTAGTTAGACTGAAAGAAAACAGAGAAAGAGTGAGTGTGAATGTGGTAGAATATTATTAATATGATGTGTAAAATGTGACATTTGAGCACCGCTCACACTCAAAGGTCAAATCAAACACTTCCCCAACATCCTGTTACAGATTTCCGTCCCTTTTCACTAAATCACTCTACATATTGCAGGATAGTGAGGGGAAAGATGTTATAAATAGAAAATTTGGCAGTCCAACATTTAAGACAGTATTGGAAAAATCGAATGTGCATGTGCGAAATAAAGGCATTTCTTAGGACAATTTCTGTCTTTTGGCACAACCACAAATAGTATGTAACAAATTAAACCACAAGTGGGTTTTCACTCAAAATCAAGGATTTTTATTTTGGACCAGTTCATTATAGGATGGAAATTTCACGAAAGCGTTAGGACCCATGAAGATGGTTCATAGACCATGCTTGGGAAATTGCCATCCAAAGATCCTCTCAGTAATTTTTGGAACTCAATGGAAAAAAGACTTCAACTTGTACTTACATGTTTATAATGCTTATCCAGTTGTTCATGAGTGAGTAACCACGATGGGAAGCCCACAAAATTTCGGATGGCCTTAAGTTTGCTCAGGGTCTTCAGTCTGGTGCTGGAATCCATCCAGTCTAACTCTTGGACTGCCTCGGCGAAGGCTGACCGAACATCCTCTATCATTTCTATTGCCTGAAATTATATTTTGGCGTTAATAAATAAAATTAGGAGAATTTATGTTTTTGGGTTCAAATTTGAACAATAATTATGCGATTATGAAGCTATATGGATAGCTTGAGCAAAGTAACTATTTCCGCAAATACATCGTCTTGATTTATTTCTTAGTATGACCCCAACTTTCCCATCTTCAATGTTAAAGCGCCGACTTGAGGACAATAGATTGGCTCTTATTATGTGAGTGGGGGAACGTGGGTAGTATGGTAAGACAGCAAGAGTAACCTTCTGGCGCGAGGTGGTGTCGAAGTGCGTCTTGACGTAGAGGTAGCTGAGCGCGACGCCGAAGTTGGCGTTGACGTTGGCGGTGCAGCTCTTCCAGCGCGGGGTGCGCTGCTGCAGCCCGAACACGGCGCGAGAGAACTCGAAGCCCAGCTCGCGGAACGCGCCCAGCGTCATCGGCGCCATCGTCGAGAACACGCTCCACCACAGGAACCGCTCTGACACACCACACGATATTCGCTTACGACACGTCTTGTTATTGAAGGACGTTGATTAGAAGATGGAGTTATTCTAATTGCCAGTTCGGTATTCCAGTATGATAGTAAAACAGAGTGTCTAATAGATAAATATTGATATAAGGTAGAAAGACAACGGGACAAACAGCTAATAAGTGCAAATCGTTAGGCAGAAACATACGCTGCACAAAATCAAAAATATGTAATGTCATGGTACTTGTTTGTTATATTATTATGTAGTCATGAAAGGGTAAACAATATATTATAGAAGAACAGAAACAAGAAAAATAGAGTATAAAATGACTTAAGCAAAAGCAGAGAAAGTGATAAAAACTTATTCATCAATTTGACTACCCTTTTTTTCTTTTTTGTTTCCGTGCGGAAATCCCCTCGGATACCACCTGTCGGTGGCATGTCGGACTCGAACCGACTAAAACCGCACGCCGTCTCGGATACTAATAGCCGGGGAACCAGGTATACCCTAGAAAGGAAGTCCCTGATGCCCCGACATACCTCGGGCCATCTACAACAACAGGTAGACGACCCCCCCGTGTGGGAACCCCATGTTCCCATCAATTTGACTACCCAGGAGAGGTAATTTAAAATTAATGAGAGACTAAAACGATAAAATAATGGCAAAATGTAGGGTTTTAAAACTCCTCCGCCTCTCTTTGGGCATACTCGTATATGCGTACGTGTGAGTATATTTTTAAATAAATATATTTTTAATGGCAAAGGGATCAAACGAGTAAACGGGTCACCGGATGGTAAATGACTGGACAAGGACAACTCGTGAGTTACAAGTAGGTACGTGTTGCCGTTTAAGTTCCTCCTCACTACATTCAGGGGTAGGGGAGGCTAAATTAAAATTACTAATTTACTTAAAACATCCAGTTTACTGTCAAATGTTCTTTTCAAATTCACTTTCATATCTTATAAACAAAAGAAAGTCCCCACATCATGTCTAAGATACTTTAATATCAGTAAAAATATATAATACTTACCGATAATCACTGGTTTAGTGTCAGAGAGCAGGATGGACAACTTCTGCAGATAAGGCAGGTCCATGACGATCACTCGGTCTGTGTTCGGGTGCAGTTCCACGCTCGTGTTTGAGAAAACCAGCTCCAAGTAACGCTTCCAATCGTGCTGGACATAAAATGAGATATGTACTAACTAGTCTTTTGGGTAAACCTAACAAATCTTTTAAATTAAAAGACTTAGATAACAATTATACTATACGAAAAAAAACTACCAATCAACAATGATCAAATGACTGCACGGATGGCGTAGTGGTTTAAACGGTCGCCACGCCGCTTTCTACTGCGCCTAGTGTTGTGGGTTCAAACCCCACATGGGACGACACTTTGTGTGATCCACAAATTGTTGTTCTGAGTCTAAGTGTTCTTTGTGTCCATTTTAAGTATGTTTATAAAGTTAATTTCCCGTGTGACAGACAGCTGAGATGAATGAAACTATGGGTACGGATAAATTGTAGTTCTTTTTCTTTATTTTATTTTTATACATAAACGGAAAAAAAAAAAACCACCCAGACTCAAAAAAAAGAACAACAATTTGTGGATCACACTAAGTGTCGTCCTATATCGGGAGCGAACCTACAACACTCAGCGTCGTAAGAAGCGGTGTGGGGACCGCTTAAACCACTACGCCATCCGTGCAGTCAAATTGTATTGTTCATCTCTTAGAGGAGGAGGATTCTCTTCAACGTTAATGATGAAGGTGTGAATAAAAATGCAAAGACAGACAGAAGAATTTTTTTGTTAATAGATCAAATAGAACTTAACCCGTCTGGCCAGCGTGGTATAGTAAGCCAAAACCTCCTTTCTAAGGAGAGGCATATGTCCAGCAGTGGACTATTTAAGGCTGTTGTTGAGAACTTAACATCCAATACTGATTTTTGTTTGAACTGAGATTAAAACATTTAATGTAGTTCACCAGAAATTGTGCATAAAGAATGCTTTTGTATCGCTATCAGAATATTTGCTCGCTGCAAAGAGTTCATACACTTATTATGGAATTTCTATTTCTAGCTAATTTCTATAAAAATATTTACCTCTTTCCACTGTACAGGTCCGCTACTCGATCCTTGTATAAGCTGCTGAACGCTCACTTCGTGGAACAGGTGGGTGCCGCTACGCCTCACTTCAACTGGTGTCATTATCTGTTATGCAGTCAATATCAAAAATTTAGATACTTTCACAGAATTAAGAAACTCCAGTCGACAGAACAGGCTCCGTACCTTAGCCAATTTCTTGCTAAAGTCGATGATATCGTCAGCAAACTGTCCCGCATCGGTTGTATTGTCCGCAATGCTGATCATGGACTTAATGTATTTGTGGTACTGCTCCAACTCGTGGGAGAATTGTTCTGGTTGAAGGAGATAACGGTCGCTGAAACCTGGTGATACTTGTTCGATCTGAAAATATTTTTAATGCTTAACTGCATGCTATTGTACCCAAAATAATGTCAAATTCCTGACATAGGTATTTCACTTTCTAGTTAACTTTTTCTCCAGTCATACATAATTCATCACTCCATATCCTCGAAGAATTAAAGACTTTACTTACAACCACACGATTTCTGCTGGTGTTTCTGACATCTTCTGCGACTTGCACACTAAGCAGCACATTTAGTCCAAGAACTCTTCTTCCAAGACCGGCGACTTCTACCCACGAAAAGTTGGCAGTACTCTCCGTAGGTGGACGAGGAGGTAAGCCCAGCCTTTGCAGGATACCTTCGATGGGCTTGATTCCGTCGACTTCTAGTTTCTCTACATAACAAAAGTATGTATAAATTGTCTGTAAGTTGTATGTATACACTGTTTAAGGTATTTAATACATCCAAGATGACTATCATTATGTAAAATATCTGTCATCATCATCATCATCATCAGCCTATAACAGTCCACTGCTTTACATAGGTCTATCCTTAGAAAGGAGGTAAAATATCTGTATTTAAGTGATAAAGCAAAGTTTATAAACTAAATGACTTGATGTACAAATATTATTAATCTACCTCGACACCACCAGATCAGATATTTTAGAATCTAAAGTATCTGATCTGGTGGTGTCGAGACCACCATCTGTATCATCTAAAATTTAGATGATCCATATGGTACGACAGATGGTGGACAATCACCTGTAGGTGGCAGAAAGTCACCAAAGACGGTGGTACGCCTTGACCAGAGCCAAGTGCGAGTTTATTTCACTTCTACTCGATCGTCACGGTGACCGCATTCGGAGCTACGATTGGCCCGCACTCAAATCTCCACCAATCGCAACGCTAAACGCGCTCGCCGTCGAGAGCGAGTCGATGTTAAATAATCTTTCACTCGGCCCTTTGACTGCGTGTAATTTAAAAAAGTATGTATGTTAGGGCAAGTTAAAATGCATTAATCATTGGCGGTTTAAATATGTACCGAAAATTTTTGACTGCACGGATGGCGTAGTGGTTTAAGCGGTCGCCACGCCGCTTCCTACTGCGCCGAGTGTTGTGGGTTCAAACCCCACATGGAACGACACTTTGTGTGATCCACAATTTGTTGTTCTGAGTCTGGGTGTTCTTTGTGTCCGTTTCATATATGTTTGTAAAGTCCCCCGCGACACAGGAATGTATTCCTACTGCGGGAGTTGTGTTTAAAAAAAAAAAAAAAATTGTACTTACCAGTATTAACACAGGTTCTATACAGCGACTTGGCTTTCACCACACTCTCCGGTAATCCCTCATCACTTTTAGCCTCCAATAGTTCCCTGAGGTCCATGACTAACTGTTCCCTTAACCTGGCTAGTTGGTCCCAAGACGTCGCCCAGTCAGGTACAGGGTTTTGTTTGATCCATCCACCGCAAGCAAATTCGTAGAAATCGGTGCATGGGTTGACGTCTTTGTTTAGTGCTTTGAGAATTCTGGAGGCTGGGGATAAAATACATTAGGATGTTATTTGATGCGTAAGTGCCAGAACGAGAATAATCTCTTTCATTCTCCTTTACTAAGACTCTAAGTTATGATTAAAAATAAATATCAGTATGAAAAAAACTTTAGGACACACATTAAGAGACAGGATGGGTTTCTTTTTTTTTCTTTAGTGGAATAGAATTCTTAAAAGATTCAACACAATAATCTGTATTTCTAAAAATATGTTCCAGTATAGATTTTAGTATCATTTAGCAAGTGAAGTGAAAATATTAATGTCTTTTTACTAAAAAGAGATATCAGGAATCAATTGGAGCTTTCACTATGAATTCAAATGAATTAGTTAGAAATAGGTACTGCTTTTACCTTATGATAACCAGTTATAATCGGTACGATTATTATGTAAGCGTTTACAAGCGGATTTAATTGTTACTTAGTAGTAATGGGAAATAAACTTTAGTAATTTGTTTGAATAAATAATGAATCACTAAGTCTTAGTATGGTCCGTGTGGTGACGGATTAAGAATACGGAGTGTCACCACCCCTGTTCATCCCGTGGGTGTCGTAAGAGACGACTAAGGGAGCAAACTAGGCAGGACAACAGCACTGCAAGGAGAAGGAAAACTTGACACAAACCCTATACCAACTCGTCTGGCCAGTGTGGTATAGTAGGCCAAAACCTCCTTTCTAAGGAGAGGCCTATGTCCAGCAGTGGACTATTAACCTCCGACGCGTCACCGTCACGACATTTTTACGCGGTAGCGTCTCTGTCACAACATTTAGAAGAATATATATCATGGATTCCAAATATGTTTATTTCATTGAATATAATTATAAAATAACGTAGATATTGAGGTAATAATGACTCCGCTCAGATGTGACTGGGTCACTAGTTCAAGGGCGCGACAGTAACGGGTCATTGGTCATCCACGCGCCGCGACGTCCTAAGAGTTAAAAGCTGATGATGATGATGATGATGAAGTCTTAGTAGTTTATGCTAAAAGGCGAGGCATTAATTATTTTTTATATATGTGTCTTGGGTTAGTTATTAATGTAAATAAAATTAACATACCTATCACGAATCATTACAAAAATTTCTTTATTTTATTCTTCAGGCGATATATTTCACAAAAACCTTTGAAGGACCGTGTTCAAAATTTTACTCAATAAAATTTTAACCCGTGTTCCGTCCATTGGGGATAGAATTTTCAAAAAACTTTTATGAAGGATTAGATAAAGCTTGAAAGAAATAAAGGAAACTGTAGAAAAATGTGTAAGTGTGTCTCTCTACAATACGAGAGCAATACTTAGCACCAATAAAATAATAATTATATTTCCGGACATCTGACACACAACGATATCTAGTTTCAAACTACGCAGAGCTTGAATGAAAGCTAGATTGACTGATAGAATACTTATTTACTGTTTTTTTAAACCTGCATATTATACATACATAGAAAACACCTCAACTCCGAAACAAATATTCAAGACCTCAGCACAGCAGCCGCATACGCTACCACTGCACCACCGAAGCTATCGGAAAATGGGCCGCCTCTACCGGAGTAATACTACAACCTCACAGAAAAACGGTGTTAAGCAATTCCTTCGTTGCTTTTCACTGAGTGTGTGATGTTGCTGGAGTCCCAAACCCCTCCCTGGCATTCTGGGGGAGGTGGGAAGGGCTCAAAAAGCGGCAAAGCACATTTACTCACTCAAACACAGTAACTCTTGAGTTTACTTGAAACACTTGACTCTTCAAGTGAAGAGAGAATTTTGTGTTGAACTAAAGAAATGGCTAATAGACCAGTGCTTTTATTCTGTTAAGAAATTCTTAAAAAAATTCGCTTCTCGGTCATTTTATTTTAGAAATGCATTGTGTTAATTAACAACTACAATCTCAAAACTGTATCTTGTTGCTTATGTTTTATTATTTAAATCTTCCTTCTAAATATTTGCATGCCATTTAATGGCGAAATATTTTCTGTTCACATTATTTAATTTACTTAACATCTTTTGTATTACATTTCATGCAAATAAACTTATTATTATAAAAAGATGAGTTAAGTATCTACTCTAAAACCGGTTTTCTGATTACCATTACCATACAAAAAAGCGTGCACCATGTTTATATGTAAATATACACATAATATCAGTTAAACTCATCATCAACAATTTTAATCACGAGCTTATTTCATTAATTACAAATTGCTCTATAAAAGATGTAAATATTGTGATATATATATATTTTATAAGCCACGAGTTGGAATAACACGCGTAGAAAATATTATAATGGCGCATTAATTAAGGGTGTACTGCGTATGTTTTTTTAATAACTACGCAAAAATGTATTGAGTTGCGTGTATTGGAACGTAAAATATAAGGCTGTTTCATATTGGCAGTCATGATCAATTGAAACGTTTTGATGATATTACAATAAAGGGTCAGAAGTCTAAACTTTCTAGACACGTATCAGCGATATAAAATCTTTCATTAAACTTTTATTATCTTCGGTATTAACTATTTAAACAAATCTTTTTATAATGGTATTGGGACAAACAAGCTGGCGAGTAATAAGAACCGCCAACACAAAGTAAAGTAAAAGTACCAAAAAAGGAATTGCTAGAATAGGAATAGGAATTGTTGTTTGAGGTTTGAGGCCGACTTCTGCTGACCCAACCCATATGGCCGAAAATCGATCTAAGTGGCGTGCAATGGGAGAGGCCTATGCCCAGCAGTGGACTGCTATAGGCTGATGATGATGATGGCTTTATATTATAAAATTATTTTTTGTACTCCTAAAAACAATTATTTTAATTATTCCATAATAGATTACAGTCGGTTTTGCAGTGAGTAGCTGTGAGTGTGACTTAACCCTAATGTATAATGGGTAAAAAAAGATGATGCAATGAATTGGCGTAGTTCATCACTATATGGATCACACGTGGAATATGAAATGTATTTATCTGACTTCATACAAGTACATAAAAGGGATTATGTTAATTGAAAGTATTACGTTTAGTACTAGAACTGTACAATTTAGTTATCTATTAAATGTTATAGACTAGCTGGTACCCGCGACTTTGTTCACGTATAATTTGAAAAGTCCTGCCTTAGTGGTGTAGTACGGTAAGCGACTGCAGTCCATGAGGTCTCGGGTTCGATTCCCAGACCGGACAAAATTTTATAGGGTTTTTCTGATTTAAAAATAGCCTGAGTTACTCCTTATATCGACAGCTACCTGGTAGTAAAATATTACCAGGAACAAACAGAAAGACAGCCAGACAAAAAATATTTAAACTGGTTTTTAGGCATAGGTATCGTACAAATAAATTCTTTAAAAAGACAACTCTCGCATTAGGAATATATCGTGTGTCGAGGGGCACTTTACAAACATACATGAAACGGACACAAAGAACACCCAGACTCAGAACAACAATTTGTGGATATAAAGTGAGTAAGAGAATATAGAGTGACACCACCCCTATTCGTCCCGTGGTTGTCGTAAGAGCCGACTAAGTGAGCAAACTGTCCAGGGCAACAGCACTGAAAAGAGAAAAAAAATTGTAACTACCCGTCTGGCCAGCGTGGTATAGTAGGCCAAAACCTTCTTTCGGAGTAAGTCTTTCGGAGTAGTCCTTTAAGGAGAGGCCTATGTCCAGCAGCAGACTAGTAAAGATGATTGACGATTGATAAAATGGAAAAGGCACTTATTCCATTTTCAACCAATCATAATGTTTCAGAAAAAATAATAATAACATACACTTATTTTAGACACACGTATTATCTGAAAAGTACGAGTATCTGTAAGCAAATGTTTCTTAGTGAACGATAGGCGTCGCTAAGCGCCTACTTGTATTCATGTAGCAGTGACACCCTAATGCGATATTTATACACAATTTGAGGAAATGTTTTTCTAATCAATGGCAAAGTTTTGACCAACTTCCATGATGATCAATGGACGCAAGGCTTGAAAGTGCAACAAACAAACAAATTCACATCCATAATATGAATTAGGATTCTGTCATCTATTGTGCATCTTCTATTCTATGAACACTGATAAACATAAGATATTTTACTTTGATTAAAGCCGATACCTAGTAATCCTTTAACATTCCATACAAATTCTCCACGGTGCAATTATGGCGTTATGTTTATCAATCGGCCATTATAAAATAAAAAAAGAGCCTTTATTCAGACAAAATACTTGGTTTTACATGCACAATTATTTCATTTGATTAATTATTTAATATGTTTAAAACAATAGCATTAATACTAATTTAATTACAATATTATATATTATTATAAATTATAAATTAATTTAATCGGCCATTACTTCTTATTATATGTAAAATTTTCAGTACTTGTGAACATTTTTCTCTTTTATGGCGTAGTGTTTCCGACACGTGGTATTTAAACGGTGATAAACAGATAGTAATTAGTAGTAACATAAATATGGAGTAATTGCCACTTCAATATGGAATAATAAAATAATAATATCATCTACTATAGTTGATGTTTACGGCTGACTCATTTAACATTTTTATTTTACTCTCATTGTAGTACAGGCTCTGTCTAGTTTATCATCAGACAGCCGTGTGAGAGTGTGAGTGTGAGATTTGTGAGGTTATTATTTTTATTTATTTTATATACATATCAATTGTACTTTTAAACATACACTTTATATAAAATAGTAGACCACCGACATCGGGTACAGGGACCAAGATACCGGTGGCTTTGACTCCAAACATAGGAACCTCCTCACTACACGGGCCGTGTTAAGGAGAACTACCTTCTGAATCAGACCCTTGATCCAGCCGTCAAACGTGATCCTCTTAAGGTGTTGGTCAAGGCTCTTGGCTATCAATCCGTGAGCAGATACGACTCATCATCATCATCATCATCAACAGCCTTTAATAGTCCACTGCTGGACATAAGCCTCTCCTTAGAAAGGAGGTTTTGGCCTACTATGCCACGCTGGCCAGACGGGTTGGTATAGGGTTTGTGTCAAGTTTGCCTTCTCTCTGCAATGCTGTTGTCCTGCGTAGTTTTTTCCCTTAGTCGGCTCTTACGACACCCACGGGATGAATAGGGGTGGTGACACTCTGTATTCTTAATCCGTCACCACACGGACAATTTTGATGTGTGACGGATTGTGATGTATACTCGTACCTATTTAATTTCTATAAATAATTTGTGCCATTTTGTACTATTCCTGATACACTATTGAAGAATGTAGTATAAGATGCATGAAAAACTCATTAATAGGTTTTTGTAACATGACATTTAGTAACTCCAACCAAGATAGTCCGACTGTTGGTCTCTTTGATCGTGATTCGGTGATACTGACTGCTCTTCATTTGGTAAAAGCAGCTTTTTAAGGACTAATAGTTTTAAAATAGTGACGCTCTCTTGAAGTACTAAAGATATTTGACATCTTAAACCATATCACAGATGTCAAACTTACCAGTTCCTACGCATTCTTCGCTGAGACATGGGCGTGGGCTCCGGTATTCAGTGAGCACGAGCACTGCGGTGTAGACGGCGAGTGCTATGAGGGATATACCAAGTGCGCAGATCAGCACCGACGAACATCGCACAGTGCGTTCTCTGTGAACAAGACAGACATTTTAATATCTTATGGTAAAAAGGAAAACCTTCGAGACCTTTCCGAACCTTCTAAAATATTAGAGATATGAGTTATGTTAAAGTATTGATTTGTACGTAGTCATTTCATCATCAACAGCCTTTACTAGTCCACTGCTGGATATAGGCCTCTCATTAGAAAGGAGGTTTTGGCGGGTTGGTATAGGGTTTCTGTCAAGTTTACCTTCTCTTTGCAGTGATGTTGTTCTGCATAGTTTGTTCCCTTAGTCGGCTTTTACGACACCTACGGGATGACCAGGGGTGGTGTCAGTCATAGTCATTTAGAGAATATTAATGTAGGTAATTAGGCAGCTAGAATTAGCAAAACGTGATGTGCACGTGTTTGAAAGACACAGTAACAAATTATACATTATAATAATTTTTAAATAATAAACAAAGTTTCAAGTCTATGGTGAGAACAGATAGGATGTCTTCAGTTGCGCTTGGCTTTACAAATTTTGTTGTTTGTTTTTTTATTATACACCACTTTACTGGTTTAGATTTTTAAGCAGAAAATCACTGGCAACAAGACACTTGAACAAAAATTGAAAAACCAAATGAAACTTTCAGAACTCATAATAAAAATGTAGTCTTAATTTCTAAATTAACATTATTTACTTTGCTTTCAATAAGGTTTAAGGTGTGTTTAATAACCATTTTGTATGTTCCTTGCGTAAAGAGTACATTTAGACAAAATTCATTTCAATATAATAAAATTTCATCTCAATATAAAATAGACCTATACGGTACCAGTGTTTCTAAACTTATAAACATTTTAGCTAAGAAATGTTTCGATTAACTACGGGTGCTGGCTTTGTGTTTGTTTACTGACTTCCAATTTAATGTTACGCGTCTGTTTCTAATCGCCGATTTTTGTAAATGGCCATCAGATGTTCATGTATTGTGTCTTATGTTTTTAAAACGTAAGCTGTAATTATCCCAAACAGAGAAAAAAAATCTCTAAAAACCTACATCAATGTGGATGAAAATGTAAACTCTCTAGTTAATTGGCAACACTTAGTTTCAATTAATAGGTCAATGACATATCAGCCGGATGTCGTACCTACACACCTATACATTATTTGTGTGATAAGTAGTTCGATCACCTGGCCTAAAATAATACAGCATTGTAACCGTTAGAACTACAATAAAACTACAAGTAAGATATCAAACCGGTTATAATAGACGTTAGGACTTCCCCTTTTAAGGTCGTCACTTAATAATCCGACAACCTACAACTTTATCACTCGACATTGACGTGTTATCATACACCACCCCACCGCTAATCCTGGTGGGGTAACGGCCCAGGAATCCACACTTAAAAAAAAGGTTGTTCTCGTCTGGCGTGTTTACGGGTTGATGGTGCAAGGTCTACAAATTAAAATTGTTTATCAATTAATGGCCGAGTTGTCGGTGAACGTTTTTCATTAATTCTACGCGTATTTCGTAAAACCTAAAAGCTTAGTTTAGGATGCACAAATGTCCGCCACTGGTCCGCCATTAGCAATTCACTCGTAACCGGCAGCAGCAGTCACTCAGAGCAGCAATCACTTAATTCAATATGTGTAGCAACTACCCCCAATTGCGAGAAATCAACAGTATAGACAGTCTTAATTAGTTGTAATGTTTTTTTTAATCATTTACAAAGGGTGGTTATATTTAGGGCCGATCAATTTAGAAGAGAGACAGAAAATTTAGCTGATAGATTAGCATTAGTACTTTAATTTTGGTCGTAAACAGTACTAAATTTGATTATTTCTGTACGACTCGGTCCACTTATGGCTGACTGTGTGGTGCGTACCGTACCGTACGACCGACACAGGTAAACCTTACCACGGAAATTCCATGAGGGTTAAACAGTGACAATACAAACTCAACGCAGATGAAACTGTTATTACTTTATTCTCTTGGGATATTTTTTTCTTCAAATCAGTACCTTATACGGTTGCATTAGTTTAACAAATATTGCAGAAGATATAATATCTCGCTGGAGGCGTTCACGGTTCGGCAGTCCCAGTTTCTATTTCAAAGCTATCATGTCATTTAGTATGCGTGATTTCCTCTTACACAACAGTTTTCTTCTTTTAGAATGTTTAACGTTATAAAATGAACATTATAAATTTAGTTCAACATCAATTTTCAAGTCCAAAATGAGCGGAGATCACAAAAATAAAAGCGAATATGTGTAATAAAAATAAACCAACTTCGTTTTAACTGAATTCAAATTCAAAAAAGGAATCGATTCAAAATTTGGTTACCTTTTTTATGATATTCAATGAAACCAATGATATTTCATAACAATTGGTAATTCAGAATTGAGTCATTTATGAACTGAATTGTTTTTATTTATTTTCAAGGGTTTATTTTCTGTATGATTACATTCAAATTTTCAGAAATAATCTCACCCCTAACGGTTAAAATTAAAAAACAAATCATCGAGTTTATTTTAACATATCATGATGCAGGAGCTTTGAAGACTGTGGTGCTGTTTTAAAAGTCAACTAATTTTATAATATTTGGTACTCTAGTCAACTGAAAGTAAAATAATCGACTAAGATGTTATTTGTCTAACTGAAAACGGGATTTCCTTCAAACCTTCAAGAAAAGAGAGTACTCCTTGCTAAAAGGCCGGCAACGCGTTTGTCACTCCTGCCCTCCTCACACTTTCCATCAAGTGAGCCGTCTGCTCGTCTGCCCCCTCTAACATAAAAAAATATATGCTGTATATGTATGTAAATGTTTGCAGATAAGCTAGCAGAACATGAGGTGCCATTTCTACGTTTACAAGTTAGTTTTCTGTCTATGGTGTGTGGTGCTAGACCTGGGTGGGTAAAATTATATACCATAAAACATCAGTCATTGCCTGCAATATCAACTTACAATATAGGTAGGTACTCATGATAATCTGTCCAGTGAAAGTCATCCGTTACACGGTAATGTGCATAGACAATGATTTTACAGTTGGACGACGCCAAATTATACATCACTCTATTGAAAAATATGTTATCATAACTTTTATATTATATTTGTATATCTATATATATTTATTTATTTTAAAAGACAATTTCCGCATTAGGAATACATTTCTGTGTCGCGGGGTACACCTAGGCTCAGAACAACAATTTGTGGATCACACAAAGTGTCGTCCCATATGGGGTTTGAACCCACAACACTCGGCGCAGTCGGAAGCGGCGTGGAGACCGCTTAAACCACTACGCCATTATCCGTGCAGTTTGTTCTCCGATAACCTCAATCACTCGGTTTAGACCAGCGCTAAATTGCTTAACACCGGTTTTCTGTGATACCGTGGTATCTCCGGTCGAACCGCCTCATTTGTGCCGTAGCATGGCACTCCCACCACAAATTAACAATTTAATTTTTAATAAGGATAAGCGTTCTTATTCTCTTTGATATAGTAGGTAAGCAAACAGACTGCTTCGGTGGGTGGTGGAGGTCTCGGGTTTATGTATGTTTGTAAAGACCCCCGCGACACAGGATATATTCCTAATAAGGGAGTTGTTTTTTTCAAAATAAAATAAATAATATTATTAGACAGGTCACCTGATGGTATGCGACCAACGCCGCCCAGGGTCACCACTATACAAAAGCGTTGCCGTTGTTGATGTGAGATCATGCGCTTGAAGGCCTGAAGGTATAATTCGGTGTTGAATCATACTTGTGGTGCTAGACCTGGGTGGGTAAAATTATATACCATAAAACATCAGTCATTGCCTGCAATATCAACTTACAATATAGGTAGGTACTCATGATAATCTGTCCAGTGAAAGTCATCCGTTACACGGTAATGTGCATAGACAATGATTTTACAGTTGGACGACGCCAAATTATACATCACTCTATTGAAAAATATGTTATCATAACTTTTATATTATATTTGTATATCTATATATATTTATTTATTTTAAAAGACAATTTCCGCATTAGGAATACATTTCTGTGTCGCGGGGTACACCTAGGCTCAGAACAACAATTTGTGGATCACACAAAGTGTCGTCCCATATGGGGTTTGAACCCACAACACTCGGCGCAGTCGGAAGCGGCGTGGAGACCGCTTAAACCACTACGCCATTATCCGTGCAGTTTGTTCTCCGATAACCTCAATCACTCGGTTTAGACCAGCGCTAAATTGCTTAACACCGGTTTTCTGTGATACCGTGGTATCTCCGGTCGAACCGCCTCATTTGTGCCGTAGCATGGCACTCCCACCACAAATTAACAATTTAATTTTTAATAAGGATAAGCGTTCTTATTCTCTTTGATATAGTAGGTAAGCAAACAGACTGCTTCGGTGGGTGGTGGAGGTCTCGGGTTTATGTATGTTTGTAAAGACCCCCGCGACACAGGATATATTCCTAATAAGGGAGTTGTTTTTTTCAAAATAAAATAAATAATATTATTAGACAGGTCACCTGATGGTATGCGACCAACGCCGCCCAGGGTCACCACTATACAAAAGCGTTGCCGTTGTTGATGTGAGATCATGCGCTTGAAGGCCTGAAGGTATAATTCGGTGTTGAATCATACTTTTACCAAGACTATGCTTTTAACGTAAATGTTTATCGTACTTAAAGATCATAAAACATTACTTGATTGTAATCGCAAATACCTGCACACATTACATTTTTCTTACGTATATCAAATACTAAATCATTGAATTATATTTATGGCTTTTGTCGATGTCGAAATAGGACGTTGACATCGCAATGGTAAAAATATAACGGGGCTTTATCCTCCTGTTATGTATTCTGGTCATGGAACTTGTCAGCGCAAAAAGTTTTATGAGCGATGGGTTGAAAGTGTACTCTATACCGTCTAACACGTATACTACAGAGTCGGTCAGTCATAGAAGTTAACAGAGTGAAATTTGTTATTTTTCAAATGTTACCTAAATATACCAGATTTATAAGGCATATAAAAAAAATGTATTACGAGTATGTCCGTCG